CCCCCAACACACCCTCCCCAACACACCTCCCCTCCCTTCCCTACCCCAACACCCCCCTACCCCATCACAACGTCACCCCTTCTCTACCCCCCCCAATACAACAATGCCTTTCTTGATCATTACAATTTTTGGTCAATCTATAACGGGATTTCCGGTGTTTTTGTTTCTTGTTTGGACTAATATCATACATACATACAAACAAACAAACAAAACAAACACACACACCTCTACATAAACAGATGCACACAGAAATACAGATACAAACACACTGGCAGATACACAAATACACTAACATAAACAAACACACAGTCATTTAAATATAGAAACACACACACACACACACACACACACACACACACACATGTAATATCTGGTTAGGTTTGGATTGTAACATAATTATACATTCTGGTTCAATATAGTGTACACCTTAAGCATTAATTAAGATTCTGAGACACCTTAACAAACACGTGTATCACCTGAAGATTAGCCACCCTAGAGATATTTCACCTGATGACTAAACACCCTAACCTAACCGAAGTGATATTTTAAACAGGGGAGGAACCTAGACCACCTAACTCTCTATCCTATACGCCTCTTCTTCATCCTACGAGTCCTACTACACTATCCTACGAGTCTTTCCCCTACAAACCATCCTACGAGTCCTTCCTCTTCCCTACACCATCCTACGAGTCCTTCCTCTTCCCTACACCATCCTACGAGTCCTTCCTCTTCCCTACACCATCCTACAGGTCACACCATCCTACAGAGTCCTTCCTCTTCCCTACACTATCCTACGAGTCTTTCCCCTACAAACCATCCTACGAGTCCTTCCTCTTCCCTACACCATCCTACGAGTCCTTCCTCTTCCCTACACCATCCTACGAGTCCTTCATACCATCCTACGACCCCCTTCCTCCTACAAACCATCCTACGAGCCCTTCCTCCTACACACCATCCTACGACCATCCTATTATGAGTGTTGACTATGATAGCATCACAAAAAACTGCAGTGTTGTAGAGTTACACCCTTCTGTTCCACCCGGCACACCCCACATACACCCACACACCGCCCTAATATTACCCTTACACTTATACACCGCCCTCACGCCCATATACATCTACATGGCCTAAACACAGTCACACCTCTCCCACACACACATACACACATAAATCTCTTCATTACTATACCTAACCCAAAGCAACACAGCCCCCCCCCTCCCTTGGCCCACCATAACAGACACCACATTATAAAGTTAACTACAACAACAAAACACAAGTACTACAACAACCATAAACACAACAAATACAACCGCCAAATACAACATAATAACGAAAAACTTATATATACAACTAGAGACCATGTCGTATAAGAAATGGTGCGATAAAATGAGAGCATTCGTTCTTAAAATAACGTACGTGTGTGTGTGCTGACGATGATAATACGAATTCCTTCCTGACCAGTGTGTGTGCATGAGAGAGAGAGAGAGAGAGAGAGAGAGAGAGAGAGAGAGAGAGAGAGAGAGAGAGAGAGAGAGAGAATAATTAGGAGGTATGAACGTGGGTGGAGGTCAGGTAACAGTTGGTGGAGGTCAGGTCACTGAGTGGAGGTCAGGTCACAGTGCGTGGAGGTCAGGTCACAAGGTATAACTGGTAACACACTAAACCCATTTTTAACCAGACAGAACCAGGTACCAATCAAACACACTGGAATCTTTGACCAATATAAACCAAAGGAATCCCTGACCAATATTAAACCCACTAAAACTATGAAAAATCGGCGGCGGGTCAGTCGTCAATAATTACCTTAACATACTAACACCAATGGAATCTCTGACCAATACAAACAAGTAACTCTCTCTAAACATCTATGCTGAAATAACCACACACAACCAGAGGTACCAACCTAACAGTGGCGTAACATATTCTACTGGTCTGGTGGAGTTAGAGGCATACTGAACTGTAATTTGTGGTTGTGGGCTTGTGGGGAAGGTGTAAACATCATGACCCCTCCTCCAGTCTGTGTTGTGGGTGTGTCGGGGTGTGTGGGAGAGGTGTACATATCCCTAAGCCTTCCCCAGCCTATGTAGTGGGTGTGTTGGGGGATGTGGGGGAGAGATACACAACCCACCTATATCTCCCCCCCACAATACTAAAAGGGGTGGGGGAATGCGCGCACACACACACACATGCCCAAGGTCATCCATTGCACGAGGCCACCTGGTCGAGGATGTTGTTGCGGAGTACACATTAATCTCACCTGCCGTTAACCATTCACAAAAAAAAATAAAAAAACATTAAACTCTAAATAAAATACATAGCATAAATTTCTACTAATATTCTCTAGAGTTGGTTTTAAATTAATGACAAGGTGTGTGTGTGGGGGGGGAGGTTGGGGCGGGTTACGGTTTTAAATGCCCGGGGTTGACCACATCAATTTATCTCAGTCTGGGGTTCACGGGGGACAAAACACTGGTGCATGGTTCCCTCACACATACATGTAGACGATATCTGTTGCATTATAAACCCGCCCTTCTCTTTAATACCCAGCACGTGTCGTATCTCTAGCGGGATTAATTCATACACATGACCGCCGGTCTCCCCAGAGTCCAGAAAATTAATCCTCTTCCGTAGTCTAAAGAGATTAACGCAAATCCCACTCCCACAATGACCCACATCCAGAGTCCATTTCATCCCAATGTCTATTTAATCCCATAACCGCTCTTTTAATGCTCCTATGACTGCATATTTTCAATGTCAAGTTATCAGACGTGCACCTGGGAAGGCTGGCTTGACAGGAGGGCGTACCTGCGACCCTACAAGGTAAAAGGGGTGGTCATATAAACACAACAAACAGGTGGATTTCGATGAGGACACACGTACTTACCCAAACTCCCGCTTCCCGATGTTGTGGAAGAATACGCTTATTTACACATAATATTCTCCAATCTAGGAGGCACTTCACGGTTCAGACACCACGAATCAACCAACATCCACTGACACAAGCTTCGCGCACTGTTCCGCCTATAAATACCAGGTCAAAACTAGCTGAGAGACTGGCAGGAGCCGTGCCGCCCTACCTGGCTTTGGCAACTGAGCCGCGGGGAAGGGGGGGTTCCTGAGCTTGGCTAGAGCCTTCACCGCCGACCTCCCTCCTGACACCCACACTTGTACAATTACTCGTGGATATTGTTTATAAATTATTACCCTACCACTACATTCATACATAGAGAAATACAATCATTCTTAAAAAAAAAGTTAAACCACTTCATGAGAGTAACTACACTGATAACATTTAAAAAGCCCAGATAACACTCAAGCTAATCCTAGTTAATTAACCTTACCAAAAATGCGTTATATTACCCGCAGAAATACATTTACACTGTATGTATGCAATGCAAAAATAACCATAGATAAAACTGGTAAATACAATAAAAACAAGAGATAGCATTATTGTTCACCGCATAACAAGTGGTTTGGGATGATTACCGGCTCACCTTGCTCTACACCTGAACCAATGACAGATTTAAACCCTAATTAAACACAGGTAAATTATATATCACTAGCATACCTGAGTTCTTGCTTCCAGACGCACCCAACAGTGAGTTCCACCGATGGTAAAATTGTCAATAAAATCATTATATAGATTTAACATGTGTATAGGTTATGCAGGTATACAGTTTAACATGTGTATAGGTTATGCAGGTAGATAGGTATACGTGTATAGAGTGGAGCTATACAGTTTCCAATGCCGTTTATCCACCAAAGAAACTGCATTGACCCGGAAAGGTTTGGTTAGATCAGGTTAGGTTAGATCAGGTTAGGTTAGGTTAGATCGGGTTAGGTTAGGTTAGATCGGGTTAGGTTAGGTTAGATCGGGTTAGGTTAGGTTAGATCGGGTTAGGTTAGGTTAGATCGGGTTAGGTTAGGTTAGATCGAGTTAGGTTAGGTTAGATCGGGTTAGGTTAGGTTTGGTTGTCCTTAATATTTTGGTTAGAAATTTAAAGTATGTTTTTTTATATATAGGAAAATTACTGACGCCATCTAGTGACGTGTAACACTAACAAATAGCCAATAGCAGGACATAAGACTAGGATGTTGTTGATCATTGGCTATTGACGTCATCACTGGGCGGAGCTAAATGACAGGCAGATGGGTTGTTCGATTCTAATGCTGTTCTTCTATTGGTTAAAATGTCTGTTGGTTTATTAAAAGCAGACGACCTAATCCATCCAAACTTAATATAGATTTTGTTAGGTTAGGTTAGGTTTGGACAGATCTAGTTAAGGTTTTGTTAGGTTAGGATAAATTTAATAAAGTTTAGGTTGGGATAGATCTTGGTACGGTTAAGTTAGGATAGATTTAGTTAAGGGCAAGGTCAGTGTTAAGGGTAAATTGGTCCGCGTTATATTTTTCCCTCTAAGATTTAACGTCATAACGCCGCCTTGTTCGCGGTACTTCTCAACATGAGCGCGTTGTGTCCTTCCTAATGTTGCCAAGACCGTTCATTACTGTGCCCTTAATCTTAAGGTGATCCCGATATGGTTATCTCTCCCTCGCGGATGAGTTGCTCGACCTTCCTGTCGTTTTAAATGCCCGCACCCAGCAGGGCGTGACCAGGTTTCCTGGAGTTTTTACCTGCGCGACCTTGGTGAAGGACAGATACACACGCCTCAAATGATCCCCAGCGGTTGTGTGTTACCCGGGCCAGAGTCCTGCTGGATCCAGCCTAACTCAACCGTCGGGTGCGAACTGTAATAATAATAATAATAACAATAAACGGTTTATTAATAGAGTTGCAGCCGGTGGCTGAAAATATGCAGACTTACATTTGATTTAGACATAATGATATAATATGCAGTGAATACATTTACAGGGCTGTGCAGTACATAAATCAGTTGTTTATTATTTTAACAATAGATGGGATGGTGCTGTTCTTATATCTATCGGTGCGTGACAGGGTGCTGTGGGGCGGCCTGGAGTGGGATATTGGGGGCGGGGAACTACAGGCCGGCCTTTTGTAGCGGGGTACAGTGGGGCGGCTTGTGGCGGGATACAGTGGGGCGGCCTTTTGTGGCGGGGTACAGTGGGGCGGCTTGTGGCGGGGTATTGTGGGGCGGACTGCCGTGGCGGGATACAGTGGGGCGTACGTGGCGGGGCAGTGGGGCGGACTGCCGTGGCGGGGTACAGTGGGGCGGCTTGTGGCGGGTATTGTGGGGCGGTCTGCCGTGGCGGGTACAGTGGGGCGGCTTGCGGCGGGATAAAGTGGGGCGGACTGCCGTGGGGGTACAGTGGGGCGGCTTGTGGCGGGGTAAAGTGGGGCGGACTGGCAGTGGGGCGGCTTGTGGGGCGGGGCACAGTGGGGCGGCTTGTGGTTGTGGAGCATTGTGGGGCGGACTGTCGTGGCGGGGTACAGTGGGGCAGCTTGTGGCGGGGTACAGTGGAGCAGCTTGTGGCGGGGTACAGTGGGGCGGCTTGTGGTGTATTGTGGGGCGGACTGTCGTGGCGGGGGTACAGTGGGGCGGACTGCCGTAGCAGGGTACAGTGGGACGGCTTGTGGCGGGGTACAGTGGGGCGGCTTGTGGCGGGGTATTGTGGGGCGGCCTGCCGTGGCGGGGTACAGTGGGGCGGCTGGGGCGGACTGGGCAGGGGGCGGCTTGTGGCGGGTAAAGTGGGGCGGACTGCCGTGGCGGGGTACAGTGGGGCGGCTGGCGGGGTACAGTGGGGCAGCTTGTGGCTAGTGTGGCGGCTTGTGGCAGGGTACAGTAGGGCGGCTTGTGGTGGAGTATTGTGGGGCGGACTGTCGTGGCGGGGTACAGTGGGGCGGCTTGTGGCGGGGTACAGTGGGGCAGCTTGTGGCGGGGTACAGTGGGACGGCTTGTGGTGTATTGTGGGGCGGACTGTCGTGGCGGGGTACAGTGGGGCGGACTGCCGTGCCGCAGGGTACAGTGGGGCGGCTTGTGGCGGGGTACAGTGGGCGGGGTACAGTGGAGCGGCTTGTGGTGGAGTATTGTGGGGCGGACTGTCGTGGCGGGGTACTGTGGGGCAGCCTCTGTCAGAGTGGTGGCGCCCGTCATTCATCTCGCACACATTCCACTCCGAGACGCTCTTGCTTCCGGATTCCTGAGTGAGTGTTTGTCACTGTAGCGTGAAGCGTCGTGAGGCAGCTCTCTGCTCGCCTCCACGTAATCAAATTGCGTCTTCTGGAATCGGACAAATACGTCACTTCTTCGCAACAGAAGACTGACGATTGTTGACGACAATTTAAAGAATCATTATGTAACTAACCACTATTAACACGATTCATATATATTAAGGAAAGGAGGTAGACGAGGTAGATAGAGGGAGTGGTGTCTTGCCGCTTTCTACACATCCAGGTGAAGTCCAGTCAGCCCGAGGCGTTGGGAGGAGGTGGTTGCCTCTCTGCCTTACATGTCTGCATCGCCTTTCTTGTTTGTACATTATAAGCAATTATAGCCGATGTAATTAGATTAGTAAGGCTTCAGTGGTCTTGTTTGACTAACATCTACCATAATAAGACTAACGCGAAGCCTCATGACTTCCATCTTCCTCTTCAAGAACTCCGCCTACATGCATATTTCTCGTGGAGGCCCGTGAGCTTTTGGTGGACCCCCGCCGCCGACTACATCACGCATCACATGAGACCCCAGACAAACATTAATAAAATTTCTCACGTTCAGATTCAGTGTCTGATATTAGCTTCAGAAATATAAGCAGAAATACCATTTTTCATACAGTAAGCGTACAGTAATCCCAAGATGGTGACAGAATACAATAGTTCCTGCAATTGACCCAGATAAGAATAATTGTCTACCTAAAAACAACTTAACATATCCGCTAATTAACTGATTAAATTGACCCAATTCCAGGATAGCGCAGCTGGACTATCCATCAACGTTGAATTCATCCGTAACACGCTAATAACGCTTATCATTCCCTATAATAACATTAATTTAGTTAACTCATTGTCACCCCCTTGACAGTTTATCAAATCCGCGAAAAATGAAAGTGTAATGTAAAACTCTCCCTTTTTATTGCATTTACAGGTGGTGTTTAACTCGTAATAGGCAGTAGACAACTACCAAACAGGAAGGTACTACCGCCTGGGAAGATATTGGAGGCATAATGTGTTGCCTAATGGTAGACCCTGCTGCCATATGGCATCACGAAAATTGTGACCAAGTCCCAGGTTGTTGATCTGACTTTTTGCCTCATTTACACACAATTGCAGGGTCTCAATTGTTTCTCTTACTATTGATAACACAACATACTGTACATATATTGTTTCAGACTCTTGATCTTTTTTTTTTCATTTTTGTTTATATACATGGTTCTGTATATGGTCCCTGTATAAAAAATAAAATCTAACCTTTTATGGTTTTATCTATCATTCCCTAGCGGGCTAATTAAAAAAATGAATGGAGACTTACCTCGGGAAGCCACCAAGTACTGGAAATCCTCACAGTTTAATAATTACTTAACGAGCTGATCAATAGCGAAGAGGAAAGTAATACGTAAAAAATGGAACATTGCAACAGAGCAAATATATTCTCTGTACCCCATGGCTCATACTCTCCACCTGTCAACTTCTACCTATTGTTAAGATATTTCTTAATGATTCACATCCTCATATACTAAAAAATATTACGAATGATACACAGAATTATGAGGAAAAGATACAAGACAAAAATTACCGGGCGTGTATCCATCTTGTTGAGGTTGTCTTTCCCGCGCCTCACAACACACAGGGGGTGACACCGTTGACACCTGAACTAAACAAAACACAATTCGTATTCGCTAAATATGACTTCAAATTCAGTTTTACATATCTTTAATGAAATAATATATGTGTGTGAGATATTCTTGACAGTATTTCGGTGTTTTGAGAGAAGGAATAAATCCGGATACCTGGCTGGAAAACGTCTCCTTATCTTGTTTACATCAAGGTTGTCTATGTAACTAATATATTAAATGAATATATAAAGTTTTATAGTTAAAATATTGAAAATTATATCTTGTTATATTTTTAAACACTCTATGAATAATTATTATATCTATAAAATTATTGCCTGTACAGGTATTTATGGAATATATTGAGCAAATTTTAACAATACTTTATGTTTATACAAGCCGGATTTATAAACACCAACAATGTCATTAGTCAAGCAGCTAGATCCTGCAATTTGCAAGTAAGTGATGAATTAAAGTACATTCTACCTGTTTATTTATACTATAGAAATAACTTGTGGGTTTATATTCGATGATGTGTTATTTAATTTGAGTATTGGCTCTTGAAGCTGCACTAGACCTAAGGAAGGTGAGGCCAAGGTAGGCGTGGTCATGCTAACACCAGATGATTTTATTTAGCAGAGAGAAATCCCCTGTAGACAAGGATTTAAATGAATAATTGGCTGTTTTCCTTCCTGTCTGATTCGCCTTCAATTCTTTAGGGATCTAACCAAAACCATTACAGAGCTACATCAGATTTTACTGATTTCTGCCAGACTTTGACACATACATACCATCTGTGACTCATTCCTATTAAGATCAAGAACTTTCATTTAACGTGAGAGAGCATGAAGATGTATAAGCAGTGATACAAGGCGAAAATAAAGTATTATTATTCATCTGCTTTTGTTTGTGGCCATATATGGTAATACTTTATGATATTATTTCCTAAGAACCAGTAACTTTACACAAATTTTCCATAGAATAAAGTTTATTTACCTCCAGAATATCCAAAGACTATTCTTAAGAGACTTGTGTACATCTCTTAGAATTAATTGTATCATTATATTCTTCTCCTTTACAGCGTGAAAGTTACCCCTGGAGCTGTGGTGTGCTTTGAGGCAGACTATTATGGGGACATAACCATTGGTGCTCGCACAGTCATTCACCCAAAGGCCCGTATCATTGCTGAGTCAGGACCTATTATCATCGGGGAAGGCAACCTGATCGAGGAACAAGCTCAGATAATAAACAAGTGAGATATAAAACTGTTTACTTATCTTTATTTTTTTACTTCGTATTGTTTTTATTACATTAAACCTTCTCAATAATGGACTAATCTTCATATGATCCAATTTATGTAGTACAGTGTTTGTGTATGTATTTTTTAAACACTACAGTGAAACCTTTATTTAATGAACTATATAGAGATGAAAGTCCGTTATATCGAGGGTCCGTTAGATGCGAGACCTCCATCTAACGATTTATATGGAGAGAGAAGTCCATTATGTGGTTTTACTGTATATTGTATAATGCAAGTAACTCAATCAAAATATTTACAGACTCTCTCTCTCGTTTACCCCCATGTGCTTTAACTGATGTGTCCTGTCAGGTTATTGTTCTACCATAACAAGGCCACAAATATATATAAATAGTTAGATAAATGATAAATGGATGAATTATTGAATATGTTAAAGTATATTGTTTTTATTTGACACTAAACCTTGCAGACTGCCAGAGGGTGTTGAGGCTGGTGATGAGCCTCCAGTGATGGTGATAGGCAACAACAATGTCTTTGAGGTGGATAGCTACTGCCAGGCTTCAAAAATGGGCGATAACAATGTCCTGGAAGCTAAGAGTGAGTTAAGTTTGTGTATACTCGAGGCTGAGAGTAAGTTATGTTGAACAGGACACTTTGAGATTATGGTTATGCTTATTATTCTTTATAAATAACTAACATTTTGTACTGTATAGCTAAGGTTAAAGTAAGTTGTCCATTGTAAGTTGTAACTGACATTATATATACTTGAGCCTAAAATTAAGTTGCCTTGGTACTAAACTTCTGGGTGATTGGCTCAGAAATGAAGGTTGAAATGGTTGTAATTGTTTATAAGAAATAATAAAAGACGAAAGAACCAGAAAAACTAGCCAGTAAAGGACGTCATCAGTGGAAGTTTAGCTGTAGGGACGACAGCCATCATCAGTGTATTCTATTTTTACACACATAAGGGGCAGAGTAGAGAATACTTAGTGGTTAGTTAGGGGTAAATGGATTACATTATCAATTCTGGTATTACAGGTCACATAGGCCCGGGTGTGGAACTGTCCCGTGGGTGTGTGGTGGGGTCCCTGTGCTCTATGGTGTGTCCACAAGTTGTACAAGAAAACACAGTTATTTACGGGGATGAACTTCACCACAGAACTCAGTCGGAGAAGCCAGCCGTGAGTATCTATTCGAGGACATTTATTTGTGATCTTAATTTAGACACTTTGTTTTTATTTAAGAAAACCTTTATCTATTGCCTGTATTAATTTAGATGCATTTTAATACTTTTCTTTTTATAAGGCTTTGACCAAAATGAACATATGGAGTACAGTATTGGAAGCTTCAGGACCCTGGTTGAATTTTGTTTTTACCTAGTAGTAATTTTATCGGGTATCTTTATCTATTCTCAACAAGGTTTATTTGATCCTTCATTTTTTTTTTATGAGCCTTATGTTACTAATTACTATTCTTATATGACTCTTGTATTATTATTGGGAATATTTAATAGAGTATAGCATATATTTTTTTAAGTTACCCCTAATTGTAACCTTTATCTCCTCCCTCTTCTAGCCACAAGGACTCCAGCTGGACTTCCTCACCAAAATTCTGCCCAACTACCATCACTTAATTAAACCTAAGAAAAAGGTGGTAGCTTGATTTACTTATTTATATACAGTACATATATATCTAATGCTTAAAAGGATCCCTGGACGGGTTGGTAATGCTGTAAAATTCCAGATACAGGTTAGTGGGGTGATGACGGATGTGTCAGCACCCTGGGCCAAGCTGACTGTTCCCACTACGAGAAACAGCACGAGAGATAAAAGGATGCCAATACCTATTTTGCTCTGGAACTCGTTGATTATTTGCTTGTTTTCAAAGTACAGAAGGTGGAGTTTATTGTACAGTACACATAACTCTGTCCATGGTCCTTCCAATATTTAATGAGATGCTTTACGTATAATTATAACCATTTAATTACTCAGTTAAAATCTTACAGAACACTTTGTACTTTCTGCTTAACAAGGAAACAAAACATTACATATATCACTTATGAGTAAGAATGTAGATTATATTAATATTTACTATTTGAAAATACAGTATATAAATTAAACCATCTCTGTGAGGGAGTAACATGGGTCAAGATTGGTACAGTAGAGCATTCATGAAGTCGACAGAAGCAGCTAAAAATATATTGTTTATCTATAGGACACCCAATGCAGTTACAATATCATTCCTCGGTAAAAACATTTGGATATTTTACACGGATCTTAATTTATGTTAAGAATATCCTAGTACGCTTATGTGATTGTGTTTCCTTTATACACATTTAACACTACAGTATATAGATAAATTCCTGCAAATTCTTATGTGACTCGATAATAGTTAAGAATCATCATATTTTTCTTAACTTAGTAAATGTTGCTATTATTATTATTACCCTGTATCACATTTATGTTTTGTTTCTTTGTGAACAATATAAATGCACAGATGGATTATTAGTCTTAAGTATTTTAATATCCTACCATATCTCTTCTTACATACAGTTTACAGTCTTCTTATAATAACTGGTTGATGGTTAAATTATCATCAATCCATTTACAGTTGTGTGTGTGTGTGTGTGTCTAAGGCACTATGTGTATATTGTATATCACACAATTTTAAAATAAGTAAAATTGGTTTGAATTACATTAATATCAAATAATTGAGCAGAGAGTAGGATAATTTTTTGGTGGAAAGGAAAATTTATACATCTATAAGTATACTATCAATTATAAAAATCAAAGTTATATTTTGTCCAATATACAGTAGAGTACTGTACACTACTTGAAGGCTCACAAGGAAAGTTACTCCTGTTGAATAACTATAATACTATAATAAAGGGCATCATGTGTACTATAGTATTTCATATTGATAAAAATTAACAATGTACCGAACTGGTTATGTGCTGAAGACCTGCAGCGCTCATGGTCTGTACTTCTCACACGGTGAACTAGGCAGTTGTCCAGGGCACCACGCAATTCTGAACCAACTTACTGTATATAGAATAACCTAATCTAAATAAAAACAAACAACTTTAATTATAAGGACTCATTATAGTAATAATTTGTTATAAATACAAAATTACTAATAACTGGGTGATCAAAATAGTAACATTTTACTGATGATAGGTTTATTCTTAATAAAATTCTATTATACAGTCATATGCCTGAGGTGACAATGGCATTCTTTGCCTTGAGAGGTTCCCAAAGTATTTAGGTACCTCTGTAATATCACATCATCCAGCTGTGGATTTACACTTGAGGATGGCCAGTACCCTCAGAAACTGGAGAGGTTGTCACCATCAGGTCCAACATTTTCAAAAGCTGTCACATGGCCGGAAGACACAAATACCGAAAGTAACAACAGCAGACAAAAACAACACAAATGATCATTTATATTCAACAGAAGCAAGTTTATTAACTCTGAATCACAAAGTTAGAACCACTAAAAGTCACCAATACTTAGAGTTATATAGGTTTCACAGCATAGAGAAAAGACATACAGGACAAGTTTTAAAGCTTGATTAAGATGACAAATAGTGTCCCAAGATAAAAGGCATAAGCACTGGGTAGGCCACTTGGTTAAGGGTCCATATATCAACTTACACAAATTATATGTTTTCGTGCCAAAATTGAAAAACACGAGATACCACTTAAATGCAGCAACAGACTCACGAACCTGAGGTATTATTTTGTCCGCAAATGCTTCGGATTCATGAGTTTAATTCTCGTGGTTCACGTGGCAGTAAAAGAGACAACAGGACTTTTTCATTCACGACTGTATGGTACTTGACAACACTACTGTATACAGTGATCCCTCGGTTAACGAGATTTCGGTTAACGATTTACCTTCCATAAGATTCTTAACTTCGGTTAACAAGCAATCCCTCAATTAACGAGTTTCTTACAAGCGGACCTCAACATGTTTTCACTTGCATTTGGCGGTCCACCAGCTGTAGTATTAGTCCGCCAATACAGTAATCGATTCTAGGGCTTAAATTCCTTACTATTTTAGTAAATATCAAAAAGTTTATACTTCAATAATTTTAAGTTTAATATTAAATTTTTTAGTCATTTTAACAATTATTGAACATAACTGAAGTACAGGGAACTAGTTATATGCGCGCAAAACAGCCTGTCAACACACCAAACAGGCGTCAGTCTCTGTGTCTTTTCAGTGGAGGTAACATCTTGCTTGAGACTCTTCAACTAAATGCTGTTTTTCTGTGTTTCCAAGCAAATTATTGGTCAATTTGAAATTTATTTTACATATTGACAATATATAATGCAGTGCAGTGTTGATTTAAAGAAAATAATCTTGAATTACACCAAGAGAACTAAAAATTTATGGATGAAATGGTGCCATGGGGTGACTTCTCTTCCACCCCAATGCCTTCTCTTCAACCTTCTCCTCCACCCCCATTCTAATTCCCATCATCATCATCCAGGAGTCTTCTACATACACACCTCAAATTAAGTGTACTTTACTACCTTTCTGTTGATTTTAGGCAATTTTCGGTGAGCTGGAACCAATTACCCAAAAACCCATTGAAACAATGGTTTCAGTTAACGAGTGCTTCGGTTAACAAGCAACCTTCTGAAACGAATTGTGCTCGTTAATCGAGGGACCGCTGTATATCTCACTATTTATACAACATTTTTATAACCATCGTGAAAGTTTGGAGTGAATTTTTGCTTAATTCGAGAATAGAAGCTCATGGACCTAAGTTCCAACCAAATAACTCCGACCAAGTCATCGTTGAACACTGCAACGTGAACTGGCGTGAAACGTGGTTTCGTAAACATCGAATATGCGATCTGCCCGAACCCATGATACCTGAAAAAGAAAAAGCATCATGAAAGCTGCTTAGGATTGATGCTTAATTACTCTCCACTTTTTAAATCTTATACTATAGAGTGAACCTCCATATAACGGAATTCTCTCTGTATATAATCAGCGAGATAGAAGGTTTCACACCTAACAGACCCTTGATATAACAGTTATGGACTTTCCTCTCCCTGTACTCCATTTAATAGAGGTTTCACTGAACAATAAATAAATAAACAAATAAATTCTCAACTAACCTGGCTTTACATGTTACAGGCAGTGGAATCTCAGCATCAATAAAACAGTCTTCAGGAGGCAGAAAGGCTTGCTCGGAGGTGAGAAAGGCCGCTTCTTTGATCATGGTAGGTTCATAGTTTAGCAGGGCATTGAAACTTTTCTGGTCTTCTTTTGTCGGAAGTAGTGGGAATTTTAAGTTTATTTTCACTGTAATTTTGCCAGCGAAGACATTTTCGTCACCTGTTACCTAAGATGGGAAAAATATAGTCATTATCTATCATCATATCTATACACTATATAAAACTAATACAAATATATTTTCCATGCACAGTACAGTAGATTTTGATATATAAACTGGCATTGTGCATAATGTTGGGGAACTCATCTATTTAAAAAACAAAATGCAGATGGAGTGGATAGATTCAGGGGATGATTAGCCCCCACCACCTTATTTAATTTCTCTGATGATAAAACACACCCTAATGCTGTGAAGGAAGGGGGGGGGGTAGATTATTTTAGGTTAAGTTAGCATTAGGGAGATTAATCCTACTTTGAAATAAGCTGGATGGCTGATCTACAGATGATTCTAATGAAATCAGTAACTTATTCACTTTTATTTACCTTGTAACCATGTATTTCATTTTCATCTTTATATCGGAAGAGAATCACCTCTAGGCCATGAGATGAATACGAGCCTTGGAAAAGTCCTGGTGATATAATATGTTTTGGCAAGGTACCGTCATCTAGCTTCAGGGGAGATGGTACGTCCTCAAGTGTCGGGAGAGTTAGGGGAAGATGCACCAGACCTTTTCTGTTGGATGAAAAATATTACAGCGAGACTTTTATTTAACGAACTACATGGAGATGATAGTCCATTATATCGAGGGTCCGTTAGATGTGAAACTTCATCTAACGAACTATATGGATATGAAAGAATGTTATATTGAGGGTGCATGACTTAAATGATAATGTAAGATTAATTCAGACTCGCCAGTAAATGTTAGAAGACCACAGCAAAAAATAATAAATAAATAAATAAATATTTAAATAAAATACAAAATCTTGTACAGCAGTCCTGGAGGGTTTAACCATCGTACTCAAAGGTTTAAATCATCATAATCAAAGGATTAAACCATTGTACTCAAAGGTTTAAACCATCATAATCAAAGGGTTAAACCATCGTCCTCAAAGGTTTAAATCATCATCCTCGAAAGGTAAGGTTAGGTTATAGCGAAACAAGGAAGTGTGTGTGTGGTGTTAGAGGAACTTCAATAGAATCAAAGAAGTGTGTGTGTGTCTGTCATAGCAAGAAAGGGGTTGAAAAATAAAAGATAAACAAAATTTGGAACAATCTTTAATAGGCAACCCATAGTGACTCAGCTGATTACCGAAGTCGAGTTCTTTTGCACAATCTGTCAATAAGTGAAAGAAATATTAAGGTGTTATGGTTTTACTCACCCAATTGTTGAACCCAGGTACATGGTCATACGCCTCTGCTGTTCTATGAGATCCATGTCATCATCAAACTGATCCCCGAGTGCTTCCATATGCTCAGAGGGAGCAGAACAGTTTTGGATCACAACTCCCTTACGCTGAAAAAATAAAAATTAAATAAATAAAAAATAAATAAATAAAAATACTAGACTCAGAGTAATGAAGTATGACACTTGCCTCTGTCTATCCAGCAGTAATTGGGGACCTGGATGTTGATCAATTTGCGGATCGTGTTCCGGGGGTAATGGTTAGCCAGTGCAATTGGCGAGTTGTCCGGTCTCGGATTATTCCTCGACACTGGTTCATGCAACTCGTGAACTTAGAGTGTGGTTGTTGTGTTGGCGACAGCTTCTACACCTTAAACAAATGCATGCCTACGTGGCCCTTAGGCCGGCCAGCCTCGAACACGAGGGGTGACCATTATTATGTAGGGATAGAGCAGTCCGGAGACTGTAATATCATGGTCGAAACTTCAGGGGAATCAAGGTAATACAGATAAGACTAAATTACTCATCTACCTTTTCAACATACAGTATAGTACAGTGAAACCTCCATATAATGAACTTCCCTCTCCATATAATCCATTAGATGGAGGTTTTCACATCTAATGGACTTTCATTTCTATGTAGTTCATTAGATGGAGAGTGTCACATATAAAGGATCCTCGATATAACGGAATTTTCTCTCTACTGTATATAGTATGTTAAATAGAGGGTGTCACTGTAAAGCAACATTAACAAACCTTATCAATGTTGAAACTGCAGGCATGTGGGTGAATGTGGGGTAAGCAGGTACAGTGAGGAGGAAAGTGATCACCGCTGATGGTAAATAATACGGACTCCTTCAGGGGGGCGGTCACGTCAAGCCTCGATGACGGTTCCCAGTGTACGCCCTCAATGTTACCAGCCTTGTACTATGGATGAAGAACATTCGTATTTGTACACACACGCCTGAATTATTAAAGATCTCTCTCCACTCGGCCATTATATTCTAGTCCTCAAGTTCTCTAATTTTATATAAAAACTGTTCTGTCTTTATTTAATTAATTTGTTTTATTTATCATTTCAACAGTTATCAGCTTACTAGCCATTTGTGTTGTTGGTCTAGCTAGTGTTAGTACAGGAGGAAACCAAAGTCTGGCAAATCTATGATGTTTGGGAGGGTTTTACTTGGTAACACCTTCCTCATGTGTGTATGTGTGTACAGTACAGTATACAGTGTATATATTTATGAACAGTATGTGTGTGTGTGTGTGTGTGTGTGAATGGTGAATGCAAGCTTGAATTCACTGAAAATATACTGCCACCTTGAATTTATTTTTCCCCATATTCACCTAACTTGGTGCCAACATGACTCCCACCGCAATGATAACTAAAGTAACATGAAGCAGCACCAGGTTTGACATACAATATGCAGAACTGTACTACATAGCTACATCATCCAAGAATCACCACTTACCCTAATTTCCAGGAAGGCACCGCAGGGATTAATTTGTGTTTCATACATCCCCAACACGCACCCATACTTGTAAAACACTGAAAGAGAAATATTTCCTATTAAACTTTACACCGATTGATTGATTGTGGGAATAACATCCCTGACGACGCAACAGCTTAGGTCATATGCCGCTGAATTAAACCAAGAACTTAAGATACTTTAAGTGGAAATGCCGGTGGTGGGTAGGAGAAACAGAGGAAGACAAAAATGAAGGATAAGGAATGGAAAATCAGTGAAAAAATGGTTCATAACAGAGATGGGAGTAATGAAAGAAGAGGCATAGGAACTTAAAAAAATGTACAGATGAAAACTAGATAAATCCATAAGTAAAGAAGTTAATATCGAGTGAAACCTCCATATAAATGATGTTTCTCTCCATGTAATCCACTACATGGGTTAAATCATCATACTCGTCACACTGAAAGGGATAAATCATCATACTCATCACACTCAATGGGATAAATCATCATACTAAGGGGTTAAATCATCATACTAAGGGTTAAATCACCATATTCATCACATTCAAGGGGTTAAATCACCATACTCATCACATTCAATGGGTTAAATCATCAAGTTCAAGTGGTTAACAATATCATATAATTTCACAACTAAACCTAACCATTGTAGGAAAAGTTGATACTGTGTACTGTATATCAATAAAAACTGACTTTTACCAAATTTTACTTACAGTTTGTGTAAAGTTTCTTGACAGACTCTACTGTCCCAAGGTCAGGCTGAACAATGTTGAAATCTGAAAGAAAATCGAAATAACTGAAGCAAGAATAAACGTACTGAACCACACACTCACACAGAACAAGCAATGGTTTAGGTTATGAGAACACTAAATAAATCTTTAAAAACATTACCTAAACTTTCCGAACCTAAAAAAAAAGGTTAAAAATCGTTTTGAGTTTATGGGTACCCCCCCCCCCCTTCATCTGTAAACCTAAACTATACCATCACATACTAAACACCAAAAACAGGAATAAATAAAGCATTTTATAGTTTTAAGAGTTTTATAGGTTTGTGTTTTACCCCATATTTTCCCTCTACTTCAAGGCCCTGCCCACTTTGAACAACCAATATTGATGGAAATTGCGGAAATCTTATTGGCTAAAATACAAAAAAATATAAATAAATAAATTTGCACTAGAAACACAATCGAATGAAGTTTTTTGGATAATATATAGGACACATTAGTCATTAATATAAAACTTTACCTCTGCGTAGAAAGTGTTTCCAAAGATATTTATCGTTTGCCAGTTGATGTAGACGACTGCTTGTTGAACTAAGAGCTGCCAAATCTTGGGCCCTACAGTGCGACATAATTCTTAACCACACACAGTCTGACAGCTGATCAAAACTAATATTTGACATTTTCACTATCAGTTGTCTGTGGGAGCTTCTCTATCCAACGATTTTGTTGTTCTGTAAAGAAAAGTCAAATAGCAAATATATTAAACCTAGTACAGTACTAACAAATAAAGAAAATACTATCAGAGATATCACAATAGGGGAATAGGGGAAGAACTAGGGAACAGTGATCACAGAGAAATCAAGTTCACCCTAAATTGGGAAACGAAAAACAATGACAAAATGGTTAGAGTCCCAGACTTTCAATTGGGGGATTATGAGGGGTTAAGAAGCTACCTAGGTGAGGTGTTAAGAGGGAGATAAGAAGGAACTGGTTCACAAATGGGGTGGTATACGAGTGGAACAAGCATTGCAGCTTTGTAGTAAGTGCTGGAACGGTCCGACTAATTACCCAAATGTACCCAAATGTAGCCAAATATAGCCGGAATGAAGTCAAATGATGGTCGTACAAGCGTAATTCATTTGGTGTCTGGAAAACTTGAATCAGTTAATAGATCACGCATGTACCGATTATCAAATGTAGCATAATGAAGTCAAATGATGGTCGTACAAGCGTAATTCAGGCTGTGAATCACTTCTCGATTATTATTTGGTGTCATAAAGTAAAAAAAAATTGGTAAACTTAATTTAATCTGAGTTGTGTTGTGTTGCGTTAGGTTAGGTTAGGTTAGGTACATGCACTTGATCTATTAATTCAGATTAAATTAAGTTTACCAATTTTTTGTGACTTTGTGACACCAAATACTAGTCGAGGTTAGGTTAGGTTAGGTTAGGTTAGGTACATGCACGTGATCTATTAACTCGGATTAAAGTAAGTTTTCCAATTTTTTGTGACTTTGTGACACCAAATACTAGTCGAGAAGTGATTGGCAGTCCGATTTATTCATCTAGGACCATTATTTGACTTCATTGCGACTACATTTGGCTACATTTGGGTAATTAGTTGGACCCAGTGCTGGAATGCTGGAAAGTTTTAAAAGGAGGCTAGATAGATTCATGGATGACAGAGTGGTAGTAAATCTCGACAGGAGCTGCCATGCACAGGTCAAACCTATTGCAGTCTCCTTATTTTGTTTGTTTTTCTTATAAACAATAAATATTTAAAGCCCCTATGAAACTGACCAAGCACTTTAACAAAACAGTAATAATATGGTATCGTAAAACTATAGACTTACTTGGACAATGTTATGATAGGAGTTAGTTTGGTCGCTTATAGTCAATGGTGTTTTTACATTTTCTTTCTTCCTTCTTCCTTAACTCATTGTGTACAGGATCCCCCTTTGTACTGAATAAAATCGACTAAATTAACCAAATAAAAAAATTAAATGAAAAAGTAGTGTTTGGCGAGAACTACTGCAAAGGTAAGCACGACGGCAGGTTAGTTCACTTGTACTCATTTAAATTGATTCAGTAACGAGTAACTTGCACAACAATGGGCCCCCATAAACCCATTAGGCCTTATCCACCAGACTTCAAAAACCCATTTACCTATAATCGACTTCATAACCCCATTAACCAATAAGACCCCACAACACCATAAACGTACTCTGTGATTTAACAAACCCATTAACCATAATAAACACACAAACCATAAAGTCTATTGAATGAAGCCACCATTTGCTTGACATGCTACCCATACTTTGGTAGGTGCTTGGCAGTCCTTGGAGCCTGGGTCTATTATTTCAGTGGCGAAATAATGGCGAAGATTCTGTGGAGAAATAAGTAGTTAGTAACGCTGTACCCATACCGTAACACTCAGCATGCAAACTTTGTGATAAACCTTTAAAGCATACACTTGAAAACTATATTATTGAATGTGACACTGTCAAAAACTTCAGGCCACCTGGCTTATTGTATCATGAATTTTGTAATTACTACATTGAATCGGGGGTGCTTGGGGGTCATTCTTGCTGTATATCCCAAATTTGCTAGCCTACACTGATAGTTTTCAATTAGAATATGACGTCCAATGTATATGAACCACTGTCTTGCATGGCAGCGAACAGTGACATCACCCACATGACTCTGACATTATATATACTGCTAATGAATATGATGCATGATGCTGATAACTACAAGAAAACACGAAGTTCCCAAGCGCTTTCGTGTAATTCACATCTTCAGGGGTGAGTACAGACTAAAGAGTAATACTTGATAAGGCTAATGTATACTGTAGAGGAGAGTGAGATCAAGTTCCTAGGGGACAGCAAGTGACCACAATGTTCCGGACATAAGGCAGTGACCCAACTCTTACTAATCTTCTTAATAACAAAATTGACCATGCTATTTCTAATATGTTTAAAGGAGGGCCACCAGACTGGTGCCTGCCCTTCGGCACCTCAGCTACCCTGAGAGATTGGAGCGCCTGAACTTGCCTAGCTTATATTACAGACGGGCAAGGGGGGACCTAATAGAGGTGTATAAGCATCTCAAGGGGCACTACTCAGTCGAGTGTCTTTACTTGGAGCTGGCGGACGCTCGCCCCACAGGGGGTCACAGCTCAAGATTGAACTTTACTTTTTTTATCCTCTTCGCCACTGATCGGCTTGTTAGCCGCTTGGGCGATCGGTCACGACTCTTTTCCTTTATATTCTTCACCAAAAGGTCGGCTCGCTAGCCGCCCGGGCGATCGGTCACGTCTCTGTCACGCACTGTTGGCAAGTACTGGGCAAGCACCGGCTCCTGAATGTACCTGAACCCGCTCCAGTGTTGGTCTAGTCTTCTCTTGAAAGAGCTCACACTCGGTGCCGTCACAACACTTTCTGGTAGATTGTTCCAAGAGTTTACAACCCTCACTCCGAAAAAGTTTGCCCTCACGGTTTTCCGGACTTGCGGCTTCTTCAATCTTGAGCTGTGACCCCTTGTGGGGCGAGCGTCCGCCAGCTCCAAGTAAGGACACTCAACTGAGTAGTGCCCCCTGAGATGCTTATAAACCTCAACTAGGTCCCCCCTTGCCCGTCTGTAGTATAAGCTAGGCAAGTTCAGGCGCTCCAATCTCTCAGGGTAGCTGAGATGCCGAAGTGCAGGCACCAGTTTGGTGGCCCTCCTTTGAACATTTTCAACCAACTGACAGTCCCTAGCATATCTCGGGGACCAGATGGGGTGACAGTACTCCAGATGGGGAAGCACTTCACTCCTGAAGATCGTCACGAGGGACGGACCGTCTAGATATCTGAACGACCTTCTTATAAGACCCAATAATTTATTTGCCTGATTTACCTTCTTCTCACAATGGCCCGAGAACTTCAGCTCATTGTCAACATACACACCTAGGTCCTTCTCACACACAGTCTCAACTAGTACATTTTCTTCATCCCGTTGGGACATATGGTACGCCTCCTTACCGTTGGTACGCCCCAGGTGCATCCTCTTACACTTCGTGACATTGAATCTCAGCAGCCATTCCTTCGACCATTCCTGGAGCCCACAGAGGTCCTTCTGCAGCTCTTCACAGTCCGCTTGGTTCTTAATTTCCCGAAATAACTTGGCGTCATCGGCAAACATTTGTATGGAGGAGTGTACAACGTCAGGCATATCATTTATGAAACAAACAAACAACAGCGGGCCCAATACACTACCCTGCGGTACCCCACTTGTTACAGGTACAGATGACGATTTCGTGCCATTAATCACCACACATTGCTTGCGGTCATGTAGAAAGTCTTCTATCCACGCTAGGACATTTCCCCGAATTCCGTACCCTTCCAGTTTGATTTTCAGCCTTTCGTGGGGTACACTGTCGAAAGCCTTGGCAAAATCTAGGTAAATATTGTCGATATTACCACCCCGTTCTAGAATATGGGTCCAAATATCCAATACCTTGAGCAATTGTGTCAAGCAAGAGCGCCCCGGCATAAAACCGTGTTGGCAATCTTTTACAAGGTTGTTTCGTAGTAGATGTTCCATCGCTGCATCTCTGATAATACTCTCAAGTACTTTACATATTATGCTGGTCAGGCTCACCGGTCTATAGTTGTTCGTGGAGTGCCTATCGCCCTTCTTGAAGATAGGACTCACATAAGCCACTTTCCATTCACTGGGGACCATTTGTTCATCCAGGCATTTACAAAACAGAATCTTCAGGGGCTCTGCAAGCTCGTTGCACAGCTCCCTTAGCACTCTAGGATGCACCATGACAGGTCCAGGACTCTTATGGACCTTTAGCCTGGACAGTTTATTTCTAATACCCTCTTCTGTGAACACAATGTGGGTCAGTGCTGTGTCGAACCGTCTGTCCTCAAACGCAGGAAGGTTAGTTGCATCCTCTCTTGTGAACACTGAGGAAAAGAAGCTGTTCAATGCCTCAGCTTTATCCTGGTCAGAATCTGCGTAACTACCATCTTCAAGCCTCAGGTCTGATACTCCTACTCGCGTTTTCAATTTCGACTTTGCATAGCGGTAAAACGCCTTTGGTTTGACTTGACCTCGCGTGCAACCAGCCTTTGGAACTCCTTTTCAGCCCTCCTACACTCTATCTTTGCTTGGTTTCTGGCTCTTGCATACATCCTCCTGTCTTGCTCATCGTTTGACCCAACCTACGTCTTGAATTTCTGGGTTTTCTTCTTAATTTTGTCGACCGCCGCATGGTTCATGTGTAGGGATCCCCTCGTATTCCTAGAAGCACTGGGTTTGGTCTTGGGTATATATTTATCGATCAAATGGGTCATTTTACTAGTTATGATATTCAGCGTAGTGTCTGCGTTCTTGTACCTTAATAAGTCAGGCCAGTTGATACCCCTCATCTCTTCCCTCATCCCATTGTAATTTCCCTTGTAATATTTGCACCTTGGCCTGGCCTTATCTTGAACTAGGTAACAGTTAAATCTGAATGACAACACTGTATGGTGACTGGTGCCAACTGGGGCAAGGTGTTCCAGTTTGGCCACCATACCCTCCTCGTTTGTTATGATGAGGTCAAGTGGCTTGGGTGTTTGTTCCCCTCTGTAATGTGTCGGGTCTCTCACATGTTGGAACAGAAAATTATCTCTCAGAGTTTCTACAAAAAGAGTAGCAGGATTATTCAAGTCATTCGGGGTTGACTCGTTTCTCCAGTCGATGTCGCCATAGTTAAAGTCCCCCATGATAAGGAGGTGGCTGGGGTTGAGCATCGCCGCATTGTTTATTAAGGTTCTTAAGTTCCTTTGATTTAGTGGGCCACAGTTCGGGGATCTGTAGATACACCCGACGATAAGTAAGTCCCCTCCCTTTAATTTAATTTTACACCACTTGGACTCTTCAAAGACATCCTCTCCCTGTACCCTCGCCTGGCTGGCTCTAAGGTCTTGCCTAGCGTAGATAACCACACCCCTCCTGCAGAAGCCGAAGTCCAGAAAACTGTGAGGGCAAACTTTTTCGGAGTGAGAGTTGTAAACTCTTGGAACAATCTACCAGAGAGTGTTGTGACGGTACCAAGTGTGAGCTCTTTCAAGAGAAGACTTGACCAACACTGGAGCGGGTTCAGGTACATTCAGGAGCCGGTGCATGCCCAGTATTTGCCAACAGTGCGTGAGAGAGACGTGACCGATCGCCCGGGCGGCTAGCGAGCCGACCTTTTGGTGAAGAATATAAAGGAAAAGAGACGTGACCGATCACCCAAGCGGCTAACAAGCCGATCAGTGGCGAAGATGATAAAAGTAAAAAGTAAAAAGCAAAAAAAAACTAAAATGAAAAAAAAATTCCTGGACTTGTATGTATATTTAATTAAACAAAGAAATAACCTAAACCTAAGTGTTTCATTGGTACTATTCTCCGTGAATTGTAATACGTGTTTCTTCATTATTGCTGAGCACAGTCTGAAAAGTAGCGCCGCGGCACTAATAGCGATAGTGATAGGACACACAGAAAGAGCGGCTTATTTTTTTATATACCTTTGATCATAGTACAAGCTTGCCGCCATTTGGGCATAGTTAGTTAACCATCTTTTTTTACACTGGACAATACCTTTCTCACATCTGACCCAGAATCGATCCCATGTCCACAGTAGTAGGCAGTACCATAGCATTACCAAAGGACATTAATTTTTAAGTTATTCGAGACACGACAGTACATAACATGTTATTGTGTACCAGCTGGTGGTCTACACCTTGATGTTTGAGATAACTAAACAAAATAAACATGATCTATCCATTAGTTGAAAAAATTAGGATCAACACCATTACCTCGCAAGCGTTAATAATGGTCATTAGAAGCAGATGGAGCTATGACGTCAGCAAACTCATTAAAATAATCCTAAGTAAACAAATATGAATTTAAAAAACAGAGGATAAGTGGTAAAGTAAAAAAAAAGAAAAAATCAAGAACAATTGCCATATGTCATCATGATGTACAAATTATTGAGTTAAATAATAATTCTGTGGGTCCAACTTGAGTAAGATAAACAGGTATATGTAATTTTACGGAGCATGCTACTTTTTGTGATTTAAATACTAATGGGTAATGAATCAAGAACATATATTACTATGATGCAAAATAAAATACATTAATAAGGATCACCAGTATATATTAAGGCAATATTTATTTGGGTTTATATTTCAGGAATAGAGTAAATATAAAGTCTTCAAAATATAGTTTGGGTATAGTTGAAAATTTTATCAAAGTACATGACAATAAATATGAATCACAATAAAATACATTATTTACACATATATATTGTTCTTAAATTATGATGTTAATCTTAAAAATCCTGCTGAGATAAGATGAGTGGCGAACTAAGTAGAGTTGGCAGTATTATAGGAACGACTCCATCTTGTGAACTGGTCCACTAGAGTCAGATAGTGGCGTCTCCGTAACGTGAGTATTAAGTCTGTCTTGTTTTATGTTTTAAGTGTTAATAATCCTTCATGACAGTGGGAAAATATATGATCGGTAGTTAGTCCTTACGCTGAGGTTTATGGTGATACGAGAAAGAAACGCGCGTGATAAAGAGTTGAAGAAGACATTGATTGCGGAGTATTTGTCATGCGCTGGTCGACGACGCCACCACCATCATTAAATCCCTTGTGTACTCTTTTTCTATCACACCTACCAACGTCTTCTGCTACATTTAAATATCCCTAATATATTACCTGATGCTGAGGTTGTTTTGTTTGTGAAGAACTGGCGTAAATTGTGTATTTTTCAGCACGTATATACATGTCAAGACTGAACGCGTATATAGGGGACCTGACGCTATGTTGTAATGGTTAACTTTACGTAAACAATCGATTTTTTTTTATATGAGTAATTACTGAAGACAAGTAAATTAACTGTTGTATTATCTTGTACTTTTTAAATTGGTAAACTTGTTAATTGTTGACTTGAGAGTAGTAATAATCATCTTGGCAATGGTGATTTGGGGGTGTTATCGTGGCCACTTTCTGCCGGTATGACGTTATTATTGAAGGCAGTGGACTGAGTTTTAACACAAGGACACAATCATGGAAGTTCTTGTGTCACCCAGTGTTGAAATAAATGGTTAACGTGTAGATTAATGCTGCCAACGATTCTAGCAAGAACACACTGCTATACCACCCCAATTTTTGTTGTTAATTGCTAATGACAGTGGGTTAATAATTTTCAGAAAGTGTCGCCAATGAAAAAATCAGTAAAGTTAATGCAGAAAAAAAATTAAACATTTACAATTAATAGTGAAGTTTGTACATAATATCCTGTCCAGCCTGACGTTGATATTATAAACCAGCTCTCGGTTCCATTTATACAAGTCACAACCATACCATGTTTCCAAATATTTCTTAAAGTTTGATGTTGAATTATTGTGAGTCATAAGTGATAAATATGGAAAATTGTTAGTACAGTGTTGTCTCTTATGTCATTCTGTCAGAAACTGAATGGCAGGATGTCTTTTGAGTTTATACGGGACAACACAGAGACGTGAGTAAGGCTTTGATCGACACCCTCATAAGTTACTGCCACAAATTCCTGTTGTTATGTGGTCTCATAAGGGAAGAGACCAGGTGATGTAGTGTACAGTAATATATCTTAGTTATGTGTGACTAGTGAGGCAGATGATGGCCCATGTAAAGGTATTCTGGTAAAATCTAACTTGAAAATGGGTTTTAGTAATGACCAAACAAATATATTTAATATACTATAACAAATTTGGCAAGAATTCAAATAAAGTAGACAGGTGAGTCACTGAAGAGTTGGGTTCCAGGACCTAACCTAACCTAACCATATATATGGTTAGTTTAGGTTTTGTGTGGGAAGCTACCAAGTGATAGTCATGATTTTCATGTATACACTTGTCTATTGAGAGGAAATTTCCACCTGCCAAGATAAAATTTGGACACTGATCACATTACCATACTTTAATGATTGCCAATTAATGTTTATCTCTACTGGAATTAGTTATAAGACAGTACTGGATTCACTAAGTTTATGGAATGGTGTTTTGCACCATATGTGGCAGTATTAGCTCATTTGTTTGTTGTAATGGTTAGTGGTGCAGAAAATTATTATTATTTTATAGCAAATTGGTTTGTTAAAATCAGAAATAGAATGGTGTCCCTTTTGTGTGTGTGGGGGGGAGGGGGGGGGGGTTGTTGTGGTGAACGAATTATACCCATTTATACAAAATTATGTTGATAATGTTATGGTATGGAAGAGGAAGACATACTTTGAGAGACTGCAAGGCCATGTTCATATGAGATTAGTGTGACAATTTTCTTTTCGTGAATAAAGTGAGGTGATCTTAGAGGTGATGCCATGTCATACAGTGGTTCAGTACTGTACTTCATGTGATGACCTCATACTGTACCAGCATGCAGTATTCTCAGCAAACCTCATAATCTGCATTTGATCTGATTTCTGTTCCAAGCTCATTGAACAATTACTACTGTAAGATTAGTCATAATGTTCATGGTGATTGTAAACGCCATGTACTGTACACACGAGTATAATGTACTGACACAGTGTGACCCACATTACTCTTATCTGGCAGTCACAAGCACACTATGTAGGCCACTTTTAGTTGTGGTACAATGTCAAGCTCAGTCCACTGGTGCTGCAGCAGTTCTGTTGGGCCTGGCTGAAGCAAATTACTTAAATATAAACAATGCTTGAGGCAAAGTGATGATTTGAAGGTCACAAGATTGTCTCTAATTCAGTATTTGAGAGACTGTCAATACGCATAGGATCCGGATCTCAGAAAACACGTGATATTATGATGTTATTTTTGACACCTTTTGTTTAGCGTATTACCGTATATCCCGTACAATATACAGTATCTGTTCAAGAGGTATATACTATTTAAGTGAATGTTAAAGGTTGCACAAGGCTCACGTCTAATAAACATGCTTGTGTTTGTTGTGTTTATCAGTAGCCTTTGTGAAAATGTACTGTTGTAATGAGTGAGAGTTCTTACACATAAAAAAAAGCAGTAAATTCTGTACTTAGATTCAGTATGTAGAAATGATAAAGGAGTCTCCAACATAAAGTTTGCTATCTCTCTCTCCATTTTATCTCAGTCTCTCTCTCTCTCTCCCTTCCATCTTGCTCTCTCCCCTTCCATCTTACTCACTCCCCTTCCATCTTGCTCACTCCCTTCTCTCTTCAATAGGTCAGGTAAAACAAAAACAAAATATTGATGAGATGCTGCTGTTGAACTGGAAAAGATTTCTTAGTAAATTTATATATTATTGTGGTCTATAATTGACCATTTGGGAGGCTGGCTGTACAGTGCTGCTCTGAGTCTTGGTTCCTCCCGTTTCTCAAAAAAAAAAAAAAGGTGTTCGACATAATGGTTTATATGCTCTCATTATTTGTCTATTGAGGGAATATCATTAAACAAAAGTAAAAAAAAAAGTCTTGCTAGTGGTCAAGAGCACAGTAGTGGAAGTTGGAACTCGGGGTACGACTGGCTTTTGTTTAATTGTCGTAATCAGTACATGAACTTCACGGCGAAATGAATATTCTTATGAACTAAACTTAATCCATTGTTTTGCAGCTGAAGTACTGTTTTGTTGTTGTTTTTTCTGATGAATCTACAGTTGGAGTGGTGGTAAGGCATACCTGTTTGTGTGTGTAGCTGGGAGGGGCAGGGTCTGTTTGTTGCCCTCGTGGTAGGTTCGGCCGAGTACTATATGCCGTACGGTAAACCGATCCTGAAAGTGGCTTAATGCACCGTGGTTTTATTTGTGCAATTGACAAGTATGTAACACTTGTCCTTAACGAAGAAATTGGAATACAGTATTTGTGGGTTGTTGGTTGGGGTGATGACTGTGCAGGTACCCATTTCAGGCCAACACAGTGTTAGTCTGCCTCTGGTATACTGTACTACTCTGATGTTCAACTCAACATCAATTTAGGTTTATGGTTATTTTGCCATTATTCTGATTTATTACACAGTGGTGCTGAAATGTAATGAAAGATATAATTTATTATTGTTTGACTTTACTTTATTATTGTTTGTTTTATTGCTTTATTAACATTTTTATTGAATTAAATTTTTTCTTCATAAAAACGTTTATACAGTATGTTTTTGGAATGTATACAGTACTGTAGTATCCACGTATATTCCTGTAAGACACTAAATTTGCCACAAGCACTTTTGTCATGTGGTATTTTTGAAGAAGATAACCCTCGTATTGATGAGATACAGTACTGTAGAATGTATGCAGTACAGTATACGCCATTGAAAATTCAAACCGAGTTCGTGTAAATGTGTAGAATACAATATGTTCAGTGATTGGCCAAGATCCCTGGAAAGCCATAACAGTATATGCAGTATAGTGATGATTAAAGGTGTATACACATTTGTTATCATGTAGTGTCTGCAACCTTTGTTAGCTTTGCTGACTAGAAATCCAGTTATTATTTTCTGTATTCAGTTTTTTATCTGATTACAAACCCAGTGTTCATCATGTTTGTTTATGTTCATTAAGTTTGGTTTTATTTAACTGATTTCTTTCAGTAATTTGGAGAATGTTATTCTTGAGAAAATGTTGGTTAAGTTGACACCTAACTGCTTCACCCCCCTAGTGTAAAATGTGAAGACAAAATATAGACATATTTAATATTACTGTATGTACTTGTGTTGATCCTCAAGATAATTCTGATATACCACGTAGCATGAAGGTAATTTGTTAAAATAAAAAAACTTTCTTTGTAATATAAAAAGTTATGGGTGTGCAAGTATTGTCAGTGAAAATATATCATAGCCAAATGGAGTTGATGGCAAATACCAGAATTATCCCACCAAATCAGGGGGAGAAAATGAGGTAGGATGATGCCAGGTGTGAGAAAATGACACTGACGGGCTACCCCGTGTCAATCATCACGAGAAAGTCACAAAGATCATTCATCTTCATCACCATCCTTATGTCTGGGGCATGTTTCTTCTTAGCTGCTGTAGCCGTGTCTGCCATACCTCTAACATAACTGTAAAATAATGTATGCTTGGCGGCACAGGAGAGTGAGGAATGAGAATGGAGGAAACTACAGCGGGCCAAACTGGGCAGTCTCGTTTGCACCCAACCCCTATCGCTCGTCTATCCTTCCAACTTATGTTTGAAGCTATCCAGCGTATTCGAGTTAGTGATGATGTTTGGTAACTGTTCCACTCATCCACTACTCGATTTCCAAACCAATGTTTACCTATCTCGTGCCTAAATCTATATTTGTTTTATTTAAAACCATTGTTATGAGTTCACTCCTGGTTGGTTAGTTTGAGTACCTTTGTTATATTATCATTGGCTGAGGACAGGGAATGAATGGGGATATTGTACATCATCCAGCATAAAATCTGGAGTAAATTATATTGATGTCAAATAATGTCGTCAGATTAATCACAGGCATACAAATCATGCGGGGGGATGTTACCATGAAGGGGTTAAACTTGCCTACTTTATATTTTTGTGTTGTGAGAATTTGCCAGCATGCAGCTCAACAATTTGCACCAAGGATCATTACAAATCACACCGTGCAGCTATCTAGAAGTTTTATAAGCCTGCCTTCTAAAGCTTGTCACTTGAAGGAGTGGTTTTTGTGTGCATTAATAATTTTGTATTGGCTCTATAATTAATTCCACTCAAGTTACCTGCAAACATGACTACAGTAGTGTTGCTTTCATGGGTACCCATAAGTCTGTTACATTTATGGCCAAAAGTCAGTTGTGACCCTGAATGAAGAGCCAGCACCTTAGTGTAGTTGCATGTTGTTCTGCAGACACCTTTTAACCCCTTGTGTATGGAGTCCTCTCTTGAGCTCAATAGAATCGTCTGGTTGAGCCGGATGAAATATTAAAATGGGCGCCCCTGTAGTGAAGGGGTTGATTATGGCACTTCCGACACTTTTTGTTCTGTACCGCATATCATTATTATTATTATTATTTTTATTATCATCACAATAAAGATTTACAACACTGAGAAGAATTTCAACTTTCCCCTCAGTGAAGACTTAGAGTGTTGGAAACATGTGGCGAGTTAATAAAAGTTAAAGCAGCAGCCATTTTGATTTCCCCCATGTTGATCCAGTACAATGCAGTATTTAACACATGAACATGATATATACTGTAAGGAGATACAAGCTTGATGAAACTTTATGAAATTCATGTGTGTTAATATTTGGGTTTGAATATAATACACTCCATTTACCAACTTGGCTGGTAGGTCATCCAGTAGCTTTTGCAAACATTCAATTGTAAGACCAAATGGTTGAGATCACTGTTAACTGATGAAACATAACCAAGTTTTTACATCAGTGGGTGTATTGCGTACCAAGGTGCTTAATCTCCTTGACGTTTGCCATGTATTCTTCGGGAATTTTTAAATTGTTAGGAGAGTTATTTTTTTGGACATTTATGTGCGGTCACTCCATGGCGGTCTTGCTTTTCTGGAGATAATTTTTTTGAGTAAAAACATTAAAAAAAGTGCTTGATCATTTTATATTAAGTATGTTGTGCTATGAAACCATTTGATTCAGATTTAAGAAGGAAAAATGCACACCTGAGGGAGTGTTATGGGGGTAAGGAAAATACAGTAGTGTACAGTATTATCAAGGTGCACTGTTAAGTGTTGAGCCGGCATGAAGCCAGATTGGCCAAACTCAATACTGTACACTCACTTGTCAGAGGTTTAAGCAGCACTACAACAGAGGCAAATTGAACTGCTTTTGGGTCATTTCTGTTTGAAATAGTCAATGCAGCACAAGGTACCATTAGTTTGAATTACAGGATACAGTACCTGTATTTCGAATTTGAAAACTGCTCTTCTGGAGAATGTGTACAACAGTACTGTTTGTAGGGGCAGTGTGGATACAACACTGTATGCTAAACCTTTGGTACACCAGGAGGCAGCAGGGCCGGTACTGCTCTTGACTGCATTTCACTTCCCCGAGTTGTAAACTTGTGTACAGGGGTCCCTGAGTTAGGAACGGGGAGGACGTTCTTAAGACGGATTTGTACGTATTATGTAAGTTGGAACACATGCTGTATGCATACCATAATTACAAAACAATGTTTAAAATCCCACTACATTATATCATAGCCTAAGTCCTTATATACATCTAAAATCACTTAATTTAAGGCAAAAGAAGAAATAGAATGACAAAATACAGTAAATGAAAGTACAAAATTAAATCGGGTAAATAAAATGCTTTAAATTTCATGTTTAACCTCGTTCGTATTGGCGGGCATTCGTAAGTCGGGGATCCCCTGTACTCATTTACAGGTACAGTACAATAATGTATCTCAAAAACTAGGTATTGAAGTTTTCTGAAATTTTCCTGTATGAAAGCCATTGGTACAGTGTCTGAGTTATGTAAGTGAAGGGACTTGTGTCTTCAAGTTTGTCTATTTTGTAATTTGTTGAAAAATATAATTTTGCCACAAAGGTCCTGAATAATGTTACAAATCTAGGGATGAGAGCCACTGGTTCTGGATATATAAATGTGAAAAATTTATGGAGTGAACACAGGTAATATGTGTTGGTGTAGATTTTATGTATACTTTACTGTATTTTAAAACCATAACTGAAAACTGGTTGGTGGTTTGTAATAATTTATTTTGTGGTGGTGAAGGCCATTAATACTGATGGAACAATTTATTTTATTGATTTGTGTGGTATGGCAGTGCAGTACAGATCTCAGAAACTTCACTTCTTGCCTATACTGTACTTTTACATATGTTTTGTATTTTATTTTTAATTGAAATTTTTTTTTTTTTTTTTTTTTAAAGCCTTTATTTCTCACTCCTCCCCTCCACCATATAGCTAGAGTCAACAACAAACACAATCTTCTTTTGCTGTCTTTCATTCAGGAGTCGAGATCAAATACACACCCGTTTTCCCCTTCATATTACAGTGAAACCTCTATTTAACCTACAGTACTATATGGAGTGAAAAATCCGTTATATCAAGGGGCGGTTACAGTATATGTTAAACCTCCATCTAACGATATACATAGAGGTGAAAGTTTGTTATATCAAGGGTCCGTTAGATATGAAGCCCCCCAGGTGAGACGAGTCCATTATATAGAGGTTTCACTGTATGCCATTAATCTGTTCTAATAGAGTAGTGCAGTACATTGTTTTGTTATAGTGTATGGTACTACTTCCACAACAAGACAAACAAAGATAATATTACAAGTTATTTACCTCTTTCTTCACATGTCGTAGCATTGCCCACCATGCCCCTCCCCTCCCCAAAACCCTGTTAGCTGCACCGATCTTTGGGTGTTGACTCACGTCGTTTAGTTCAGGATATTGGATTCTTTACCCAATCTTTCCATCTCAATTGTTTTCTCATCACCCTCTTTGTATCGACCACCTCTAATTTTGTACGCTATGTCCGTCATCATCGCCATCATCATCATTTTACGCCCATTTGACGTACATACCTAGTGTATATTTGATGTGTTAAAATGTTTATTACCATGCTCATCCCTCAACAGATTTTCCAGATTCTCATATTGAAGGCTTACCTACGGTACTGTATGGCTAGGCTGTGTCTTAAGTTATAATTCTGCAATGTATATATATGATGTAGAACCAGCAAGTATGTTCCCAGCTAACCAGAAGTATACCGAAGAACAGGAAAAGGAGAAAGAAAGAGAGGAAAAAGGTTATTCAAGACCTGGTAATTCTCATTCAGGATTGTGCAGTGTTTGATGGAGAATAAACCTTTACCGCAACCTTACTTGTCATAGTTGTGTTTACGTCTCACATGTTGTCAAATTCATCCCAGTAACCCCGGGCTACGCAGTGTTTGAGTTATGGCCGACTGCAACACTCACGGGCATAATACAGATTGGGAAATATATGAGACGTGACACTTAAATTAGGGTTATTGTTTGTGGCTGACCTATGTCTTATGTCTATTGGTATTGTACCTTTTAGTTTTAAGTTGTATAGTACAGTGTATATATATATATATATATATATATATATATATATATATATATATATATATATATATATATATATATATATATATATATATATATATATATATATATATATATATATATATATATTTATTTATTTGAGTGTAGTCATAGGTATAATTCTGATATGTGTGCGTGCGTGGTGTGCGCAAGTGAGTTAGTTAGTTAGTTAGTTATGTACAGCCTATGTTAACCAGTAGGTAGAATAATTTTTGGGTGTGTGACTGTGTATATAGGTTAGGGTATGTGTGTAAAGGTAAGGATGTATAAGGGTATGTGTGTGAAGGTAAGGATGTATAAGGGTATGTGTGTGAAGGTAAGGATGTATAAGGGTATGTGTGTGAAGGTAAGGATGTATAAGGGTATGTATAAGGATGTATAAGGGTATGTGTGTAAAGGTAAGGATGTATAAGGGTATGTGTGTGAAGGTAAGGATGTATAAGGGTATGTGTGTGAAGGTAAGGATGTATAAGGGTATGTGTGTGAAGGTAAGGATGTATAAGGGTATGTGTGTGAAGGTAAGGATGTATAAGGGTATGTGTGTGAAGGTAAGGATGTATAAGGGTATGTCTGAGTGTGTTTCCAGGTGAAGATGTATCAGGGTATGCAGGTGTGTTAGGGTGTGGTGCTAACACCGCCAATGTTACACAGATAGCAGAGACCATGACACACACTATGGACAGGAGAAGGCAGTGCAGTAATGGTGTTCAACGCTACATATACACCCGCCTGCGCTATTCCTCACCCCATGACCTCTCGGTGTAATTTGTTATATTTGTGATAATGTCAACAAGTTAGTGCATTCATGGGTCTTCATTTATGAGAAGTTTTCACAGCAAGAATCTTTGAGAGCGTGCACCCAGTGATCACATATTCTTCATCCTCCTGCGGACAAGACCTGCACTAATTCTCTCCTCATTACTAGCATGCCTTGCTTCTTGTTTCAGCTGTTTATAATAATGTGCATGTTAAAACTGAACTATACTTGAAATTATTTAAAAATGTAGAACACGTTATTTCAGAAAGCATGCATCATATACATAAAGATTTGGGGAAATTTCACGTTTTTTAGTGGGAAAGTATTCAGAAAAACACTTGCACATAAACTGTATTTATGTGTATAGACGTTGTAATTATAACAAGGAGAACAATGAGATATTCAGTTTACTTTGAATACCTTTACACCAGGAGGCAAAATATTCCATTAATTGCCTATGATAACATTAGATCAGAATTTTAAACAGTTTATAACAGAATATTAATAAAGAAATCTTGTGCATCTTAAAGTGTTGTGAATGGTGATCGTGGTTGAAACATTCACCACACTAGAGTGGCCGTGCGGTGAATAATACTCGTACTTGTGGCTGTGATGTAATGGGGGTTTATTGTATGGTGTTTCAAAAGTAAAGATAATAGCAAACTTCTTTAGGTGTGATAGGCACGAGTTTTACCCTTTAATGTTTTATGTTATTGTCTTACAGGTTATGGACCTTCAAGGATTTACTACATTAGATGAAGTTGGAGCAGATGATCCACAAGTAAGACATCAGGAGAACAATTTTAAACCAACAACAGCTGCAGAGGAAATTGATTACTTGAATAAAATTCTTGCGGATATTGAGAAAAGTAATGGGAGTGATATTAACAGTAACAGAAAGAAGACTGGGTGTGACAGTGACATTGAAGGACAAAACTTGGGAGGCAATAACTGCTTTGAGCTAAATTCTGAGAACAATGGTGACACTGGACAAAAACCATTCAGTGCTCATAGTAACGGTGGAGAAAACATTATCGGTGAAAAGGACACAGAAGGGCAGAACTATGAGAGTGATGATGAAAAGAAACATTTCTCCAAAGTGCAAAAATATATTATGCAAGATTCTGACTTGTCCTGTGTAGATGATGTCGTGACTCAAGCTGGTGATGATGAGCACACCCCAGTGCTTAATGTGGACAGTGGCCATGTACTAAGTGGAGTTAGCACTGAACCCAACCTTGTAGCTTTAAGTCCTATTCCAGAGTTAGATTTTAGTTGTCAGAGTCATCCAGGCCTAGATGTTGATCTGGAAGATGATTTAGGAGATTGTAATCTTGAAGCCATCAGTTTGGCAGCACTAAATGAGGCTGGGAGCTCAGAGCTAAGCCCCATTACAACTGATGCCACCTTAGTTTCAGTTATTTCCTTAGTTGATTGTTCAGCGGGGCTTGAGTCGCGACATTATTCAACGGGGGACACTTCAAATAGTTATCTTTCAGGTGAGGATGTTTCAGGGTTAACTTGTGGGAATCCAGTTAATTCAGACGAGTTAACTTTCCATAATATTGTTCTTGGAAATATTAGCAATGAACTTGCTAACTCCCAGGAACCAGGTCAAGTAGTTGAGGATAAGGAATCAAATTTAAACCAAACACACGTTGATCTTTCCTTGGTGAAATTAGAACCCGTTGATGCCGATCCCGGAGAGGAATTTGAATGTTCTGGTTTCTTCAATGACCCGGCTGAAGACTTCAAGGTAAAGGAGGAATCTAAGGTTAAGGAAGAACCTCCAGATTTTCCCCTAACACCAACAATGGACAAGGCAGATATTAATTTGTTTCCTGTTAAGATATGCAAGAGTGAAGGTCAACTCTCAGATGAACCCGATGTAGAAGTTCCCAGTGTGAGGTACCTGGTGGAGGAGGACAAGTATTACAGCCGGGAACAGATCACGGCAGCTCTCATTATCTCCCAGTCTTCTCTTGCTCCCGTTATCAACATGGATATGTTTCCCGACGAAGGCAAGACTAGGCTGACGCTGAATCTAATTTGCCTTGAAGATATGATTCATAAACCTAGTCATGTTGTTTTTGAAGATGTTGAGATTATTAAGTTATTTGCTATGAAATATGGAAGCTCATATTGTGAGTGGAAGAATGTGTTTAAATATAAGTCGCCGTCCACAAGATGTATGGGACCCAGGAAGAGAGGTGGTAAGAAAGACGGTAAAGATTCTGCCCCGAGGAAAACTGTGTCTGCCAAAGGAAAGAAAAAGAAAGTAGGTCCTAAAACGTGTCGGTCACCCACAACAAAATCCTTAAAATGCGAGGTGGGGACCAATGACTCCTCCGATGATAAGAAAGCCGTGAAACTTACACCAGCGTCCACTAAATGTCCTGTTGGAAGGAAGAGAAAAACCAAAAAAGGTCAGCAGGGTCATGAATCGCCCGGCAAACTTGCAGTGAAGGGCGAGGCGAGTCTCGTCAGTGGGACTTCAGGTGACGTTAAGACTGAAGAGACGACGGAAGAGGGTGATAACTCTCAGGCGTCATCTATAGGGTCTGACGCTGCGGCCGACATGAAAGAGAACGAACAGCCCGATGATAAACCAATTAAAAAGACACCACAGAAGAGGAGGAGAGGCAAACAGTATGAGATTTTACCCAATGAAGGAAATTTTTTAAAAGTTGAGACCAAACCTAACATCAAGAACTCCTCTGAAATAAGTTGTCTACAGTTGAGCAATACTTGTGAAGGCGGTATTAGTAGCAGCAGCAGCATCTTGGACTCTGTCAAGACCGGAGAAAATAAATTGGACATTAATTCGGAGGGTACAGCAACAGTGCCAGATGTAGATGTGAAAGTTGAACCTTCTGTGTTAAAGAAAACCACTAATAAAAGGAAATTAGGACGATTAAAGCAGCCTAAACCGGAAGAAGCATTAACGCTGAACACCAAACCCTGTTGTGTCCATTTGGAGGATATAGCCAAGGACACCAAGTACAAGGAAATAGTTCAAATGTGTTTAAGGTTAATATGTAAAGAAATGACAGCTTTAACGTCCTCCGAAAGTGAGGAAGGAATCAAGGTTGGCATCCTCCCGGACGCCGACGGTAGAGACGAGGATGTTCCGCAGGCGCCGACCTTGCCGGAATCCGAGACCCTTTTTGAGGAAGAAAATGGAGATGCAACGCAGAATTCCAATTGCTCGTTAGACGTTTTTGTAAACAAGGATGAATCGGGGGATGGAGGTGATGACGATAGGCCAGTGGAGGGAGTAAAAGAGGAAGATGGGTCAGTAGAGGCAGTAAAAGAGGAAGACGGGTCAGTAGAGGCAGAGAAAGATGAAGATGGGTCAGTGGAGGTGAACATTGGAGATAGACTGGTGGATGTAGGTACTGGTGACGAGATGGCCGACGCGGAGAGCGAGGACAACCAAGCGAACACGGAAGGCGAGAACTCGTGCTACGAGGAGGAAGGCAATGAATCAGAGACAGTTGAGGTAGATGAGAAAGCGGTGAAGCGTAGAAGGGAGGAGGAGAAGTTGGGCAGCGGGGGAAAGTGTCTCGGAAAGGGTGAAATAGAATTAGCCAAGGAAGATAACACTGACGTGGAAAGAAGAGACAGGAAAAGATCGAGACACGCACAGCCCAGGTCAGAATTGCGGGATTTTAGGAGTAGGGAAGACTTGATGAAAAAAAACAATAAGAGAGAAAAGCGGGAGAAGTTCGTTGACAGTAAGAGTCAGGGTCGTTTAAAATTCGAGAGGAGGACGAGAGAGAAGGAGAGGAAGTTTCAAGAGTTTAAGCTGAAGAGGCCAATTTCTGTTCAGCAAGAAGTTACAAGAGGCGAGATGAAGGAGAATAATTTGACCAGCAAGGAAGTTATATCTGCTACTACTACTGTCACCTGCAGCTCTCTACCCTCCATCACCACATTCAAGTAAGTCGAGACCAGACTTGTGTCGCTTTTCTTGGGTTATATTCTATCGGATATCGGTGTCGATTGTTTTATTAACTTTTGTGTGTATATGTAATGGATATCTGGTGCCAGGGCTTAAACAAAGGCAGTAAGCTTTTAATGAAACTGTTGTATGCATCATTATTATTATTTGGTTATTTATTAATTTTCTTTTTTCAGGATACCAAAGAAGAAAGATGCTAATGTCAGAAGACCTAAAGTCGAACAACACAGCTCTGTTTTGTCAAAGAGGGAAGAATTGCTCGTGTCAAAAAGGTCTTGTGGTTACGCATCAAATAAGAATGTGGATGCCGAGTCCAGAAATTCAAGATATAGAAGAGAATGGAATGCTGACAGAAGAGACGGCAGAAGTCAAAACAAACACGTCGAACCCGTCTGTCAGCCGAAGCCACAAGTAATCGAGGGATGGGCCAAGAAAAACTCACTCCAGATGACGGGACGGGACGCGAGAATGAACATCAGTCCCGTCAGTTACGTTAATGATAACCTGGGCTCCGGGCATAACCTGCAGAAGCATATACCGTTACTAGAAAGAGGAGAGAAGAGAGTGCCGCCACCTCAAGGACTCTCCCCTTCTGTGTCGGATAGATGGGGGATGATGCCGCCTCATAACACTGCAGCTGAAGATAAAGGAAGGGAACCGAGCGCTACGTGCGAGAGCCCCATGTCCGACAACCAGAGGTCCTATTTTAAGTCATTATCTGCACCCCCACCTCCGGTAGTTGATAACTGGGGCCTCAAACTCCATACTATTGACGTGGCGGATGATACTTCATATGCCGGTGACGTTAGTCCTGTGGATTCGGTTTGTAGCCACGTCGACACGGAGGATGGAACAACGGCGGCAGATCCAGCGGAGAAAGAAGTCGAGGGTAATAACGAGAGAGAGAGCGTAACCGAAATCAAAATGAATAAACCTGAAAGTGAGAGTACACAGATTAGTGAATCTAAAGACAACAGCGAAGCCGTCTCGGAACCTGTAACGAAGGAGACAAGCAAGAAGAAACCAATTGAGTGCAGCAACGTGGGAGAACGCTACGGCCACCTAGACAGGAAGCAGAAATTGAGGCTTTACGAGAAGATGAAGAGGTGTTATTACGAGGCTAAGAAGAGATACCATGAGGAGAGGGGCGAGAGGAAGAGAGCGTGGTATACGGAGTACGAGAGAAGGAAGAGAGAGTTTTACAATCTGAAAATATATTTGTACCAAGAGAAGAAAAAGGAACATGAAGCCAAGAAAAAGATGCTCAAGGAAAATAAGCTGAAGAATCTAACCCATACCAAGGAGACCCCAAAAGAAACCGCCAGATCATGGTCGGTATTCGATAACGCTCAGGACAGCGTAGATGAAGATGCAGACGATAACGACCATTCAGCGGAACATGACGAAGAGACACCGTATTCTCCCACGGGTTCGCCCATATTGGCTCTTGCGGATACAGATATTGCAGAAAAATTGATAGACACCAGAGGGTCGTTCATTAAATCCGGTTCTGGGGGTAAAGACCCACCTAAAGTGGCCGCACTTAATGCCGTAACATCTCTCGATACTAAAGACTTTAAGCTCATTGTTATGTCTGCTTTAAATTCATATAACGATGGTTTAGTTCCTGAAGCAAGCAATAAAACCTCAAGTGCCAGTGTTGTACCAAAATCCATTTGTCAAGATGGTAAATCACATGTTTCTACCCCAGAGCCTGGTTCAACTCTTGGCCAGTCTTCTGTACCAGTGTCATCGTCAATAGAATCGTCTTCGCGTGTTCCTCTTCTTTCAACGGTTTCATCGCCGTTGGAAATTTCGCCACGTGTTCCACCTCTGCTAACGGCGTCGTCGTCAATTCCCATACCGCCCGTGACACTAGACCCACCCCCACTGTCCGTTCCACCATCCCCACTGTCTGTTCCACCACCCCCACTGTCTGTTCCATCATCCCCACTGTCTGTTCCACAACCACCATTACCATGTTCTTCTCAACCTCACGACACATCATCATCGTCCGTTTCACTCGCACAGTCAGAGGTGTCCCGAGAATCTGTTACTTCTAAGTTTTCGAGCGGCTCTTTGTTACTTGCCCCACCTCCACAGCCAATACCTTCTCCTGTGGCAGCTCCATCACCTTTTCTTCCTTGTGCATTAGTCAGTAGTATATATAAACCACCAATTCCTTGTCCACCTCCAAATGAACCCTCACCACCACTGCCCTCTGTAGTTAAAGGTAATCAAGTACCACCCTTGCCACATGAGCTTATCCCACCTCCCCGACCACCTAGTAAGCTGTTTGAGTTTGTTGGACGCCACAGTGCGCCGCACGTAACAAGACAGGACTACACGTTAGATGATATCGAGGAAGTGCCTATGGATATCGAGTCAGATAGCGAGGCGTCTGTCGGTGACGATGATGATGACGACGACGACGATGATGATGATGGCAAATATCTCGCGACATTTGGTGTGTTTTTGGATGGGTCGTCATCAGAGACCGGTCATGAAGACTATGATTCTCTCGAGTTGAAGAGTGAGAATTTACACAAGCTCGTATGTAAGTTGATGGGGACGTCAAAGAAAGAAGAATCGAGCTTTGGTATTCATCGATATCAAGAGATACAAAACTCAAGTGGAAATACCCCAGTCACTGTGGATGGGCGAGATAGTCATCCTGCAACACCTGGTACCCTTCCTGCAACACCTGGTACCCTTCCTGCTACACCTGGTACCCTTCCTGCTACACCTGGTACCCTTCCTGCAACACCTGGTACCCTTCCTGCAACACCTGGTACCCTTCCTGCAACACCTGGTGCACTTTCTGCAACACCTGGTACCTTTCTTGGAACACCTGGTACACTCTCTGCAACACCTGGCCCATCAAGTAATGCAAAACTTGATGGCAGAACAGAGGATGCAAGTGATGTGAAAGCTATATCTCCCAAAGAGACTCCAAAGAAACTATTTTGTGTGGACGAAATTCTGATGTCCGTCGAGGCAGCTGATCAGAAATCCGAGCTAGAAGTTGTTTACTCAGATGTCCGAGAAAGATTCGCAGGGACCAAGAAGATTATGGTAAGTAGTATTTTATTTCCGAGTGTGTTCGTGAAGGAGGGTGGCTCAGGTCGATCTTGGACTTCTTGTGTTTAGAACTTAGGCTAATATAAAGATAGGAACTTAACATTTTTATATTTCTCCATCTCAACTTGGTGTAACTGCTTGAATGAGAAGAATTTTGCCCGATTCATTCTCTTCATGTCATCTGTCCTCATCCTGTTATTGGGAACTTTTCAGAACAAGGCTCCTCAGATTTTTTACATTAGCCTGAATCTGTGGAAAAATCTGTTGAGGAACAAAATCTGGACTCTAGGGAAAGTGATTATTCAGTTTGAGTTTGGCGTTATTGGTCATGTGACAAGTGGTTATCATCTTGTTTCAGAATAAAACAGTACTGTATCTACCCTCACATTCCTGTAATATCAAGATCAAACTCAAATCACTCCCTTACAGTCTGTACTCGGTGCCTATTTACAATATTTCCATATATTTAATCCCTTGCAAATGAGCCTCACAGATGGCAGCAAGTCCAGTATGTCTTGAGAGGAAAGAGTCGCGTGGACTTGTGTGAGCTGAGGGTCAGATCCTTCTACTGTGCTGGTATTCAGGTACTTTTTTATCGGTCAACAGAGTTACACGGAGAAATAAAGTATAGAATATATCAAGACCTGACCCAACATCACATTCAGAAGAAGTCCGATGAAGAGTTGAACAACCCTCCTTGCACTTATATACAGTACTGTATACACACACACAAACACACACCATTTGTGAAATTGCTTGGTTTATGAATTGGGCGAAGTCATTTTGCCCAGTCTGTGATATCAGTTCCTGTTCTAATTAGGAGCCCATTTCACAAATTAGCCAAAATTATCTTAACCTAACATAAATTTGAGTAGGTTATATGCCTATTTCACAAATGGGTGCGTCGTGTGCATATACAGTATATATATATTGTACTGTACCAGTATGCTGTACACAAGGGGTCCTTGTTATTCATACAGTAGTTATATGTATACTGTACTCGGTTCTGCGTATAGCAGTTTTTACCATCAAAATTCATTGCTTGTGGGCCGTACTTGGTTATATGTTTACAAGTAGAGTAAAACCTTAAATAAATAGATTAAAGGGGGGGGGATGAATATCTGTTAATGCTGGCAATAAGTTAAATCACGATGTTTACTCCACTGTTTACATTCGGTCTTCTATAATGACCTTATATGATAACTTATGTTGAGCACCATTAAAGAGTACAGTAATTCCTGATTATTTGGGTACAGTATTTAATATCTGTGCGTTGGACAATTTGAGGGAGGATAAAGTACTGCCATCTATTCAGGTGGAAAAACTACTTTTTAATCATCTATCAACGATCTTCATTTGATATTTGTATTATTAAACCTTTAAAACTTTAAAATTAAATATATAGTATTAAAATTACTGTGCAGTATTTACCGGTAACTTTTATTTATTACTATACAGTACAGTACGCATTTAATATTACTAGAATGTGTTTTATTTATTGTTGTACAGTATTAGTGCATGTTTCCTAGGAGAGTGACGGTCAAGTGGATACAGCACTCGCCTCCTGTTCCAGGGTTCATCAATTTGATTCCTGGGTTCTCCCAGTCCACCCAGCTGTAAATGGGTACCTAATGTTACAACTTGGGGAAGTGAAGACGGTCGAGAGCAGTACTGGCCATGCTGCCTCCCTTGTGTACCGAAGGCTTAGTATACAGTGTACTGTATCCACACTGCCCCTAATGGGCAGTCATGCCTCTGGGATCCACTTACACATGTTTCGTGTGTGTGTGTTTTTTTTTTTTTTTTTTTTTTTTTTTTTTTTTTTTTTTTACAGACCGGCTCGGAACCAAACTCCCTCTTATACGTCCAGTTTAATAAGATCGGAACCCATATGAATAACAAGGACCCATTGTACTGTATATATGTAATTAAAATCATAACATGGCCATATGTTTATCAAGGATTATTACAGTAAAGAAAGTTTGATTGGCAAGAGTTTAATAGTTGATTCATAAAAGGTGTTTCAGTATGAATAAGATGTAGAGGAAACACAAGGCTGCACTTGCACTCATCAGTAGACTCTTTATTAAACTATTATCGATACTAAAAGTGGAGCTTTATATTTATGCTTGTTTAGAAAGTCTCGGTGAGCCTTTCTGTATCCTTCTCTATATCTTTTCAGGTCAGTTCATGAAGGAATGTATAGTAAAGAGAGGATTGTAGAAGCAGAAAGTCTCACCAAAAGGCTTAATCATCCTCAAATCTTCACCTGTCGTCAGCATCAAGCAGTGTATCAGAACCCCAAGTGCCCCCCGTGGGCCAGAAGAATCCTCTTGGTCCCTAATATGGGCTCACATTTTTCTCCCAGTTTGAACTGGTTTCTTCAATGGGACTATTGCTGTTGCTCCGTACATATTGACATCTTAGCTTTGGAAGGCTGGGTCATATACAGTATTATTGAACACTGCTCAAGTAACTGGAAATATGCAGCTGCTGGTTGTTTGTGTCTTAAGAGCTAGTAGTGTACTTATTTCATGCTTTGCATGCCTTGTGTTTCCTTTTATGATCTTTGTAGCAGCATTCTTAATGAATGCAAACCGTATCACATTTACATGAAGTCTTTATAAAAGTTGACGTATCTATAAACACACATTTTCTGTTTCTAGGATGAAGTACCAAAGTACTACCAAAAGGTGCCATTGGCTCAAGCAGTGGTGGATAAATGCAAAGATATACCACTTGTGGGTAAGTTTTGCCAACCTTTTATAGCTCTAATCATAACCTTAGCAAGCACAGCACATTTGCACTTGTAAATTTTTTTTTCCTAAGTAAATTATTTTCTTCTCAAAAATTTCTACAGCTAACCAGGTAGCGGTGAGATAGGTGTCGGTAATAAATATTCAAGAATTTAACATGATCTGTGACACTCATTGTGGGATCATTTTGTCTCGTCAGAGCTGAATGTGAGGAGGGAGGGAAGCAGGAAGTAGTAGGAGTTTGGGGGGGAGGGGGGATAGCCAACCAGGAAGCATTTGAGTAAATAAATGGAAACAGAGCAGCATTTTGAGAATGGTACAGCTGGTTAAGAGTGAATGGATGAAGGTGATAGAAAGGTGAGTCTTAACTGTTAATTCAAGTTCATCCGTCTTCTCTCATTTTCATCTCGATATTCTCCTCTCCATCCTATCATCTGTACCTTTTTATTTACACCCATCTTGTACATTGCATTCTCTCAGTACCTCCATACCACCTTAGTCATCCCCAGTCAGTTCCATTCGGCATGTCTTTCAAGGTCTCGGTATCTCCCTCCTGTTTACCCCATGTGTTGCTTTCAGGCACAACATTAGTACATCTACTGATACATTATTACTGTCAATACCTATTGCAGCTGATGTTGAATTCATTCTTTACTGCTCACTTGAAAAGTAGTGTTAGTTTATGTGTTCGTTTTGCAAGTTCATTATATATTTTTTCCTTTTTCTTTTCTGGTATTGATTTCTCCATGCAGCTCATACAGTTTCTTTGCCATCCACCCTTTTGTGGTTATTAAATGAACAACCTAATTTAAACTGTACATACTTCATTACCTCTAATTTGTCTGTAGGAATAACTCATCTTGGTATGTTTAATTGGTGGTTGTCCTTCCTTGCAGGTCTTCAGTATGTGTTGGAGGTGAGGAAGGATGTAGACATGACCCTGGATGGCTGTTATTACATCTGTGCCGTGTGCAGCAAGAAGATGAACGCGCACACGCTTATCGCCCACGTCAAGAGTGTGCCGCACAGGCTAAAGTTCTCGGTGAGGATGTGGAATTTTTGTGTATTGTAAATAAAATTAGGTATTTGGATTAAATCTCCCTTTCACTCTTTACTCTTCGCTAATATTTCTCTGTTATAATGTTAGTTGCAGACCTATTGTGTATTGTCATTATAAACACATTTTCCCTACAGTATGTGCATTCACTCATATTATATCTTCACATCTCGCAGGAAACCCATTGTAGAGACATCTTCGAGAAATACGGTACCTACAGCCTGAAGCAATGGACTGCAACCCTCGTCAAAGAGTTCACTGTGGCACTGAGTGAGGTAGGGAGGCGAATTCTGAAGTACTCTTATTCTTTTAACTCTCCATTTTTCAGTCTTCTTGCATGTGTGTGTGTGTGTGTGTTTGGTACTGCAGAATTTGTTTATCGTTTGAGTCCTTTTAAACCCATTAGGTGACGTATGGTAGAGAAATTTTATTAATGTGGGACAGCTAGTTATGACCACAGTATAAAGTTTGTATTTTGTAATGGTTGTCGGAAGTTGATGGATGTGAACAAATGGGTTTTCGTAATTCGACTTAGTGTCGGCTCATTTCCTGCCATTTTTTTACACACACACACACACAAACACACACAGAGTATAACAGTAGATAAATAGATAGAAAGGTTCAGTTACTTGCACTTCACAAAGTTTAAGAGGGCTTTGGTTTAATCATAGGAAATTAACTTACCTGAATAAAAGTTCCTATTATGTATTTGTATCAACAATGGGCAAGTGAGAGGAGTGGAGCCATGTTGAATATATGGGAAAGTTTCTCTCTCTCACTCACTCACCCTCTCTCATGGTTTCAGGTTGAAGTCAAGATGGGTCGGCATAAACTGGCAGTGGCTTATGAGAGAGACATTTCCTCCGTCTTGGCGTCCCTCAAGCAGAAGATTAACGAATTTGGTCAACTTAGGTGAGCATAACCAAGGATTGAATCATTTTTTTGTTTTCTTCATGGTCATTCTCTCAAAGGCTTTTCTTACTTAATGGAAATAGTCAGAGCCAGACACATTTTTTTTTACCTTCATTTGCTGGGTTTTATTTACTGATTTATCTTGGTGGTGTTGTGGTTGTGCCTATGTTTGTAAGAGTTTCTTAAAGGTTGCTTATGCCAAAAATGAAAAGAGCCGCTTATATTGTATTTGTCAGATTTGATTATTCACATTTGTAATTATGGCTGGTTGCTCCTTACTTTATAAATATTTAATTACTCCTGATTATTTTTTTTTATTTATGTATTTATTTTTAATCTTTGAATAGTGAGCCAAAAAAGAAGAATGGAGAAGAAAGGGAGAGCGAGTCCGTAAGCCTGACGTCATCCACTCTTGACGCTAAGTTGCCCCCAGAGACTATTCCACTCCCCCCATTCAACAACACTACCAAGGATGAAACACCATTGACAAAGGAGACTTCTCCAACACCTGATCTCCCAGGTATGTAAACTACCAAACAACCTGTTGCCTAGTTTATATTTCGCTGGGGGCTCGAGATAGCTTTTATAATACGATGGATCACTAACAAATCACTTACTCTGTTCATCTGCTTGTGTGTTTGTGTCTCAGGACCTTAAAATTTATTCTCTGGACTTAAAATTCAATCTTGTAACTTGTTTAATTCTGATCAAAAGTTGTTAAACGTATGTTTTGATAACTTCTGCACAGGGAAAACTTTTTATTTACACTTGGATATATGTTTTACAGAAGAAGATCAGGACAGCAGCGCCAAGCCAGAGGCAATTGACCTGGTAAACGACGACGTGGAGATAATTGAAGTTAAGAAAACAGAGGGGAAATTCTCAACGACTGGTAAGAGGAGTTGTTGCACTTGGTGAGATGCTTTTAGAGACTCTGGCTTGATGTTACACTAATCATTATGGTGTTACAGTAGTCATTATGATGTTACAGTAGCCATTATGGTGTTACAGTAGTCATTATGATGTTACAGTAGCCATTATGGTGTTACAGTAGCCATTATGGTGTTACAGTAGCTATTATGATGTTACAGTAGCCATTATGGTGTTACAGTAGTCATTATGATGTTACAGTAGCCATTATGGTGTTACAGTAGTCATTATAATGTTACAGTAGCCATTATGGTGTTACAGTAGTCATTATGGTGTTACAGTAGCCATTATGGTGTTACAGTAGTCATTATGATGTTACAGTAGCCATTATGGTGTTACAGTAGTCATTATGATGTTACAGTAGCCATTATGGTGTTTCAGTACTCATTATGGTGTTACAGTAGTCATTATGGTGTTACGGTAGTCATTATGGTGTTACAGTAGTCATTATGGTGTTTCACTTACTTGTATGGTGTTACAGTAGTCATTATCATTACAGTAACCATTATCATTATAGTAACCATTATCATTACAGTAACCATTATCATTACAGTAACCATTATCATTACAGGTCAAGGCTACAGGAAGAGGAACTATCGACCTGGGCCCAACTCCGGACACAAGAGCAGTTCACGGTCTCCCTCCAGGTCAGTGTCGCCCTCTGGGAAGGCCCGCACTGGATCACCGTCACCGAAGAGGAGGAGAGGGTCCCATTCACCCTATAACAAGCAGGCGTAAGGATGTCATTCTGTCGTTATTGTTGCTTTATAAGATTGTCTGTGCCTATTATGCCCTGTGAGTAGGTCTAACATGGACCTACAGAGACAAATAAGGAGAGAGAAAGGAAACATCAGCAATAAGAACTTGTCAGTGTGTTTGGTTTTGTTCCCTCATTAGTGGATGTGTTTTAGATCTTATGGCTTGTATTCCTTGTAACTTTGTAGAAATTAATTGGGGAGTTTTCGTTTATCGACCGACGTGTTTGTCATATAAGTCAGTGGTGGTCAGTGGGGTGGCGAATGAGGGAGTGGGGGGTGTTCTGGGGGTTAAGTCTCTGATAGGATGGGTCTTTGGGGGGAGGTGTCTTTTGTCTGTCTGGGTAATGGTTTGGGTATAAAGTGGTGAGCTAATAAATGTTCCGGTGGTTAGGTTAGGACTAGAAGCAAGCATGGTTCAGATAGAGACAACACCAATTGATATTTTTAGGAGTTAGATTCCTTTATTTCGCAGATATTGTGGTCATGTAATGCACTGCTTACTTAGGTGGATAGTATCAGCTAGAATGTATTACACTAATAAATTTTTGTGGGGGCAGAATGATGCAAGTGTGATTTTTTAATGGTTGTATTTAATCGTCCTCTTATACACCATAGGAAGCGAGGCACGGATCAAGGCAAGTCCTCCCGCAGCGGCACCAGGAAGAGAAGACACTCGAGATCGCCGACTCCTCCACCCGGCCATCACCCGGACTCACAGTCGAGGAGCTCACACAGTCGCCACGGACCTCGTAGACGATCTCGGTCTAGACACAGATCGCCAAGGTCGCCCATTAGAAGGTATGATGTTTGTGATATTTTATATATTTTTTTTATCTGGTACACATTGCATCCTGTGCCATTACAGTCTACTGATACTGTACACCTTTTATTATGTCAGGCACCATGTTGTTATTTTCTTCTGATTTGCCACCAATCATCATGTAAACACCAGCATTGGCTCTCAATTTGTATTAATGTTCATTGGTCTTTATAGGGTTTATGTCAAGTGCATCTGTCTAAAATGATCACAGTCTAGATACATTAAATATTTGTTGCTTGGAGTCCTCATGGCAGGGTTATTCTTATGACCTATTTTATAAGTTCTGCCTAGTTTTGTCTTCTTGGCAGCTGTTACATTTTGTAGGCTTTGATTTATTGATGGTTGTTAAATGAGAGGAAAGAAACTATGGCTATACATTTCCCAGCCCACATAACAACCACTAACCAGTCAACTTGTTTGATCTGTGACGGTTGCCAAGGAAGACAAGTGGAAAGAGCACAGTCAGTAGGTCAGTTCAGTTTAGTGGAAGTTTGAAAGTTTACTGACAGAATGTTGTGAAGAACTAGAGCATCAGTTCTATTGTTTAAATACTGTAGGTACAGATGTAAGTATTAAGTTCATCTGTTTTGTGGACATGTTGAGTGGTGTACCCAAGATAGTCGCACCATAATCAACCTCATGTTCGTTAGGAGAAGTGTGCAGTGGTTTTATATTTAATGAAAAGTCTTTTTTCTACTTTCTGTACTGTACTCCTCTCCCACCTTTGTGTTGAGTGGATCAAGGGGTACAGAAACCTCAAATAAGGAGAAACGATAGTGATGTTTGAAGTTAGTACAAAGCTTTGTATTTTCTGTCGTTCCCAGTTCTGCTTTTCCCGGGCTAAAGTTATTCTTTTTCCTTCTATATCCTCTTAGTGATGTTGGAGATAGAAATCATTTGTTTGTTCTGTATATATGTATTTCATCAAGATAATTCTCCCCCCAAAAATATTAGGGACAAATTTTAGTGTCATTTTGCCAGTGTTAGATACAATGCCTTGCTGTGTTGGCCAGTTAGCCTCGTGTAAAATGATTTTGAATGCATGACATCAAATTTTTATCTGCCTGTTAATTTTAGGATTTGTTATGAAATAGTGGTGTCTGCTTGTCTCCGTCGTTCAGTTTTCTTTCTCACTTTCTGCTGTTAATGTTTCTTATATCATTTGAGCATCATACAAAACACAAACCTTTTTTTTGTGTGTTTGAAAGTGATGGCAACTGCTACCGTTTCATGGCGGAACACTTGAATGGTGAACACTTGAATGGTATAGTTTGTTTTGTTGTGAATTGTATCTCGTGCTTGACTTTGCTTTTCATTAAAAAAGAAAGTGATTACATGTTTACATCTACATATTATGTTAAACTTGAATGGTCACAGCATATCTTTGTTGTTCATCATATTTGGTATTGTGTGAGTAGAACTTGTTCACTTTACTGTTCATTGCTGCAGGCACTTTACTGTTCACTGTTGCAGGCACTTTACTGTTCACTGCTGCAGGCACTTTACTGTTCACTGCTGCAGGCACTTTACTGTTTCATTCCTTATATCCAGGAAGGATAGATCGACCCAGCGCAGCAGCCACTCTTCAAGGAAAAGGGACTCTCCAGATGACCGCAGCAGACGTATTACGGAGAGAAAGTTACAGGAGTTTAGAGCAGCCGAAGCAAGAATCAGGGCCCAGCGCATAAACAAAGAGGTGAAGAGTTGTTGGGTTGCACTGTAATTAAAACTACTGGAGGCAGCTTTGTAAACTTAATTATTTGACTGCTTACATTACCTGCTGCTTCCATAGAGTTGGGAGATACAGAAATGGTTGTGTGTGTGTTAGGTTTGATGATAATTCAAACAGGTTACAATAAATTTTAACTAGATTGAGGGTTAGGTGAGCTAGAGGGAACTATTTAATTAACAAGAGGAGTTGGAAAATGGCAATTTAACTCCTTGTGTATGGGGTCCTCTCTGTCCTGTATGGTCTTGGGCAAATAGAGTATTAAAAGTAGCATCCCCATATGAAGGGGGTTAAGTGATGGTACTGTAGTTAAAAGGTGACTGAAAATACAATATTTACAAGACACGTGACAATGAGTTAAATAGGGATACTACCGTGGGCAAAATAGGTATTGTCGGTTTGGGTAGTACCCATAGGCAAGTAGGTACCGTGGGTGTGACTAGGTTAGGTAAGTATTTAATCTGCTGTAAGTAATCCTTTAGCTCTTGTCAGTTTATATAGGCTCAACTGTATGTTTTCATGTTTTTTCAAGATTAATTTTTTTTAGTAACACTTTGTTTTCTTTTAACAGATAGCTTATGAGAAGAATCCCGAGAGTTATCCCGACTACAATCACGAGTGGAAGAGGTTCTGGGAGCGTCGGTGCTTTGAACTGGAAGCACAAGGCATAGATCCATTTCAGTATGATTTTAAAAGTGAATGGGCTGACTATTGGCGTAAGCGTATCAAGGATCTGACGGCCAGTCGTTTTAAATCGAGTAGGGATGCACTTTTGCAGAGGATGAATATGGATGATCCTGATTTGATTTTGAAGGAAGATATTGACAATAAGAAAGCCAGCGATAAAGGATCAAATTCAAAGTGGAATACCGAAAACCCAAAAGGGGAAGTAGTCAGTCGCATAGACAGATCCCCGAGTCCTTGGGAACAGGAGGGTGTTGTTGGTTCCACTGCTAAAAATCCTTCACCACCCAAGAATATAGAGTCGAGTGACATTGAACCGGCCAAAAGTTATGAGGAAGAATTTTCAGTTATAGGGACTTTAAAGATTCTTAATGAATTAGAAGACCAACTTGGTTCTTTTGGTCCTGCTATTACTATTCTTCTGGAGAAGGCTATTGAATGCAAAAAAAAAAGTGGGAATGCAATGGAGCTATTTAATGATCCCGATAACTTGGTTCTGGTACGTTATGCAAGAGAGAAGTTGTCGTCGCAGGTTTCAGCGGGAATTTTAGGAGTTTCCGCATTAGTTCGCACTCAAATGGCTGTTGAAAGAGCAATGTGGGTTCAGTCAGAAGCTGAAAAACTATCCAACAAGGAGAAGTACCTTGGCTTAGATATTGCCAGCATTGCTAGAGCAACATTGGGCAAAGATAAAATACAAATTGCCCAATTTATTGCCCAACATTTATTACAAGTCGGTAATTCTAATGCAAGTGAAGAAGATTTGCAGAACATTTTGATTGCTGTTTCAGCTGCTCATTCTAAGATTATAATAGATCAAGCAACAAAACAAGCACAGAGTAGAACTAATGGTGTAGAGGCTACAGCAGACTCAACCCAGAGCTCACATCCAGTTAGTCCTTCAAAGGAAATTCCACAGAGAACATCCTCTACTTCCTCTGAAGCATCTCGAACACCTCAACCACTGTTCCCATCTGCCACTCATAGTAGTGTTAGTAAGTCACCCCCTTCTGTAGGTGCTGGCTTGTCCCTCCTACAAACAGCATATGAAGAGGACGCTGTAAAGGATATGGGAAAATTATCATTGGAAGACTTGCAATCGCTTTTGGCAAACTTCCGCTCTTTAGTGCCAGAGGAGCAACATGCTCTCACTGCTTATTTGAAAAAACTGGAAGCAACTGACAGTAAGAAAGTAATGAAGTTACGAGCAGAAATGCAGAAGAATGCAAAAAATTCATTGAAGAAAACACTGATCACGTCAAAGACTGTCAGTCTTCAGAAGCTGTCAATGAAGTTAACTAAAGATTTAGCAGTTAAAAACAATGTACAAAACCCCAGCACCAACATTTCAGCAAGTCAGCCACCTATTGGAGCCTCTCCACAAACAAGTCAGCAACCTGCTGGAACTTCAACACCACAGCCAAGTCAGCAACCTGCTGGAGCCTCAACGCCACAGCCAAGTCAGCAACCTGTTGGAGCCTCGACACCACAGCCAAGTCAGCGACCTGCTGGAGCCTCGACACCACAGCCAAGTCAGCAACCTATTGGAGCCTCAACACCACAGCCAAGTCAACAACCTGTTAGAGCCTCTCCACAGTTAATTCAGCAACCTGCTGGAGCCTCAACACCACAGCCAAATCAACAACCTGCTGGAACCTATTCACCACAGCCAAATCAACAACCAACTGGAACTTGTCCTCCACAGCTAAATCAACCTCCCAGAGCTTTTCCACCAAACCCATGTCCGCAATTTGCTGGAGGCTACCCACCACAGCTAAGTCAATACCCTCGCTCACAGCTGGGTCAACAGCCTGGTCACACACAGCCACAGACAAATCAGCAACCTCCTCGGGCATTTCCACCACGGCCAATGAATTTAGGGAGTGTAAATGCACCAGATTTATATAAGCAATCACTAATTAAAGGTTTCAGAGAAAATCAGTCAGTAGAACCTGCAAATCAGGAACCATTTGGCTATCATGGAAGATCACAGTCTCCACGCAGCTTTCAAGGAAGATCACAATCTCCGCACAATTTTCAAGGAAGAACACGATCTCCACAAAATTTTCAAGGAAGATCAAAGTCTCCACTTAGTCTTACCGAAGCGCTTAAAGAATTTACGTGTCCAGATGATCGTCAGAACACTAATTCCATCACCAACGTGCCCTTTGGTAACAGGGAACAGAGTTACCTTGGGCCTGAAAGGCCATTCATGGACAGGGATTATTCATTAAAGAATTACAGAGAGTTTGGAGGCCAAGAATATAGAAGTAATGATTACAGTAAACCATTTGAGCAAGGTGCATATGAGAGGCACAATACACCTGGTGGTTCACAAGGCTTTGACAGGCCGGGGAACATGGGCAGGCAAGACTACAGTGCAGATTATGACAGAACTTTCCCACCTCAAGGGGGTCCATTTACCAATAATCCTGCTCGACAATATGAAGATGAAATTTATGATGACCAACCTAAGTCTAACTATGGACCACCTCTGCAGTTTCATTCAAGGGGGTTTAAAAATTCTTTCAGAGGGAGACCGCCTATGAGAGGACGCCCTGGGGGCCAACCGCACTATGATCAGTCTTGGTAATTCTAGATGCTATTTTGAATCTACATTTCATAGATTTTATATACAATACATACTGTACCAAGCAATTTTACAGAAGGTAATTGTATTAAATGGTTATGTGTGGAATATAAGAGTTTGTTTGTTAAACCAATACAGTAATTCACTTTTGGTTATTTTTTTAAAGTGACACTTGCCAAATATTTAGGACCAGACGTTAAACAAAAAAGGTATTTGGTTTATGTACAGGTGTATGCAATTGTAATTTTGATTGATAAAATGTAAATAATGTGCAACATATGGAGTTAAGAAAAATTATAAATTTATGTAAAGTTACACACTTTACTGTATCATAAGACTAGATTCCATTTATATTCATTGTTATAAGACAAAAGATATGTTATGTGATGTATCATAAATGCTTTTTTAGTAAAAGTGAATTTTGAGTTTTGAGTTTTAGTGAATTGCTGCTACTTTCATATATATTTTTAACAGTGAAATAATGTAGTTCTTTGCATCTTAAAAGGAGGCTTAAGAGTTCATGTTGGGTAGGAAGAAATCTGCAATGGTCATGTGTACCAAAATTCTTCAAAATGTTGAACTCGATATCTAAAGACAGTTCTTCACCGGATTAATTCTTGAAGGTCATAGTGTCAGGGTTACTGGTATGTAAATAAATACCAAGAGTACTGAGTAACTTAAGACTGGCTGAATAGATATTAATTGAACACGTGTGACAATATATGAACATTTTTTTTTTATTGGGCACACCACATCCTTGTGCAAGGTGAAGCGTTTACAGCGCCCAACAGGGAAGGATGCTAAGTTCATGCTTGCTTTTATGTCTCATGAGTTAAGTGTGGTAGAAGCGGTACCGTTCTTGCCTCGCAAGCAAGATGTCACGGGTTGTTTGGACTTACTTCCTAGCCCCCATTAGTCCCTGTTCACCTAGCAGTAAAGTAGGTACCTGTTGTAAGTCGAAAGTTGCGAATTCGCATTCAGGGACAAGTTGTTGGAGCTTCCAATAACTTGATGACATAAACCACTGAACTTATTATGGTAACTTGTGTGGGCAAGGGGGTCAGGAAGTACACAACCAAGGGATTGTGGTGTGGGAAGAGGTAGTGCCCTGAAGGATGGTCAAGCTTAGTGCTCAGGGATTCACACAATGCAGGTAAATTTTGAAAATTAATAAAAAAAAGTTGAAACGCTTTGAAGTGAAGGACGTAATACAGGTTACGAAAGGCCTGGGAATCTCATTATTGAAAATTAAGATGACAAATGTTACAATTTTGTTATGTGTAATGTCCTGGTGGTGATCAAATTCAACCTATATAGGACGTACTGTATAATGAAAATGATGTTCAGCTTTTGTCTATAGAAGAGAGCTCCAAATTACGTGTAAGTTCATAGAGGTCCAAACTGGTAGCATGAGGCAGAGTTAAATCTACTTATGATCTGCAATCAACTTGGTGATTGAACAGAAGGCGCGTCATCAAAGGCACCCACACTGGTTATATGATAAATACCCCGAAGGGGGAATTATCGTAGAAAATTTAATAAAAAATATAAGAAACAGTTAGAATGGCATAAAAGGAAATACATTGAATTCTATCCTATATCATTGATGAAGTAAACGTTCATACCTGAGAAAAAATACATATACATTAATATTGTCTAACAAGGAGAAAAATAAGTAAAAATTACTTGATAAATATAATTATAAAAATACATTCAAAGTAATTGGTTAGTTATGGATAATATGAGATACTGTAATACTTTTTTAATGGATGTGTGAATGTGACCCCAGTGTAAACAAGCCACAAGTCGGAGTGGTGAGGAGAGTGAGAGAACTTTTATTACCAAGTAGACAGATAATAACAGCTGCCTTCTTCACAACACAATGGGGGATGGTAAGTACTGCTATTCAAGAGCTACATGAACCAGTACAACTTGTTTATAACCTCAGATATATATATTTATAGAGCTTCAAAAATGGACAAAGTGAAGGGAAGAGTTAGGAAGCAAGATGAATATATATGAGGTTGTGTAGATCTTGCCACACATTTTTAGATTAAGAGATTACATTTTTACCACAACTGATAATATGAGAATGTCTGATAGGCTCTATGAAACTGTTGCACAAAGTTACTAAATTAAAAGTGTTGGTGGTGGTGGCTCGGAAGACCACTTATGGCTATCACCTCAGAGGTCAGTGAAGAATACCATTATAAAGTAAAATACAAAAGATTTTATTAAAGTTAAATTAAAAAATGAGGACAATACTGAACAAGAGAAGACTGGGAGGAAGAACTTGTGAGGTACATTGTATTATTGTATAGAGTGAAGAAAAAGTTGACTATGTGTATTATCGTAATTCTGATATTTTTTTTTTTTTTGTAATTTCCAGAAGAGATAATTAGGCGTCGGTTGATGATTGATGGAGATGGGACAGGTGATGCTCGAGTGATGATGATGTACATGAAACACTTCATTAAATGGTGTTCAACAGAGGAGTCTCCCCAGGAAAGGTATAACATCTGTTCACGATAAATGTTACGTGGTTAGGTTAGGTTAACTTCGGTTAGATTAGGTTTAAGGTTAGATTAGACGAGGTTTAAGGTTAGGTTAGATTAGATCAGATCAAATATTACAAAGTCTAAGTACAAACAGGAGGTTGCTGAATAATAACAACATAATCGCTAAGAATGGTTACAAAATTTATTATCTTAGTTTTAATTTAATTGTATCTCTCTAAGGTTGACGTACATTTCCTGTGATTAGAATAAGTAATACAGTAGTTCTTTCATCGTGCTCCTGCCATTTGTCCTCTCCAGCCAGAACCAGTACGATCGACTCCTCACGCAGCTGGCGGCCATAGAGCACTCGTCCCTCAGGTGGAAGTCAATTGTTGACATGAACCAGGAAGAAATACAACACTACGAGCTGCTCAGGTAAATGTGTCCTATCTGTCTATATATATATCCTGTGTCCTGTCTGTCTGTCTATATATATCCTGTGTCCTGTCTGTCTGTCTCTTCTCTGATTTATGCTCGGTTTTACCTGTTGATGAGTTATTATTAGTAGTCATGAGGGGATAAACACAGTGAAACCTCTTTATAATGGACTTATTTCCTCGTATAATCCATTTTATGGGAGTTTCACATCTAACGAACCCTCGATATAATGGACTTTCTTCTCTGTATAGTTCATTAAATGGAGGTTTCGAGGTTACACTGTAAGTAGAAGTGCCAATTACTGGTTGATATGATACCTGGTAATGTAAAGAGCTTAATATATGACCATTGGTGGCTCATACATTATGTGGATTTATTGATTTTTCTTCTCGTGTTTATAGGGATGAGACCAGCACCAATGTAAAGGAAGCTTGCATTGCTATTGGCTCGGCAAAGCAAGAACTGGAGGAAGCTCGGCAAGTGCGGCGGAACAGGTTAGAATACGATGCACTGGCGAGGCTGATTAAGGAACACCCCCCTCGCTCCGACACGGCTAATAAGTTGGCTCATCTGACACAGCAGCTACATTCTCTTAAGGTGAGGTCGAGGAGTGTGGTGGTTCTTTGTTTACCAGTAGTGAAGGTGATAGTTTCCTGTTGATTGATTATTTTTATGATTTCCTTTGACTTTTTTTTTTTATACCTTACAGTCTAAGAGAGATCAGCTGGAGGAGAAGCTAACTCTACGACGCAAACAGCTGCATGTTCTGGTTACGTCGCTACACGAACTCAAGCAAGCGTTACTCCACGATAATTCTCCTTCACGTGATGATGAGCCGTGTGTTATTGATGAAATTATTGACCTGACAGCTGCCCCTGTTGCTGTAGATTTAACAAGTACATCAATGGACACATCTTAGGTAAACATAGGAACACAGTGTATATGTTTGAGACAAAGGAAGTGTATTTTACCTGTAATTTAGTCATTTTCAACTCTTTAGACCAAAGTGAAATCTGTTTTGTCTACTTTGTTGTTTTGACAAGAGTGAAATATTTAATTGATAGCATTAACCCCATATGTACGGATTCTTCTCCGAGTTGAATAAAATAATCTGGCATTCGATAAATAAAATATTACAAGTGGTCCCCCCCCCCCCAGAAGTGAAGGGATTAATATATCAGATACTGTACAGGTGCAGTAAATGGTATCCCATAATATGGTCTTTGAATAACCATTTTTTTATATTTCCCAAACATAATTAACCAGTACTGTAGGTTAACTAAAAAAAAATAAAAAAATTGTAACTTACAGCCAGAGTACAAATACCTGTACAGGTAAACCCCATTTAATCCCTTCTCTTCGGTACACCTTTTTTAACATTTTATTTGGCATAAATTTGGCTAATGCCAGATGATTTTATTCAGCAGACAGAGATCCCTCCTAACCCATTACAGTAGTTAGGGTACAGTAACTTTGCTGAATGTACAGTAGTCTCACTAACATACTGTAGTTGACAAATTATAGTTTTACTGTTTTTTTTTCTGTATACTGTATTAAACATTACCTCACTATATTGTACTTGGAAAATATGCAGTACAGTACAGTATATATTTTTTCAACCAAACTTGACACAACGTAGATACAGTACGCCCCAAGAATTAACTACTTACTGTGCACTCATTACATAGGTATGTCTTTACATCAATTTGCTGTGCATTTCACTATTATGTAGCTTCATTATTTCATCCTTTACATCTGGTATTTTTTTGACACAACTTTGCTTCACAAAACTGGGAGGACAGAGGTGGATGTCTGATGACTCTCTTGGGAGATCCGAGACTGACTTTGTTTTGTCTCCTCCAGTGATCTACTGTTAATTTTAATTTAATTTGATATATTTTGTACATACAGTACTGTACAAATAAATACCGAATATATACAAAATTTTATATTGATTCACTTTGTATATTCTTTTTTGGATAATGTTAATAGAGCTAAAAATGCCTGTTATGATAATACTGTACCTGCATATGAGAGGCAAAAGGTACCTCACATAATTTTCACGGTAACATGTTCTGTACTACATTATGTGCACCTGTAATGTTGCAGTTATTTTATAATTAATGTACAGTACCGTGAGTATGAAGATTTCCATTAAAAATGTTTAAATTTATGAACCATCATTTTTCTTAATTTAATAATATATTTCATCTGTATATAAATAAGGTTATTGACATCAAAATGAAAAACAACAATCAGATCAACGAAATGTTTATTTTAATAGTTTACATAAAGCCCATTACCTGTATTTTATTTTTAAAAAGTAATATACACGTACTGTGCTCCTTTACGCACTCACTCGTCAAATTTTAAAGCCTGCATCATATAATTACAAGAATAAATTAATAGAATATGGTGTTTTTATATAATTTACAATGATCTAATTTTTACACTATTTGGCATTTTGTCTAGTCTATACTGTATGCAAATGTTTACAGAAAGGAAACATACCCATGAATGAACAGTGGTGAACATATGATGACCCAGACCACAGTACATTACTTATAAACTTCTCAAGTTTATGACAAGCATTTAAATAGGCAACTACCAAACAGAGAGGTACTACTGCCTGGGAAGATATTGGAAGCATAATGTGTTGTCTATGGTAGACCCTGTTGCCACATGGCATCACGAAAATTGTGACCAAGTCCCGGGTTGCTTATCTGACTTTCTGCCTCATTTACACACAATTGCAGGGTCTCATTGTTTCTCTTAACATTGACAACACAACATACATATATTGTTTCTCACTCTTGATCTTTTGTTTTATTTTATTTCTTCATGGTTCTTTATTATTATTATTATTGCATTGATGATGATATTATTATTATCGTTATTTTAATTTTGCTTATCTGAATTATTATTATTATAATTATAATTATTATTATTATTATTATTATTATTATTATTATTATTATTAAATTTTTGCCCCCTAGGCCCCGATGTGGGTCAGTGACTTGTGCCCGGGTGGGCTAATCCCTGTAAAAAAAAAAAAAGTGCATGGATAGTGAAATCACATCAAATCAAAGCACTTCTATTAGAGCATTATTGGTGCAATGTTCACCTTGACACTGTAAGGTAATGTACTAACAATCTAGTACCGTAGTTATAAAAAATGGACCTCAGGGATCGTTAAGTTGTTAATCTCGTCCATAGTCTTGTTGCCTTCCTTAACAATAAAACTAATTGTAGATCTGTAAATATAAACTGTAAACTTTTAACAAAATGCCTAGAATAATGTATTTTTCTTCAATGATCTTTTGAGTTCTACTACATTCACACAAAATATAATAATGGTGGATGATCAACTAATTTACACATTTTTAGTGATTTTTGCAATTGTAATGGCATCCAGGCAAGAGTGTGATGTTGTAATGATGCAATGAGAAGGTTTTATGTTTACCATTATGCAAGAAGTTAAATTTTTACCTAATTTACATGTGGGAGAGTAATGGTACCACAACCGTAACATTAAAGGCTGTTAAATTTTATGTTATTTGAGAACAGTGTATTTGTAGAAGGCTGCACAGAGTCAGTTCAGGCAACTTCAATTGGCTATAACTTACAACTAGTTTAAGGATTATTGTTTGTAGTAAAATGTAACTGTCAAACATTCTCTTAAGTTAATAAGATTAATTCTAAGTACAAATGGTTCAACTGTGTAGGTAAACAAACTGGGTGTTGCAAATAAAACAATCTATTTCTATGATTGTGCCATGCTGTAATACATACTTCAAACTTAACATGATGAAGATGTTCTAAAAATGTTCCTCCTAAAATTAATATAAGCAAATAGACAAATGAAAATATCAATGAAAGATGCAAAATAATCGTTGCCAGCATCCTTGTCCGAACTCTTGTACCTCAGTAATGAGTAATACATCTCACACTAATGACCATCACCATCATCACTGTTTTACAGCCATTTTCCTTGCTTGCGTGGATAAGTGCTAAAATAAGTGCAACTTAATTATAATACTAAAATATAAGTTGAAGTCGGTGAATAAGTGAGGCTTGCATCACTTGCCCCCACTATGTACTTAGAGGAGTCATTTATCAGTTATGTAAGAATTATTAATTGAACAAAAATACTTAATACTGTAAGACTGAGTATAACCTTAACACAGTCAAACAAGTGCTCCAAGTTGTATCCAGTTTACAATTGCTGAACACATAATACAGTTCATTAACACTAAACAGATCCAATACCACAGATCCATGCATTAAATGTATCACTTATGAATACAAAGGACACATTATTAACAAAACTTCTTGAGATTCAGACAATTCTCTCAAAATATCCACATAATAATCTCATGTACACTGTACTGTATCAAAATTTAAAAATATATTAAAAATACATAAATGAATCTAATCATCTCAATAACTTAATCATAAAATGTGAAGACAGTAGAAAACAAATGACAAATTAAAGATCAGAAATTTGTACCGAGTGTTGAAATTTCACCAATGGGACTGATGATAGTAGGGCTGAGATAATGTAATGTCTCTACTTCTGTCTTGTTTGTGTTTTAGATAGATCAAGGGACACAAACCTAGAGTGAGGGAGAGGTGCCATATAAATGTAGAAAGTGACTTGAAATGGTAAAAATAAGTCAAAACACACACTTACAAATATCCTAAACTTACACATTCATGCAGTATATACACCGATTCTTCGGAGAACCACCAGTCATCATTTCTAAAATGTAAACTGATTGATTTTCTTGATAAATCAGATGACTAATTTTTCTCCTTGCAGAGTCATAACCTGCATCCTAAATTAACCTGAAAAGAAGAATTGTAAAGCAGATTGAGAGAGAAAATACCCAAGACATTAATCATAAATATGGTGACATAAACAACAGTCATTATGGATGGTGATACAGTGACAGACTGCTTAAGAAAGTCAGGTAAGACACAGTAAAATCACTTATAGTATCAACCAAGGATAAAAAAATGAGCAAGCAAATTTTTTCTGGAAGTTATCTGGTGAAAAGTCCCGAAAGCAATTTTTTTTTTCAAGTTGCTGCTATCATGACCGAGTGGTGGGTGTTACACTACACTCTTAATCTATCGTATCTTTATTATACGGGATAGAAAGGTGTTTTTGGTGCATATAACCACATGCTGCCCTGTGTACTATAGCCCCATACAACTTCGACAAACATGCAACAAAAGCAGATCGTTACAACAAAACGGTCCATAAAAATATCTCGTGTTAGTACATTAACTTGCAATTATTCCCCCCCTGGATTATAATCTTCACTAGATTTCAATGCTGGGGAATTCTGTAATATTCAATCTATAACTAATTCAATTAATCACTGATCTTGCTTTGTATCCCCCCCTCCACACACCCTGCATCTGGCCTAACCTGTCCATCAGGTTAAATTCATTTGTTTTTGTTAAATTATGGTTATTTTTCCATTATACCATTTGACTGTAATTAGGTGATGCAGATTGCTTCATTTTATACATTAACTGATGGTCTAGAAGCAGTTAAGAGCGATAATGATAACCTCATGTGATATAACTTAACTGATGATTAGGTAAATACTCCTGTATGATGAAGTGAGAAAAAATATATGCATACACATCCTGGAACTACCTTTAGAATCTACGCCCCAGCTTATTTCATCTGAAGATTAATCACCCTAATGCTAACCTAACCTAACTTGACCTTCATCTTTACTAACTTGACCTTCATCTCTGCTAACTTTATCTGGATATATATTAAGGTCATGCTGCTTCATGTTACACTTTAGAGATGTTTTATATGAACATAAGTGACAAGAATAGCATTTCACCCCAGAATGAGTCAAGTTATGAAATCTCAGGTTAGACGTTGTCCTGCCGTGATAGGAGCAGCGTTGACAGGCATAAGGTTCTTCTCCCAAGTGAATTAAAGTGCGATGATGAAGGCATGACTGTTTATCTGTCCCATAAGAACACTTGGCACAACTATTTAGCTTCTCAGCAAGATGGGAACTATTGTACTTCTTGAATGTACTTTGACTCTTAGTTTTGTAAGGGCATAAGTGAAAGTGATGGGTTTTTATCATCAGTATGAGTATGTTGGTGTCTTCTAATGTGTAATAAAATGGCTGTGGTATATGGACAATGATTGCAAGAGAAGGGAGGTGTCCATCCAAATTTGAGTTGTGTTTTTGATCTAACAGATCAAAGATGGCATGCAAACAGGTGACGTTTTGAGTGAATTAAATTGTCTTTTTAACGCTCCTTTTGTTTTACTTCTATAAGGACATTGATTACAAGTAAATGGCTTCACTCCTGTATGGATCCAATTGTGCTCTTTAAGATGGGCATTTTTGTGGGAAGAAAAAGGGCAATGAGAACAAGAACGACATTTCTTTACTGTTGCAGTTTCTCAGTGATTCTGGGAATATTGGATTAAATTTGAGACATTCTTTTCTGTTTTTGTAAAGAACCTGTCTTGGATATCAGCCTTGGTGTTTTCTTGTAGTAATATCTTGGCTTCCTTTTGATGTGTCTTTGTTTACCAAAAATTAAAAGGTACTTCCTCACTTAAATTTATATCTATGTCAGTATCTTCTTGGTTGGACAAGAAACTGGAATAATTTATGGCTGTATTTCTGTGTTTATCTTGTGTGCTGAGGTTACTGTGATGTGCTTGTGGATCATCCAACACACCAACTGAAGCATATGTGTAATCAACCGGATGATCAGAGACACTTGGGGAGGTGCAGTCATTGGGATGCGAGTCTTCAACTTTGGATTTGTAATGACTGGTTGAACAATTGCCAGGATTGTTCTCCAGCTCGTTAACCTCTGGACCCATGTCTGCTATCACAACCTGAGTGTAGACAATATAAATATCTGTATCTTCTACTACATAAAGAACAATAATTAACCAAACACTAGTGATAATTCAGTATGATTTTGGCTTTACACAAAATAAAGTACAGTACATTACCATCCTATATTCTGTGTGCCCAAGTTCTACTACCGCACCCAGCACGTGAGGATGCAAATGACAAAGTGAATGATTTAGTGAAGAGTGCTTAATGCATTATAATAAGTTAGTAACATAATGTATGTGTGAATATACTGGAACCCGCCTGAAGTTGTTAAGGGGCTACACACTGTAGACAGTTTCTGTTCCTCTGCATCATCTTTTCAGGTACCGTATGTTTCTGAGGAAGGATTTTAGATTGAGGGGGACATTTGGCCCAGACAATTGTAAGGTCTCAACCTAATAAAATGTCTCATAATGAACACCATAGTGTGAGTGAGGTACACCCAGTGCATAAACGCTGCAAATAAACCAATTTATTGATAATTATAATTATGTCCCAAATGAATGGTGTAGTTTTCAATTAACATATTAACAACTACCAGATGACAGAGTATGTACATGATTTTTATTTTTATTTTTAATTTTACACCATAAAAGCCTTTTCCAGACTTGAGGCAAGATGACCAAACCGATGCTGAGTCTGTGATTGTTAGCATTCAGTAGCTGGAGTTACCTCACTACCTTGGCACGATGCTGGTCCATCAAAGAATTGTTCCACCATTATTCAGCAGCTAATAGGTTATTCCATTACTACTCCTCCAAGTGGCAAAATCTGGAACAGATTATTTACACTAAGCTACAGATTCACACATTTATTATGGATCTTTGGAAGGTGTGTACACATTACTGGATATGATGATATTGTATTTCAATCTATTAGTACAAAATATGCTCCTTGTACAGTACACTAGTCTTTGTACACTCAGACAAAAAAGTAATACACCATCATGTATGTCTGCTGATACTGATTTACATTTTATGGACAAGCATTTTGCCAGGGTGATGAGATACACTACAGTACAGTACTGGCTGGTGAACAATACTACACAGCATTGAGCACTTGTCTGGCTACCCTGCACCAATGGAGAAAAAGGTTGGAAAGACTGACAATACATCATCCACTTACCCTCGGATTAAGTCTTTTTCCCTCTGATGTCATAACCGTGGCTGCAGAGACTTTACTGGTGACTTTAGTCTTTGGATGCATGTCAGCAGTGTGTGTCTGGGATGAATATAAATTTACATCAGTTATATCCAATGCTGAAGAGGCACTTATAAAAATATATTATGATACACTTGAGATGATCAATTGTTTTCCCCCTTTAAAGGTTTTTCTCACAGGAAGACAAGGTGATGAAATAAACACATGTATCTATTAGGTTGTCTGGTGGTACTGAGTAGGTGTTGTCAAGGTGATGGTGTGTGTGTGTGTTTATGGAGGGAAAAGCACACTGAGTTTGTAAGCTTAAATAGATTAAGAATTTCTTACTAAATGACAATATGTTGGTGCATTTGTTCCCTACCCTCTTTCACATCTCTTTACATCACTTCACCGGTCCGCAGATAGAAGTCAGTGACGTTCTATAAGGTATTGTGTAGTAAAACCTTAAACATATAACATGCTTGTAGTCAGAGGTAGTGAGGGAGCTGTGTATTTTACATTCTTAGTCTGGTTACTATAGCGAGTTCCAGCCACTGTACCAGGTGGATTGTCGGCAACTGTACGTCACCCACTCACGTCATCCTTCTTTCCTGTTTACCATTCCCACGATACATAATAATCTTCAAAAGACAGCATGATTAACTTTATAAATGGTTAATCTGCTCTTCTTTTGATCAACCGTCCTTCATTCTCAAATAAATGTCGTGTGGGGGAAGAATAGTATATAACACCTCACAAGACACAGAGACTTCCTATTCAGCTTCTCATTTCCTGGCTGCCATTTAATATTTCCACACATAAAAGAGAGAAGAGAAAAATATCTACAGTGTTTATGTATACAGTACATTATTATTAAGGAGTTTACACATTATCACCAAGTAATATAAGAATATCAATATCCTATTCATCATCATAGTTTTACAGCCTCTTGAACCCTTGCCTTGTGGGATTTCTTTCAAGCCTCGTGTAATGCCTTAAGAACTGTACTGTATAGTCACCCACAAAAATCCTGTCACCTCTCCTCCTGATTTTAAGGTTCCTGTTTATCACGGGTGCTAAAATATAAATCATTAGGGTTCTCGAGTAGAAATAAGACCTTGTATAAACATCAAGGGGAGAGTGGTATGTGATGTATAGTGTGTGAGAGAGAAGTGATGAAAATACATGTATACAGACAGACTATTGCTTAAATAGAAAATAAAATAAAGCTGCGTATAGAATTTATTCCAAAAAAGACAAAACACTGCCGACATTTAACGACAACTGGCGAAAGGATGGGTCCAAGTTCTTCTCTAATACTAATAATTTTATTGGTAAAACATCTACGGCTCTCGTTGGTATAATACAGGATTGGATTTGCCAGCCCACATTCCTTGACTAGATGAGGGTTACATTAAGCCCCAATCAGGTCATCCTCTCCCTTGTTTATATAATAAATATGAGAATGATAATCTCAATACAGATACACAGGTACAACCATAAATTGGGTAACACCATCCATTCCTTTAATCAAAACACAGGATATGTACAGTAGCTAAAACAATTACTGTACTGTATCTGTGCAGGTGGGGGTCGATATTCTCCCAAATTTACTTGTGACTAGTGACAGCCGTCATATACATGTACCAAAATTTATCATCCATTGTCTCATAGTGTTTCCCACAAAGTATGCACAAATAGTTGTTTTAGCTACTGTACAAAACAATGTTTGAGTGTTGTTGGTCTACACAGTACAGTATACCACAATTTGTAATGACGAGAAATTCTTTACAGTAGATTAAGAACATCAAGACGTAATATCAAAATTATTCACACCAAATTATGAAAATATACATATATTTACACTAATAACACATAACTGGAAAAGCATACAAGATACACAGTTGGGAATACTTGACGACACGAATGGGATAAATACAAACACAGACTGCACCGTGGAAAATATCACCCACTCATTGCTAATTAAAATATTATTGATTTACATTAGCAGCGTTTAATGTTGCAGTCCTTCTTAGCGATGTATTTGGTCGCACGTGAGCCGAGCGAGAGGAGGTTAGGCCATTACTGCGGATGATACTGTACCTATATATGGGAAGACTGGGTGAGCATCTTCCTGTATTTTCTGGTCTAATACACCTTTGTGTTCTTTTGTGGATTTTATGAACTGTATTAAAATTGGCATCCTTGTAGTGAAGGGGTTAATAGCAGTCATGACCATCTACAAATGAGAGTAAAATGTGAGTGTACAGGAGACATTAACAGTATTTGAGTGTACAGGAAACATTAACAGTGTTTGAGTGTACAGGAAACATTAACAGTGTTTGAGTGTACAGGAAACATTAACAGTGTTTGAGTGTACAGGAAACATTAACAGTGTTTGAGTGTACAGGAGACATTAACAGTATTTGAGTGTACAGGAGACATTAACAGTATTTAAGTGTACAGGAAACATTAACAGTGTTTGAGTGTACAGGAAACATTAACAGTGTTTGAGTGTACAGGAAACATTAACAGTATTTGAGTGCACAGGAAACATTAACAGTGTTTGAGTGTACAGGAAACATTAACAGTGTTTGAGTGTACAGGAAACATTAACAGTGTTTGAGTGTACAGGAGACATTAACAGTATTTGAGTGTGCAGGAAACATTAACTGTATTTGAGTGTGTAAATATCATAATACAGTATGTCTTATCAAACAAAATAATCACCAGGTGTCCAAAAAAAATATAGGCATACCTGTACTGTATATTTTGCCAAACTAAATGCACACCTCAATTTAAACGTGACCTTTTTTTTTAATAAGTTTGTTGCTAATCTGATAATGTTTTAATCCCCAAAGACAAGTACTGTACTGTATATAAAACCTGATAATTTACCTAATGAAGAAAAGGAGCCATAGATCACCCGAGGCACTTGGGTGTACACTGACGACAACACCAGTTATATTTCTTAAGGTAATCGTGGTTGAATGGCGTGACTTAATATCTGTTTGTCTCTCTAACTCATCGCTCGATTATGACAAAACTGGCGTCAAAAGATAGAAAATTTAGTCTAGATTAAGGATATGGAAATAAATCTTGAATCACTGGGGTATAAAGTGATTTTGTGTGTAGTTGCCTCTCATGCACTCTCTTTTGTTTGCCAGTGATCAAGCTCACCAACAGTTTGGGATGGGATAGATTTGTCTAATTTTTGGTAAAGTTGAAGACATGAGAAACTTAACAGGTGTAGCATAGAGACAACGAGACATAATCACCACAAAATACTACATCATCTGATGTGCGTATAAAAATGGTCATAGCACTGGACATTACCATCATATAAAATAAATCCTCTTTAGTGTATGTATAATACAACAGTAGCATCTGACATTACCATCACTACAAAATATATTCCATTTGATGCGTACATAGAAACACACAGACATAGACCTATCTTAAATTCATCATTTATTGTGTACAAGAAACAAGAGAATTCAATTGGCAAACCAAACCTTAAATAATTATCCATTACACAAAGTCAAGGGAAAGAGGGCCATGTCTCATGAAGAGTCAAGAGTTAGGTGAATATCATGAGCTAAAAATATTTACTGTACCAATCCTGATAAAAATGAGCCAAAAAAAAAAATCTTGATAAATGTGAAACAAAAAACCACATTCTTGATAAAAATGAGAGAAAACCACATTTTTTATTAACATGTATAAGACATTTAAATACCTAAAATTGTCAACAACATTTTAATAAACATGATTCGATCTCTAATGAAGTCGATTATGAAATGTCCCTTAGCTACTACCCCTTCCACTAGAGCAGTGCTTTTCAAACTTTTTTTTACTGCGACCCACAGCCAGAACAACAATTTGAATTGCGACCCATTAAACCTAAGTGTAATGATATGAAATGAGTAAATCAAAGACAAACACTGTTCACAATTTTCCTTTATTTAGCATCGACAAAATTCATGTAAATTTCTCATGATTACGGGGGAAAAACTACGATTACGAATTTTTCTACGCAAAACGGATAACATGAGAGGTAAAGAAAGAATCAGGAAATGCTCTCCTTGCAGTCGCTTCCTAGACTGTGGAGTGTACATTACAATAACCAAGCCTAAATTATGGTGCATTTATTTTTTTTCTCATTTATTTTTGCGACCCATTTTTATTTTGCGACCCAATTTATTTATTTCGCGACCCACTGAAGGGTCGGGACCCATAGTTTGAAAACCCCTGCACTAGAGTATACAGTATAATTCAATATCTCCTGTCGGTGGATACGTAGGTCTTTATATTGGGGTGCTAGGTCAGTAGACGGTAAAAGTAGGAATACCTGGTAGATATGAGGCGATTCTAAGTCTTTTGTCCCTTGTGTTAAAGTTTGCCAAATCTCAGAAAGGACCCTTGGGTAACTTAAAGCTCAAAATTCTAAAGTAGTCTTGTAAAATCTCTGGCTTGTGTAGTTAGCCTTCCATACATGTATAAAGGGGTATCTGGGTGTCTGTCTACAAAGCCTTAACCTACGAGGGATTCACCTAAATTTTACATCCTGTTTGATCCTAATGGCACGCACAGTACAGTAAATTCACAATACCGTACAGCTAGTTAGTTAAAATCCCTTGGAGTCAATCGTGTTCACCCTAGTTGAAAGGTTTGACACTTGCTTAATGAAAGTGAGCACGACCAACCATTAGTTTGATTGGTGGCTTCATCACACAGCACACTCAGCCATATCTGAAATCTTACAGCTAAATGTTCTAAAACGGGTTTGGAAATCATACAATAAGGTAAATCTAGCAACAATCATTATGTGAGTAAACTACCTTTCTGGAAGAGGTGCAAGTGTTGCTATCCTTCCTGGGTCTTCCTCTTTTAGCAGTTTTCTTAGTGGTGTACGACAGACGCTTCGAGTTCTTCTGTACAGCTCCAACTTCGGCGCTGCCACCGGACGCTTCCAGTACCTCCTTGCCTTGCCTGATCTTTGGCTTATATTTACGTTTTGTGGATGTCACATGCTTCGAGCCATTTGGTAGAGCTCCAACTTCACCTCTGTTACCGGACACTTTGAGCGCCGCCACACATTTACGTTTCTTAAAGTATCCTCGAATTATTGGTCGACATCCGCGCCATTTATGTTGTACAGTTTTTATACGTTTTTCACTACTCTGATTCACTGAACCGTCATCCGGCAAGGGCACTTTTCGTGGGCGTCCTGGTTTTCTTTTAACCGGTACCTCTAGAGTGACAATTGGTTGTACATTTTCTTCCACAGACAAGATTTTTTCATTGGCACTGGTATTCGTAGAGTCACCATTACGACTGCACTGTTCTATAGATCCCGATCCAAACATCTCATTAGTATCCAAGTTGTCACCCGAATTAAAGGCGCTGTTGAATCTTATGTCACCGTCACCATTATTCAAGTGAAAAGAATCGGACGTGCCACAGTTCGGTTGTGCATTACATTCAAGTGTGTCGCCTGTATTCAAAATGACGTCACTCGCTTCCCTTCTATGATGCCTATTGTCTATGGTATGTTCTGCTGTGTTGGAGTCATAACCGTGATTACCGGTATCTGTGAGGAGAAACCCGCTGATGGTGTTTCCTAAAATGATGTCAGTGCTGTCTATACTGTGGTCTTCTAGCAAGGAATCACTGAGTTCATGTTTCACTTGTATCTCCTCTCTCTCAAACTGAAAGTTATAACATAATATTAGGATCTTGTAATTCAACAGTAACAATAATAACAAGAAGATTAGCTGTGTTATTCAATTAAAAAAAAAATATTGTGTAATTCAATTTTAAAAATATAGTACAGTAGTCCCTTCCAAATGCCACACATAATGTTTGCTTCTGAAAACTCATGGCATTAGCAAACTATTGTTTCAATGGAAGATAAGAGGATGCATTCCAACCCCCTCCACTAAATCCCATTTATATACATACAGTAGAATGTTGATTTAAAGCAATTCAATTTAAGAATATTGGATTAAAGCGAATCTTGCCTATTTTGCGAGAGTCAATCTGGCACATCATATTTTAAAATTTGCGCCTAATGTTTCTCTGGGCACGCTACACTGTTCTAAGGGCAAAGCTGTACTGTAAATGTACTCAAAATAATGTACTAAATGATTATTAAAATTTTTCTCTAGTGCAAACTATAGCATGTTTAAATTCAAATTATATTCTCCCCATCACTTCTGTGACATTTTATAAGCAAAGAACATAAACTCAAGCTAAAGGACATAAATAAACAAATAAATAATTCACTAGACCTTTGGTCCCAAATGTCAAAAATGTCACTTCCTTACCCCCCCCCCCCATCTTCCCAGCCAGGGTTTGGTGTTTTAGGCTTAAAGTTTTTATCTCATATAATGTCACAGACTAAAGTTAGGAGAATATAATTTGTATTGCTGGAATCCTTGCAAGATAGCCAATAATTTGAATATAAACGTCATTTATTTTGCTCAAGAGGTAAAATTTTTTGCTCTTTTAATAAAATTCTTAAATTACAACTAAAATCTGTATGTCTAATGCGAGCTATAGCATGTTTATATTCAAATTAATCACTATCTTATAAGAATTCCAGCAATGTTAACTAAATTCTTCCATGTCAGTTCAGTGACATTTTATAAGAGAAAAACTTAGTCACTCTTAAGGACAGATAAATAAATCAGCACTAGACCTTGGCATCAACTGTCAAACATATCACCTCACCTCCCTCCCCCACCATTTTCCTAGCCAGTAAATACAGTAGACCATTTCTCATCTCTTTATTTTAGCTGTGTTGATTTATGAATGTTTGTTTTAACATAATACTACAAAAAAACAATGTTTTGTTTATTCTAGGAGATGGGGTGAGGCACATCTGGGTAGAGACCCAGTCTTTTCAGTATTTTGTGTTTCTCTCAAGTACCAAACTAAATTATTCAATTGAAACAACACTTCGATTTAGTGCGAATTCAGTGCGAATTCGGTTTAAAGCGACCTCTCTTGGAACTTATCTCAAGTTATATCGACTATGTTCTGCTGTACCAGTATAGTATATTGTACATGAACTGTACAGGCATACAAAAAGTCAAATACTTTGCATTCTGGGAAATTTATGAACAGTCAATAGTGGGTTAAATGCAATAACATACACTTCTTTTGTTCAGCACAAAAAATAAGTTTCATAAACTTTTTGTTTTTGATTCAAACTGTACTTGTTTATTTCTTACAACCCAAAACACTAGGCTTACCAAACAGTGTGTAAATTTATATCTTCAGGTATGACAGGTTAGTAAAATATGGAGTGAACTTCTTTAACACAATGTGATGGAGGGAATAACAGCAAGAGAACCTCATATCTCTGTGGTCAACCTTAACACATATCCAGGAGGGGAGGGGGGGGGATACAGATGTACCACAAGTGACTATAGTAGCATAAACAATGTATGGAAGAGCTTCAATCAGAATGTGCAGTGCCTGGTGTGAAATGGGCTCTTAAATTCTTGATTGGATTTTTTTTCTTCTTACATATTTTCTGGATCTCCAAACCAATTTCTTTTTTAAATCATTCATATATAAGCCACTCATAGTATTTGCAAATATTTTATGATAAAAGGCAAATCATTCGCCTGCAAATTCAGCATTACAGAGGCCAGCATTTGAGGAAAAATTGTATAAGTTACCTGTACTGTATGTATTTCTCCATCTGAGGTGTATATGGGGGCAAAAGATATAACTGCGAGGAAACATAAAACTGCACATACTGTATACAGAAATTTAGTTCAACATTCAATGGGACAGAATTAAACTCATAGAAAAGTGTAAATCAAAATGACCCCAGCTACCTTCCTGTCTACATGGTGGTACATACAGTACATGTGATCTCTACAAGTTATAAAATTTTCTTAATTAACATAAAATACAATAGAATAAAATGTCCTTTATTACCTCATCAAGAGATTCCTCGGGTTCTACATCAGCTAACTGTTGGCAGACTGCCCCAAACTTTGCTAAACTGATGGCAGAGCCCGGCACAATGCTCGGATGAATTACTTGCGATTGTCTTGGTCGTTTGACTTGTTGGCACTGGTTATCTAGGTCATCCATCATTCTCTTGGTGCTCTCTCTTCCTTGCTGTATAATACCAGTCCTCATGTTTTGTTTCTGTTTACATGGTGACTGAGCATTAGCATGTCTGTTTGTTAAATCCCTGTTAATTTCCGTGTCGCTCTCCTCATCTGAATCCTCCGACAGACCTTTCACCTTTAAAACAGTGGCTGTGTGTAATACACCACCAAGGCTCTTCTGGAAAATATTTACCTCTCCACAATACATGTATGAGAGGATAGCTTCAAAGTGAGAAGCTTTGATATCTGCCAGGACAATCATGGGTTGTTTGATAGTAAGTTGACTATCAAGCTGATAAAAAATCTGCTCAAAGTAGGTACTTGAAGCTGCCAAAATTATCTTGTGGACTGGAAAGAAGCGTCCTTCACACATTACTGTAGCATCACAGTACTGTTCCTGGAAATAGTACACAAAATATATCAATCAATGAGAATAAGCATGGAGTGTCTATATGTGGCTGCCAGAGTTCAAGGCCATTATAGCTCAAACCAAAGGACTCGAAGCTGTGCACAATGTTAACGCTACCAGTGTGCTAGCAGCTCAGAGAATGATTTCACTCCAATACAATGAACAAGTAACCATTCTGTAGTAATCTTAATCATCCAAACTATTGTACTGTACTATTACTGTACTCCACACCTGTAATTATCTATAACTCACAGGTAACGAATCAATAACCCCATAGGCTGTACACACACACACACACAGTTAATCTTACCTTATGTCTGATGCCTGATAACATGTGTACGATGGTGGGGTGATGGTCGTTCCACCTAAGACATAGACTCGTCTCGTCCATGATTGCTTCTCTCCTAAAACATAAACAAAATAATCACTGAACATTTCCTTTACAATATGAATGAGTATTGGCCCAAGAGCTACTCATTACTGCCAGTGTAAACGAAACAAAATTACAACGCTAGTTATATTCATGGTCGTCACAGAACACTTGGTAGTTTGTGATGAATAAAAATAGAAATTGTGGAGTAGTGATAAATGCCTTGTAAAAATCTAAATACTTTCTCACTTCATGTAAATCCCAAAACGTACAATATCCGGTGGGAAGTGTTCAGTTAATTAAAAAGAGTTATGTCGCTCGCTGGTTGGCACGTCAACCTAACCTAACTAATGTTATTTTGATATTCTAGAGGCGAGAAATTTTTTTTACGTTGGTAATATTGGAGCAGATGGCCAACACCAGAAGGATTTGCTCAATTTTGTTTATTTTGGTATAGTTATCATTTTGGTCATCTGTGGAATATTAGGAATTTAGGTTAAATATAATTTCTGGGTTCTGTGGCTAAGTTAGGTTAGGTTAGGTTGGGTTGGGTTGATTAGGTTAGGTTAGGTTAGGTTAGGTTAGGTTAGGTTGATTAGGTTAGGTAAGACCAAAATCATTCAATGCCACGTCAAGAGCAGTAGGAAAAACATGACTGAAACAATTATTTTACCCCTGGATCTTCTCACTTGGTTTTACACTACCATGTTTAATATTCCCAGATAACAAATATAAATAAATGAAATAGCCAAAGAGGTTAATTTAGTAGTAGTGTATATATATATATATGGAATACATTAGATACATTATAATAATTAACACAAAAAAATTTCCACAAAAACACCAAGAAAATATATATTAATTCCTATCTACTCACCACAGCTCACGTTATATTAAGTTACCTCAGGTGATTTATTCTATGTAGGGTGAAATACTATCCATATGGTTATTCCCAACAGATTAACGGCCAGTGTTTGACGCTGTAGTGAAGTATAAACTTTATCTCTCTTGTTGCAATAGAAAGACTGATAAGTATTTTTAAACCTTCACCTGGCGACCACACCCAACGACCAGTCTACTACTATACCGTCTTTACTATCATTATTACTCTTATTTTGACATGAGATATGATTTAATGTTTTATTTATATAGATATATTTTTTGTCTATTATTGGATGTATTGATTATTATAATGGTTTTGGTTTGTTAAGGTTTATGGTTACAGCAAACAGCACCAGCTAACATATTTTCATAGTGTTATAATTGTTATTTATTTGTGCTATATGTATGTCCATCTTATGAAGTATATAACAAAAATATATTTAAAGTTTAATTCAATTGTTATATTTCTAAATATTAATATATATATAAATCAATCTTAATGTTGTTGAGTTAACGTGAACACCGACTACCAGCGAACAGATTCTTTTATTATTTTACTTTTAAATTATCATACGTATATAAACTTATTATAATAAACTAAGACAATAATGATAAACTAATTATAATCAACTTCAACAATAATCAACTTCAACAACTTCAACTTGTGGTTCAACAATAACAACACCGTCTAGCAGTTGACCTGACCCCTCAGACATGGCTGGTTCATTAGGTCGTAACACTCTTCTTATAGGTCAATGTATCGCTCATAACACAAAAAATGCCGCCAAAGTTAGAGTAAAACGACTTAACTTGGATAATAACCTAAATATGGTGAGTATATTGCGTCCTTAGGTGACCACAGCTAGTTACGGTCATGACTTCATTATCTCAAAAATAATCCAAATCAGATGGGGGGAATTTATTACTTTGGTATTTTTTTTTACCATTAGCTAAACTGAGCCAATACCAAACTACCATGAAATATTCTTAGATAATATTGTCTTTTATTATTTAAGGTAATTTGGTTATGGTTACTGGGTTCTGTAAGCTCCTCTGTGGAGATGATGTATAATCCTCTTTTATTCTCTTTTATTTGTCAACTTTCAGTACTTCCCCACCCAGAAGAGCTACTTCATCCACGACCCTGAGGAACAGTGTAAGGTTGGAGATGTTGTATTGATCAAGTAAGTTACATTCAAGTTCAATTATTGTAGTAAAATGGATAACTTAAGATTAGTATAGATCAGAAATGTATTTTATGCTTGAGTGAATGATTGGTGGTTGTGTATTTAATTATGTTACATGAAGTTTAAGTAATCTTGTTTATTTCACCCTGAGATTGACCACCCTTAACCTAACCTAACCTAACCTAGGTAGCATTAGAGTGTTTAATCATCAGATGAAATATGCTAGGAAATTTAATCTTATCGTGATCCATTTACACTTAATTCTGGTCATTGTGAATTAAAATGGGTAAAAGTTTCGAAATAATGAAAATAAAATTGACAACTATACTGTACCTATATTATCTCTCAACATTTCCTATATTGTAAAGCATATATCAACTCCATAAAGCACTGGGATCTATATCTTCCCTCTAATGTTTTATATCGGTCAGGGAACTACCAGAGAAGATGACAAAGTTGATCTCCCACTCGCTGGTGAAAATGGTGTACAAGTTTGGTGACGTGACAGATCCCATCACAGGCAAGAAGGTGTACAATCATCACTATAGGTATGTTTATGTCTTCTTGATTGAAGTATTGCTTTTAACCCCTTCACTATAGGGCCGCCACATTTGATATTGTATAATTGGGTTGACTGATGATTTTATTCAGCTCGGAGATGATCACAGTTCACAAGGGGTTAAGTATATTTGAATCTTCAGTTTATGTGACTTTATTCAACATATATTTATTTTTCATGTGATGTAGCTGCTAAGGGAGATTAATTACATAGCTAACTTAATGATCTGTGTTAAGGAGGAACTGTACTGTATGTATGCAAATGAGTACAGTAATGCTTGTAATAAATATATGTCCACAAACATAGGAATTGATTGGTTGTATTCTATTGGTGTAATTATTTAGTGAGTGTGTTAATACTGTAAATCTTTTATCATAGGGACCAGTTGAAGGAATATAATGAGATGTTTGGGGTGGCTGAAGATGGCTCAGGTGGCTTTGATTACTCTCAGGCACCGGACAGAGGCTGGCAGGAAGGCAAGAAGGACTTCACTCATAAGGTATTGCAATTAAATCTTTTGTACAGTCACTCGAAAAACTAACTTTACTGGGAGGACGGGGGATTGATTAATTACAGAATGAACACTGTGACTCCTGTTGTCGCTGTAGGGTTGTCAAAATCCTTCGTCCGTTGTGTCATATTGTCTATAATTTTTTTAAAGATAGTTTTTTTTTTAACAGTGCATATACCTGTTTACTGTAACTAATTTTGTAAGGGTCTTATAATAATTGATAAAGATTTTAATGCAGTCGTTTTCCCACCCATTAGCTAGGGGTACACTCAAGGCTTTATTTGGGAAGACGCCATCTATAATGAGATCAATAAGCCCAGCTGTTTGGAAAATTTTTTAAATTCTATTCCTTATATTATACACTAACATATTTTACAGAACACTGCCTGATTTTATTGTGTAGAGACAGACGATACAATTTATTTTTCGGGGGGGATCAGGATTTAGCTGCCTGTGCTAGTATATAATATAGTACCATTAGTAAAGCATCCTTGTATATATTAACATTGCCGGTGTATTCAGTAACCTTACATTTATATATCTATCAATATCCACTTTCAGATTGGTTATAAGAAGTGGCATGAATTCGAGCCCGGTCACCCTCTACACGATGATCCCGTCGCTAGCTAAGTTTTCTTTGTGCGTATTTTTAAAACCATTTTTTGTACAGCATTTGTTTGGGGGCGTTGAATTAAATTGAATGTAGTATAAATTGTACAAATACACTTTCCAGACTTTATCATCATTGTTTGTTTATGGACGCACACTGTAGTGGTTTAAGTAGATTCTCTGACTAACATCAAGAACTTAAAGAACTAACAAACATAGTAGCAAGGTAAAGAAAAAAACCCGTCTAGGAGTAGTCATGATAATGGTATGAAAATGGACTAAGAGACTAAAAAAAGTTGGTGAAATGATGGGAAATGCAGTAATATATATCTCCATTAGCAGGAATCCCTCAAACCTGGAACTCTCCGATAACCAGAATTGAAATTTTCTCTGAAAATTTTCCCACTACCCAGAAAATTCTGGGGATGGGGGAGTTATTCCGGGTTTGAGAGATAAAAATCAGGCGCTTTTTCCGAAAATTCCAAGAAAATTTTCCGGTACCCAGAAAATTCCGGGGATGGGGTATTTTTTCCGGCCTTGAGAAAGTCGTCTCATTACCCAGAAATCTCTCTTTCCCGGAAGTGCTCTGCACCAATTGTTCCGGCTAACGGAGATATCACTAATATATTCTTTGTAAGGGAGAGATGGTTATGGTGTGTGAGGTTTGTTGAAAGAAAGTTAAACATGTACTGTAGTGTAATGTATAAGAAGTATGCATAAAGGTGTGCTTAGTCCTTATCTTTAATGTGGTTATGAAGCAACAAACTACAGGTGTACAAGTAAGTGAAAAATTCTACCAACAAATCTAAACCTTGTAGTAATTTTTGTAGTGGCCTAGAAATTGTGAGAATTGATATGATAGAAAAATATTTGTTTGTGAATAACTCTGTAAAACCATTTATGAATATAAATTTTTCATAGTTTAACATATTTCACCAGAAAAATATATATGAAACACACAAAAAATATACAGTATACCCTGTACTATAATATTGGTGAATTCATTGGTGATGTTACAAACTCACTAAACAACCAGGTGCCACTTACCTCCTGTGAGTTGTAGTGGGTGCTAAGGAAACCATAAGTAGGCAGCACTTGGTTAATATTGTAGCTAAATTTACCAACATTTTAAAATAACTTACACTGTGGGAAAATTAATTCAAATTTTCAGTTCTCCAATACTATAAACAGTACAGAGTATGAGGGCTTGAGCTGCCACCATTTATGAGGGCTGCTACTGCCACCATTCATGAGGGCCTGTGTGCCAGTAACAATTCCTGTTACTCTTATATATCACCATTGGTAGCGTGACGATAGGAGGCTCGTGGGTAGGTGTAATGATAGTATCAAGCAATAGGGAAGAAATAACGGTAAATACTGTAGGTAAATGATATACACAATTATACAAATACAAAGTTTATTTAAACATGAATATGAAATTAGAAGAAAGAATTGGTTTGTACTAACAGACGAAATCTATTACTAGGCCCTCAGGCTCAACATACTCACACCATTACTGGGTGGACATATTCAATACCCTTCCAACCCTACTGGGTGGACATACTCAATAGCACAACTAGGAGAGTCACTTAGCACCATACATATTAGAGCAACTGCCACTACAACACTCAGTCGTCAGGAGTGATACTCAAGCAACAGCCATGGGGTCCAGCCACCATGGAGTACTATCTGACGAACTCTGGAGATCCCAGTGGGTTAATTCCACCACACAAATATAGCCCTACTGAGGTAGACACTCATCCACCAATGATGGGGGCTGGTAGTGGTGTGTGGCTTGGTGGTCCGGGTCACCTCGTGGACCGAGCGTTAGGGCCAGACGAGCCAGCTATGGGGGCTATAGGTGGTCTGAAGTGTCTGACGGCCGGGTCTCACGAAGGTAACTGATCCTACTGGACCTCGGACATGTCCCCAGACATAGTGGATACAACATCCACCCTACAGACACGGCCTAGGCTGCGTTAGGGACCTGTATGGATGAAGGGACGGGCACTTACTAACCGGTGACAACAACAACACGTTTCAGGGGACGTTAAAGACGTAAATATGACTTTACTCAGAGCATATCAACTACGTTACTGTAACACTTGCACAATCAACTATTACTTGAGTCAAATCACTTAAAGAAGGGCAAATTACAACACAGCGTGGAATGGCATACCTGTATGGATGAAGGGACGGGCACTTACTAACGGTTAAAATGCCCGCGGCGCCCTCACTCAAACTAGGCCAGGGAGTCCAGCTACTCCTATTCCAATGAATTAATTTACGGTACCCTCTGACGTTGAAATTGAGACTATGAACTCCTTTTCATTCTCTACTATTATCTTCACTAACAATGCTCTGACTCAGCTATCGAAAGCAAAATTAAATTGATTACAAAGGAATGGATGGCAACAGGTCCCAGCATACAGCGTCTGCTCCCATAGACAAAGGCGGGGGAAACAGAGAAAACGGGGGACGTTTCCACTGGGGGACTCGGAAGGTTTTGTGGACGTTTGAGCGTAATATGAATCCTTAAGGTTTTCAGGTTAGCTCTTATCATGACCATTACAAGAGCAACTTTTGGAAATTAACCAGATGACACAACCAATATCTCATCCCAATTTTAGATCTCTAGGCTAATGTAGGTTAAATTTAATGTACTGTATATATTTTTGTGTGGGTGTGTATTGGTATGTGTGTGGGGAGGGTGTTTGTGTGTGTGTCTATAAGTACCATTGCTTTTGATGATTAAATGGCAGGTTTCCTGGTTAAGCAGAACTCAGATGCTTCACTCAAGGGTCCAGGTATACTTCCACTCTGTTACTGGTTAAGTCTTCTACTTAGTCCCAAGGTAGTACCTGACAGCGAGGGTTAAGAAGGGTTTGTTACTAGACAAGAGCTGACTGAAGACTAACTATCCTCCCGGCACACTTACCAGATGGGGCAGAATATTACTCAAACATACTGTACTCATTGTGGTGCAATGGCCCAGGTGTTTTCAGTGTACTTTAGGAAGTGTAAATAGTGGCATTTACCAAGAGATTAAGGGGCGACAACCCTGGCGGTTGCTTGAATGTTTATAAACACCTAAGGTGACAGGCTGGCAGGGAGCGCTAATAATAATGTTTGGAAACGCCTACGCTGGTCGTAAGGTGGTCGGAGTCACTATGATGGCATTCATCTCACGAAACATCAGTGACTCAATAAAACTGCTCGTTAAAGATGCCAGTAAAGGTTTGTTTAAGATGAGCAGTTCTAGATTAAGATAAGCACCTCAATTGCCAAAGCATGGCTTACATGCGCGTGAGTGCACGCGTCACTCTTAAAAGTTACAAAAGGGAATGAATGAATGATACCAACATTTTATATAGTTATCTTTATTTAAAGTTCATAGTCATGGAATCCAACCAAATTATTACACTTGACAATTTAATGCCGCATTAACCTTGACATAAAAATGACCTAAACGTCTGAAATATATGTTGAATGCATATGACTAGAGTGTACATACAGTTAAGTGTCCACACATGTTGTATTAACCTTTACAGAACTATAACAAGGTACAGTATTGGTCACACATATAGTAACGTTTTAGCACAGTGAAACCTCTATTTAACGGACAATACGGGGAGGAAATTCTGTTATATCGAGGTTCCGTTAGATGTGAACACCCGTCTAATGAACTAAATAGAGAGAGCAGTCCGTTATATGAAGGTTTCACTGTAATCACAAAACTGTATTATTACACGAATCAATATTACACAATAAAAACCTTTCATTCTAACTATACATACTATTTTAAAAGTACTAGTCAAGAAAATACATCGGTTACATGAGCTACAGAAATAATGATTATTTTTTAAACCATATAATACAGTAATAAACTTAAAATATATCTGTAAAATCATTAAGACTTTTGAAGCTGAAATTTATTGATAAAAAAATCCTCATCTTGACACCACAAACTATACCATATTAAAAAAGTAGGATTACCATTAAGTTTTATATCATAGTTGAAGACAGATAATTTCATAACCATAATGTTAACTAGTTATATAGAAATAGTTTATCTTGATTTATATAGATACAGACTGAATACAGTATATTTAATCCTTTGACTCCTGGAGGGTTAAATCATCATCTCATAGGTTTAAAACATCATCCTCAAAGGGTTAAGTTAACATTTCAGAGTAAAACCATCAAGAAAACAGTTATCTAAAAGTTAATGTGTATTTTTGTTCACTGAAAATATCTTCTCTAGACAAAGTAAATTTTCTTCCACACAAGAATTTTTTTGGGGGGATGGAACAACAATATAGTTTAGTTTGTTCATGGGTTACAAACATCAGAAAAATACAACACGTATATTTCCACCAGTCATGTTGGTACTTTTATTGCTGCTTAAACGGTTAAGTACAGTATACTGTTTGTTTTATGGCTTTCCAAACAATGTTCAGTATGTTAGGGTCAATGTGTCGAAATCGGGCAGTTTGCAGATTACCCATGAAAAATTCCGTTTTATGTTGTGTTGTATATAGGTTGGGTTAAGTTAGGTTAGTGTAGGGTTTAGATTAGATCAGGTTAGGTTTACAGTTATATTCAATGGAATATTTGTAGTTCTTGGCTAAATAACCTTACCTATAAACAACAGGAAATGGACATTGTTATGGGTATTTTACAGATTGCCTGATTTGACATACTGACTGAAACATACATATACATATAAAAAACTAATAGAGAGATTAATCCAAAATGAAGGGGTTACTGGTATGTTCATGGTCCATTAATAGTGAAGTACGGCTGATTGAACACAAGATGGTGATGAAAACTAGATCAGAGACTTCATATAAGGCAGATAGAACACCAATAATTTGAGGGGGAAGGAGAGGTAGAAAACTATAAGGAAACAAGGTGGAAGAGAATGGTCGATAAAGTGCAGATGAAAGACTTGAGTGGAATGAGTGAGTGTGGATATCCCGAAGAACTGAAGGGGAAGTAGTAGGGATTGAATGAAGATGAGACATGGAAGGAACTGCATTTAAGTGTCATGGTGATAGTGTAGATGAGTCAGTCAGCTTGAAACATTAATCATATACTCTACAGCAAGAGATGGTTTATAAAATATGAATAAATTAGCTAGTAATACTATATATACACTAGCTTCCTATATAATATTACAGTGAAACCTCTATTAAACAGACTATACAGGGAGAGGAAAGTTCATTATATCGAGGGTCCGTTAGATGCGAAACCCTCCATCACACGGTTTGTATGGCGAGGGAAGTGCGTTATATGGAGGTTTCACTGTACTGCCATCTTGCACACCTATCTATCTTTCCTATTGTGGTGTATTAAGTCCCCATTTACCTCCAAGGAAGAATATAAACTCAAGAGCCAAGATTTTATACAAAAATGGGTTTCAATCCTTCTTGTGGCTTCCTTCTCCTCCTCCTCTTGGTTCTCCTTAGCCCTCCCAACAAACTTGTCTTTAACTTACCATATATCACAACCAGGTTTTTATGTGTAGAAAACTATACTGTATACTCTTCCATTGATAATTGAAATATTTATTGTCTTTTATGAGTAATTATAGAAAAGATTAATCCCCTTTGTAATTGAAGCGATGTGATATTTTGACATTACTTGAATGTATATCACAACTTCGATATATATAGATGAACATTTTGATTCATTACCGTTATTCAATATTGTAAACAACTCTTTTCAATGTTTTAATGTCATTTTACGACACAACTTCAGACAAATCAAACACATAAAAATTCAAAATGGAATGTGGAAGTCAGCATGAGGAAGAGACTGACAGTATAGATACCCATAATTTCTCTGATAATCATTAGTAGGTGATTGAGAGAGAGAGCTTCTGGTTTCCTAATGACTAATATCAATGAATTTCTCCATCTCTCTTGTACTGAGGTCACAAGAGACTGGCAACTTCCACACTATTTTATGTACTTCTTCGTGCTGCTACCTCAAGATAATTAGTACGGTACAGTACAGAATTGAGGTCAAAGTTCAATACCTAATTCTACAAAAATATCATAAATACTACACTACTGTTTCTCCAAAATTATTTGTAAGTTTCTCTAAAATCTACCCACACATACATAACATCCATGTATCCACACACATGGATGCATATAATATATAACCATACACAAGTAAAAGTATAGGTGAATCATACGTACATTTACACGACTTGCTCTCGGTTCTTTCTCTGCCCACAATTAACTTCACCTACTTTATTTAAAACAAACTTAATTACATTTTAATATGACCTCGTTATCCCTATAAATACCACAGGTCATAAAACTAACACACAGTATCCCACAAGCAAGATAGAAATTAATGTAAAACTCCAAAATTTGTAAATTACTGAAAAATTCATAAAACTGGTTATACTGTATTTTGATTTATTATATGAGAAAAGTAGTCAACAACAAACAAAGTATTTAGAGAAAGTTACTAAATGCAATCAGGTTAACTGGGTGTAGTTTACTGAATTGCCATACTTTAATGAAGGGCAGAATACACACACATACAGTAAATGAATAAAATACAAACACACTGTATGTATTTACAAGTAAGTGACCAGCCGCACATTATAGAGAGATACAGCCTATGTTAACAAAAGGTTTGTATACAGAATAACCTCCATTTCAGCTCAACAACACAAGTCACCTCTAAAAACCCACAAACTTTTTTTTTCCTCCATATATGGGTAATAATAGTCCTCACACTTATATCCTACACAAATGGTTAAAGATCCAATAGTGGTAGATGCTGGACTATATCTGTAATCCAAGAGGAATATCTCACGATTTACTCTACCTTCCACACTCGCCTTAACCAGATGAAATACACATCTCTCTAACATGGGTTCAACAATACAGTATATTATTCAACATATATATAATTTCAGAAAGTGGTTTAATCCTGCATTGATAATACTTAACAATACACTAAGTACATCAAAATATAATATGCTTATATCATTACTATTGTCACCACAAGATTATTAAGGGGAAATTATCACCTTAAGAATATTACTGTGTATTTAAAAAGTAGCATTAAGTAATATTTGGCAGCTTCAGTATATACTTATAGTGCTGTGGAACCTTCATTACCATCATTACTTGAAACATTATTACACGTATATTACTTTTGGTTAAATGTGTGGGTTTACTGTCAACAGGTAATTAAATACAGGTATGAGTAATTAATATTCACTAAAATATCTTACATTCAAAACTAATGGTTAATGTACTCCTCGGGGCCTTAACCATACCAAAACAAAAGGTAATCAGACAAAGCACATCCCCAATAGATCACCTAAAGAATCTCTCCACCTCGGCATTTTTCACCTAAAGATTCGTAACCACCGTGGCACTATTTGGGGGGTGAGGTTAGGTTAATATACGATAAGTTATGTTAGGTTAGGGTGGTTAATCTTAAGGTGAAATAAGTCGAGGTTGAAGATTCTTTAAGTGATCCTCCCCAGCACCAGCGACACACTCACCATTCATACATAACGGGATACCTGATCAGAATACAATCCTCTGTTTGTCAAAGAAAATGTATTCCTTTTTTCTCATTATACTCTAATTATTCTTAAAAATAAAACAAACATATATTGAATGGACCCCTTCTGTCAATATGAATTTGTTCTTGTCCTTGGGAACATCTAAGAGAAGGGGAGAGAGGGAGGAAAGAGAGAAATGTGACTGAAAATCATCCCAAGAAATTAACAGTTGGATAGTGCGACCCCATCTTGAAATTGGGGTTAAATAATGAATAAAAAGCTGTCTATGATACTGAACGTTCATTATTCAATACATAACAGCTGTAATACATTGAACCATGGAATATTTAAAGGTCCCACAGTTTAGCTTGAACTTTTATACATGACTTTAGCACTCGTAATTCATACACAGTATTAAATAAGTAGTAACTAATTCTCTAAGACTACCATCAAGCTTTCAGTAACAGTAAAGTAAACCAATATGTCACTTATACAGGATATTTGGTCAAGGTGTGTGGATTAGACCAGCAGTAAAATCAATTATGGCATAAACAATTACATGACAGGTTCCATAATTAGACTGAAATTCTATAATCATACAAGTAATTCTTATACAGTTTCTCTTCAACGTTTTACTCGAAGTGAATTACGTTGCCACTTCCCCCGAAACAACAACTAATATTGGTTATTTTATGATAGTTCAACGTGAGTAACATTAAGAGCTGCAGTACCTAACCTTGCAACACAGCCAAGTAGTCCATATACTGGTACTCAATGTAACAAGTAATTTGATTATATCTTCTCATCTTCCATCATTCTTTCTTTTCATGATGGTCCTCTGAAATAAAATTAGAAATAAGAATAATTTGATTGAAAAACTTTAAGAAAAATATTAAGTTTATAATCCATGAATTGTCTTGGTTACATCAGGAAAACATTCAAGCTTCAATGCCATTCAACTCACCTTCCTCCTCATCAGCATCCAGGATATCCGAGCACCATATGGAATAACAGATTAGTGACAGGAAGCCCATTGGCAGACCAAAGAGAACCGAAGTTAACACCGGATTGCCTTGCCACATCTCTTCCAGGGACGTCTTGGCATTGTAATAGGTTCGGTAGACTCTTATAGGCCATGAGTCACCGCCGTACGACTGAAAATATGGGGAATATTCACGCAAGTTACTTTCTGTAAGGTTCGTGCATTCATCTATGACCCAACTAAATTTGAAACACTTATACTGTATTGAAAAATGTTGGCGGTAAATTTTTTAAGTTTAATGATGCAATTTGTGTCGCCAATGCAAGTAGTGCTACCCAATGATTTGACGCGATTTGCACCCTTTACAAAGAATGCACGCCATACTTGAACTTACCGGTGCAGTTTCCGCTATGATGGAGTCTAGGAACATCTCAACAGCTGCTGGAGTGAGGTGCTGTGCTGGGTCCTCGGGGAGATGGTGCTGCATGGTGGTCGAGTTCACCACCAGCAAGGAAGGGAGTGGAAGGCGCTCCATGGCAATGCTGTTCGCTAAATCAGGTGTTCCAGTCCAGCCGAATTGGAAATGCCTGTCCAAATTATATCATTATCGAGCCAGAATCTTTGATAAACATAATAATTATCTTCTTTCTACTTTAGTTACTATGGAATCAAAATACCCATGGAGAGAAAGACAAAGTACCCTAGTGTAAATAAAAACAATCGCAACCCGAACTTACTTGTGATATTTGTCCCGGCTGTTGCGAATAACCGACTCGACCATATCTTTAAACCTGTTGATAAGAGAGACACAATAACATTACAGCCAATGTCAAAAAATACCTGAGCCATATACAAGTTAATATTAGTTATCTCAATATTATCCAGACTAAGCAAAAGCTGTCCCAAAGTTTATATTTTACATTTTATATTCATTCTTTTATAAATTAGAGCTCCTCCATAAGTGAACAGGTTATTACAATTTATACAGTATTTTAAGGGATATTATATAATAAAGATTTGCAAAAGAGGAAATTGAGAGATGAAAGGTATATATTAATTACAGACTAAATAAACAGGTATTATTGTACTATATATTCTCACCTACATTAAAAGTTGCTCCATCTGCCAACACTTTGATTTATTAGAGGGAAGGTTTAAACTAAAGCTGTGTTTAAACTATCTACTGTAAATGTGTTGTATTTACTATTCTTTACTGAAGGGGATAGGATAGTGTGTGTTGCTATGCCTATGGCTCAACATATTTACAGAAACAGTTGCCAACATGGAGTACAAAACACCAAGTGCATTCTACTCCAGGATAACAATAAATATGTTTTTTAAACAATAAATATACCCACCAAACTATAGAATTTAGATAATTTATACACCAAATATTAGAACACTCAATTATGATGGTAAGATTGACATTATAGTTTTAAGAGTGAAGTCAGTAATGTATTTATAAAGAAAATACTGAAAACATTAGGCAACATTAAAGGTGGTTGTATGGTAGCAAAGTTAACACAGGGTCAGAGAGACAGCTTCATTCCCAGTGACTACCAAAACAATGAGCACAGTCATAAGTTATCATTTCCAGTATCCACATGTTTGCTCCCCTTCTATGTCTGTCTGGTGTTTATTAAGGGGAACAGGAACCTCAAAGTAAGGGTGAAGGAGGAGGAGACGAGTGATGCTAGAGAGGTGAAAAATAAAAACATCAGGAAAGGATTAAGATAGCATGTATAAATACCAACACATACTTGTTCATATGTATAAATAGCATATACAGTATACATAATGGATATTTAGCTTCCAGTACAGTAACACACACCCCCAGTACAGTGGAAACATTGGCTGTAGTATTTTGTGAAAGGATATAAATGACTGGAGTTGACTGCATTTGTCAAACTTCTGGATGGAGAGGAAAGTATGCATGAAATAGATGATTTAATTCTAACTAATGTATAGATTTTGAAACATTTACAAATTTGACTATACCATTATCCTTTTCAATACTAAAATATGAAAAAGGTGTTGGAAGTAGGTGTTGGTAATACTAAATAAGACCGGGAAAGTAAGGGCCATTAGGACTAGAGGAATGAAAACAAAAATCAGGCCAAGAAAATCAATGACTTCAAAACACTGCCTATTATTGCCTGAAGTTCTCCACATTTAACACTGTAGTAGATTACCATAAAATCATACAAATATCAAGAGAGTTTAAACATATGATTACAAGCATTTAAATTCCCATTCCTGGACAATTGACAGTACAGGAGTATTGGTGTGTGTGTGTACGTAACATACATATAACAGATTACACGAGGATATCCGAAGTATTCGAAAAAAACTAAATTTATTTCTTCTCAACCGTAAAATGAATACTTAATATTGATATCATTCTTTAAGTGGCATACAGGAAGGACGAGGCAAATATCTACATTCTAATTAGGAGCAGATAATCCAGAAACTACCTCAAATATTGTGCATTGGTTTCCACTTACTTGTACCCATCAACATAGTCTTCTCTGAAATTGGGAAAGACATTAGTAGTTTATGAATTAGTACTGTAACTCTCATCTAATACAATCATGTAGCTACAGAAACTACAGCATAAGCCTATTTTTTGCCAAGTGGTTTAGACCCCCTGCAGAAAACACAAGAGAGAATAATCACACACACATTTTCCTAAACAATGTTCTTAGTACTATTATTTTTTTTAACTTTATGTTTAACTTCTATATATATTTTGGTTATTTACCTATACATACAGTCATCCCCGATATTCTGAAGGGTTAGGTTCCGTAAAATCTTGCCGTAAGTCGAAGTTCTGTATATTAAACCTAATTTCCCCATATGCCTGTACTGTATTCCTATTATATAGGTGAAGACAGGTTCCTACACATCTAAATCTTGACTCTACAATGTAACACATACACATAACACAACAATAAGCTTTATTAATACTATCCTGAACATAAATATACAATAATTAAGCCAGTGGAAGAGAGAGATGTGAGTGTGTCCGTGAGTCATAATACTGTAAATATCCCCAAAACATATCACCAGTCAGCTGTGAGATGGCTTTGGACATTGCCATTGTATAATATATAACTATAAAATAAGAAAAATGAAGAGCATGGGTGTGTATGTGTGGAGGCAGTGGGTTGTAACTAATGTTGCTAGCCCAGCTGTGCTCCCTCCCCTGGGGCCGACATCACTGCACACACACACACACACACCACAGGACAGCAGCCACACACGTTCGAGTCAGCTTGATGGCTGGCTGAACTATTTTTTGTACATAAAACGTGTGTTATTGTCTTTTATGATGTGTTATGTATCATGTTTGTTTATTTTAGCAGTTTTTGTTAATTGTTGGAGGGAGGAAGATTGTAACTACTGTAGGTATATTATTTTCTAAAGTATATTCAAACTTTTGACCATAATTTCCATTATAGTGAGTTTTGCTTTCTATTTCTCGAATTTTAATCCTAAACTAACCATTTCCATTATAGTGAATTGGGGGATGACTGTATTATAGTTATTATATCAATTCTGTTCACTGCACGAAAGACTTCAAAAACTTACGCATCTTCGTCCGTCGTGATCCGGCCAATCTTACTCTCCTTCACTACCGTTATGGCCAGGAACTTATTGATCTGTAATAAACAATAATTCTGTATAAGCTGTGTCTTACTCCCACATACAGCAGAGTCAATAACGATATGCCAAAGAACATTACACTTAGCAGGTTTTCTAAGTACAGCGGCCGCCATTTCCGTATATTACCGGGCATATTAGTAAAAAAAATTAACATCTACCTTAGAGAAATAATAAAATATAAAATAGTGTGTTTTCAAGTTATATTAGTAAAAAAATAAATAATATCTCCCTTAGCAAGTTATGTATGTAATCAAATATATAATGTGTTTTCTTTTTCATTTATTATAGAAAAAAATTAACCTCACCTTCCATAACTGATGCACATTCCCGTGAGTCACTTTAACGAAGGTTGTGAAGCGCTCGTGGTTGATCCAGTCCGTCAAGGAGGTGTTGAGTAGGTTGCTGTCCTCTGCCATATCTATTTCATCTGGTACTAAAGAAAGACATAGTGTTGTGTAGTATAGTATTTCAAGCATAAATTATGTGTAATAATGGCAGTGTTCATTAATTCAACAGTGTCAATATTCACATCACCAGCTAACTTTCACTGATGATTACTGCAAGCCCTGCAGCTAACTTCCGCCGATGATAGCTGCCATTTAAGAGCTAAAAGACCTAACGAAAAGAATGACAATTTGATGGCATTGAAGAAGTTTTAAAGTTGTTAATAATAATAATACATAATCTTTAACACAACTCGGAAGTTTACGTTACCTGGGTAGAAGAATTGCATCTCGTCCTTGAACACCATCACCGCTGGGTTATACTCCAACTTAACGTGCTGGGGAAAACATTATTGTCTCTATAAATGGTTCGGGTTCATGCGTCTGAATCTCGGGGGTTCGTGGTTCAGGGAGAGAGGCGAATGGTCTTCAGTAATTGAGTGTGTTGTTATTTCATTTATGTACCAGAAAAAGATTGGGAAAAGTTTTACCTCTGAAGTATATATTGAAAGCTTAACTCCATAAATTCTATCTCTGAAGTATATATTGAAAGCTTAACTCCATAAATTCTATCTCTGAAGTATATACAGTATAAACCTAAAGCTTACCTCCTCCATACAAGTGGCGTCAATGTGATAGAAGTAATAAAATGGTCTGTATTCATTAGCCAGCGCTCTGTAGGATTCCTGTGGGAGAGCCGTTTATCAGTGGTAGCTAACAAGTAGAGAAATGAATACAGAAGTTTATGAAGTTTAAACATTTGAGAGAGAGGGAGAAAGAGAGAGACATGAAGTAACATTTGACCCTTGCTTCATCAGACAACAAAGACCAGATCACTATGTTTGGATTTTCTTACCCATAAATCTCCTTCTTGATTTCCAACATATATGAAGAAAAGGTCTCCTCTATCTACTGTTTCCTTGAGGTGACGCGAGGACTGTATGTGTTGGATAGGGGGCGCCGACATCCTTAAGGCAAATCCTATAATTTCCTCCTTGACACGATCACCCTTGTAAACATGGCGGATGTGCCCTTTTACGCTGAAATTTTAAATATACGTAATACATTTTTTTTTTTCAGATTTGAGAAATAATTTTAGTTACAAATTTTTATGAAGTATATTGATATATTAATGCAAAGGTAAAAATGGAATACAACGATCGTAAAACTTCAACTGATGATGGCTGCCGTCCCTACAGCTAACCTCCAATGACCAGAAAAAAACCCAGTCATTTAAATATTCTATCCTCCACTTTTAACTCCAAAGAAAACTCCACAACCATTCACACTCACTACATTATTGTGGGAAATCCCTTGATGACAAACTCCGTCGCCACGGCAGTAAAGCGGGTACAATCCACACGTCCCACTCGGATATCGGTGCCGTATAACGCATGGGCCACGTGGTTCCATACTGGGTCGAGCTTCTTGCAGTGGCCACACCAGGGAGCATAGAACTGAGGCGGTCAAAAGATGGTCATCAGACATACTGTATAGGGTGGGTGAGATATAACTCAAACATCATACATAGCAGTCTCAGTATGGTATAAGCTATGTATATATCTCCACTATATGTATATTTTTTTACATGTGTTCATGTAGTATGTATTTTATATGTATGATGTATGTGTAGTTTGTATAATGTAATATGTATGTGTAGTTTGTATAATGTAATATGTATGTACGATGAGTTTTGTGTCTATTATATATATTGTGCAGTATGTATATAAAATGAGTCGTTCATCATTCGCCCACCTTGTATAATGTGTAACACTAGTGTACTACCATGCAACAATACAGTACTACAATGTTATCAGCACTTCCCCCAAAAAACATTACAGAATAATTACTAAAATTAATATATTCTTAAATAAAAAAAGGTTACGATTTAATATGATTGAAAGGATGACTCAAATGCCATTATCTGTACAACATCAGTAAATTGCATCACCATTATCAGCCATGTTGACTCTCCTCGAAGCTCCAGGAATCTATCACTCAGTTCCAGTACTTTAGAAGCAGCCTTCACATTGGCCAGAACTGGAAAAAATAAAATAAAAAATTCTGTTATATAATTCAAATCATTTCAAGTCACCAATTAATAGTGTACCAATAGAATATAGAATAATCAGTGTTTGTAAACGTCTATTGGTTCTTCACCCTCCAGGCCCTATTGTGGGTCGTTTGACCTGTGCCCGGGTGGGCTAATTCCTGTGTAAAAAAAAAAAAAAAAATTCACTATCGTTCTCTAATTTTTCAGTAAAGTCAGTCAAAATTTGTATTCTACATTCTATTTATTTTATTGTGTTTTGTTAATTAGTTCTATCGTATCTCCATGTTTGTAAATATATTGAGGTGAATTGTGGAATGGTCGAAATAATGTGAATATTTCGAAACTTAATACAACAATTTCAGTATTTTTGTCAAGACCTAAGCTCCTCTGTTGAATTATCTGGGTTTAAAGCTTATAAAACATGAATCTGTATGGCTGTGGCTTCAAAAATGTATGAAATGTATTAAAACAACCACTGAAGCATGATTTTAATTGAAATGAACCACCGGGTAGTGCTAAACTTGAGTACTGTAACAATCAGTGGTTCATTAAAGCACAAATCATACTTCAGTAATGTTTTTTTGGTTAATTTATCAAAGCACAGGAGGTATGGCGGCTAGTCCTTACTTCCTAAATGATTAATTCCGAGTATTTTTTTTTCCTTGGTCCATATTTCATACATTAAAGATTGAAACAGTAAATCGGAGAGAAATACCGAAAGAAACCTCATATACCCACGAGTCTTAAACCACACCTGGACTCTCCCTACACTACCTACACCTGACACACACACCTGGTACAATTAACAAACATTAAAGTAAATGATATATATCGTAAATTACAGGTTAAGAAAAAAACTAGAGAAAACTAGAGTGTTCTATATGGGGGTTAACACAGGGTCGATAACGCCACGTAGATATCCACGTCATCAGCACATCATCTCGTCCATTATCTTCACTACATACTCCTCGAGATAGACGACCTGATACTCGTAAATAAATCTCAAGGTTCAGATAGGTTTATATTTTACCTGACAGGAGGACGAAGATGCGGAAGACCTCCATATTGTTGTCTTCTGCTAGCGCCTCCCTGATTGGCTGGCACCGTGCGAGTCGTTCACGTCTGAAACAGCTACTGAATCCTCTGAACCCTTGTGGGAATAACAGACAGACAGTTAAATATATTCAGTAAAATCGTGATTGAAGTTTAAATTAATTCATAATGTATATATATATAAAGCAGGTATACAGTAAATATAGGTAGTGTTCTGGTTATGTTGACAGTACAAGGGCTCGAACCCCATTTAGGATTCGGTGTTTCCTAGTGGGTATCACCTGAAGATTAGCGCCCAAGATTATTTCATTTAAAGATTAAATACCCTTATACTACCTTGGGGTTAGGTTAGGGCTCTACTGGTTATGTTAGGACTTGTTAGATTAGGTCGGACTAGTTAGGTTAAAGTTAGGACTTGTTAATTTTACTTTTATCCTCTTCACTGATCGGCTCGTTAACCACTTGGGCGATCGGTCAAGTCTGTTACGCACTGTTGGCAAGTACTGGGCATGCACCGGTTCCTGAACCTGCTCCAGTGTAGGTTAGGTCTGGTTAGGTTAGTTTAGGACTGTTTCGGTTAGGATAGATATGATTAGGTTAAGTTAATTTACCCGCAAAATGTCAATGTTCCTTCGACACTTCTGGTCAAATGGTATGATAGAAATCTTTGTGACCACCATCGCTTCCTGGGTCAACAATCACGTAAGGTCAAGGCTGTAGGAGGTCTAATAACGTTTTTAACTTAAGATTCACATGGTTCAGCTTGACGTGATTTTGAACTCGAATATTGTACTTCCTTGTGACTCTGACCTTCACTTTCGGGTAAAAGGATCAGACTTTTGTATGGTATCTGGTAATGTATGTGTGTTAGTGAACCTGTTCTTACAGGTATAGAAAGAATGGTCTTATTATCATAACGAAACTGTTGTTTATATTAGGAGAGCACAATATGCCGTTTGAAAACTACTGTAATTATATTTGTCTGTTTAACTGAAAGGAAAATAGCCCGTAATCCATGATACTTGTACAGCTAACTACAGTTCAACGGTTTTCTAGAAATTTCATTACATTATGTAACCGCTGTTGATATTCCTGGATTCCTCTGGGGTCTTTCAATTACAAGCCCCCCCCCAAAAATCGTGTCATTTATGTGAACCTAATTATTTTATCATTGACTATTTTAATTCATATAATGTAATAATTTAAGGTTTGAGAAAAACAAATGAATCAAGCAAATTGGAAAACAATAGTTTAGGGAGATCAAAATATACCAAACAGATTTGTCAGTCGCCGGCCAAAAATTTTTGCGCCATTAATTGTTATTGTTATATGATGAGCTATTTGTGAAGTATATTCTAAATTTTCTTACTATAATATCTCAATAAAGATTTATGAATACTCAAATAATCTTAAAACTGGGTTAGAGAAATATATAATGCTAGCCAAATATTTTCCCGCCAATTATGGGAATGATGTTATTAGTGCCTTATTAATCATTCTTAAGATATATTTAAGGAAATAATATAATAATAATATTTATTTATGATTTATTAATAACCAGTAAAAGTAGATAATAATTTAGTCAAGAAAATATTCCCTATAAAATTTAATGTGGATCTACGGTGAGTTACGACGCAAAGCAAAACAAACAGGAGGACAACTACTAGAGGCGGCGGGTGAACTACAGATGCAACACCACCATGTTGCTCACCAGAGAGACATTCAGGGAGATAGACGTCGGCAGAAGCTGTGGGCAAGACTATAAGGTATGTCGCCATTGTTTAGGGACGGATTAAACAAACTGTCATGTCTTATCTGTGGGTTGTCGTGGAGGGTTATAGTCTTGTGGGGGGGTTAAGAAGGGGTTAAGGTTTTATCAGTAACTAGTAAGACATGTGGCTAGAGACCGGCCGTCATCCAGCTGGTATATATGACCTCTAGCCAATACCATTATTTAACCATAAATGGGATAAATAAGGGTTAAAACTATGGGGTTAAAGAAGGTTATCGTTTAGGGAAAGATTATGGTGATTTAGTGTAAGGAAGGGTTAAGAAGGTGTCAGCCATAACCTACCTGTTAGATAGTTATTACAGGTGAATTTTTGGACTCGAATTACCCAAGTTGGTCATTATTGGGTTGTGAGACTTGATTTACCCCATACTAAAAACCTCACTCAGTATAGATGTGTCTGTTTCAACGATAATATCTTGTTTTAGGGCATCACCTTATTGTCTTGGGGCTGTTATTATCGCTTTGGTCATCCAGTGAAGTTTAGGATTTTAAGTTTATGTTAGGTTGGGATAGGTTAGATTAGATTAGGCTAGGATAGGAGAGGTTAGGTTGGGTTAGGTTGAAAAATGTACAAATGTCTCAGGAATGAAAACAAATAGCTTACTAAACTTAATGGTACATATTTCAACATGTTAAAAATTGAAAACCTAACCTAAGCTAACCTAATATATATATATGAATCCACATCAGCCATTTGCATGAACTTTCATGTTTTGACCATGTAATCCCCCCCCCCCCCCCCCCACCTCCTCCACCCAACTCTTAATACAAGGTCAGATCCTAAAAGTCGCAGATACGGGCTTCGATCATACACTGAGACTTGTATTTAACGTGCTAATTAGCAGAGTGGAGTCCATTATATTGAGGTTCGTTAGATATAAAACCTCTATATAATAGCATACTTGGGAGAGTATGTACAGTTCGTTTTGTTAAGGTCCGTTAGATGTTAAATTGATATCCGTTAAAAGCAGTGTTTTTTTGTTTTTTTTACTGTATATTAACCCAATTTAACATAATTATTTTTTTTTCTCATATGCTAAAAAGTTGGTGTGGGATTATTTTTTCAGAATTTATTGCTTTTTTTATTTTATTTCCTGAACACAAATCTACAACGGCAACGACAGATAATCGACAATATTGCGAGAGTTTGGCCTTTTTTTTTCATAGGTGGGATTTTTTTTATTTATTTATTTCATTTTTTTATTAAGATAATAGATGAGGATAATTATTGTAGGTTAGGTTATGTAGGTTAAGTCTGATAGGTTAGATTAGGTTGAGTAAGGTAGTTTAGGTTAGTTAGTTTAGATTAGGTTAGGTAGTTTTGGTAAGGTTAAGTTAAATTAATTATTTCAGTTAAGGTTATGTAGTTTAATTTTGATAGGTTAGGTAGTTTAAGTTGGTTTATTTTATGAATGAGAAATTATATAATATACTGAACTGTAGTTGATTAGCCATTCTGTCTATCTGGTGTTGGACGAAGTTATAAAATGATAATCACAGTAAATGTTTTCCTCTTGTGCTTTTTTGCCTTTTTTTTATCATGTAGCCAAAATTAAGGTTCCCTGTTTAGTTCAGAAGTCAAAAGTGCATGAGGTTTTGTATGAGAAACACTTTACCACCTGTGTGTTGTGTATTATGTGTGTTGTAGTGTGGTGTGGAAGAGGAATGCCATAGAAGAACACATAAGTTACAATGCATGAATGTGTGTAAAGTGACGGCTGCTTACTTGAACGGGTGTAAAGTGACAGCCGCTGAAGGGACACTCTGTAGTTGCTTATGACCCCGACAACCTACTACAGGGACAAGACTTGAAAGAGGACTATGAAATTTATTATATGAATGAAGGCTTAATAAATACTATATCTCTTAACAGGTTCTTAAAATCTACCCAAAGAAAGGAACCAACATCTTCCCAAAGCGACGTCTCTGTGAAGTCCAGTCTACGTCCGGAGAATGTATCATCATCAAGGCCAAGTATGCTGGAATAGTCACTCAGGTGCTCATCAACGTTGATGATACAATAGAAGATGGGTAAGTCCTGTGTTATGTGGCGTGTGTGTGTGTGTGATGTATTAGGTGGAGAGCAGGCAGTCATAAGTCCCATACCTGATGTAGTTGGTTAGGTGTCACTATGTCTTAATTATAAAGGTAAAACAATTAGACACCTGTGTATAATACCTATGTTACTGACTGATTCTGTAACCTTTTAAGTGCAGTCTAAATGTTGAACTCGAAACAGGCTTGAACTGGCTATGCTAAGACTTTAACTAACTTATGTAGCTTCAACAATGATCTGGGATGTCACCAGTTCATCTCAGGGTGTCAGAAGGTGTAAGGGAACGTGTTTGAGCATTGTTAATTTCCTGTTTTACCTCAATCACAGAAGGCCCTGGAAAATACCTAGACAATTAAGTTACATAATTACTTCCTCCTTGATTATAGTAATTAGGATTAACAGGAAAGACAAGCATTAGGCTGATGAAAAAAATTAAAATAATTTATAGTATCTTTGGTGGTGGAGAAATTGATAAATGATGGAGAAAAGCAAAAAAATTAGTTAAGGCTTTTGTTAAATATGTAAAGAAAATAGAAAGAACTGAAAGTATTTTTATTATTTACTGTTGTATCTTTTTTTTAAGTGTGTATATTGAGCATATGTCTTGAAGTAATAATACAGCAAATGAATATAGTCCATATATTTTCCTCATGTGATTCCCCCTGTGGCTCTACAGATGTGACATACTGGAACTTGAAGCATGTACCCACAATGCCTTGATGGGGAACATTTGTTGTGACTGTGGTGTTGTGTTTGATGAGAAAGACCTCCCAAAGACAGAAGCAGTGAGCATGCTTCACTCTGTACCTGACCTTAAGATTGCTAGAAATGTGAGTATTTTGTTGTGACTGGTGAAGCATTTTTTTGGTACATATGAAGAGTTTGTGTTGGGTAACGTTTTTAAAGATGTAGATAAATTGAAACTTACAAGAGAGATAGAAACAGGAGCCCTAAGTTGTGTTTCAAGTAGTTTCTGGCATCCCTGAATGTGAAATGAAAGCTAATTGAAAGTTTAGTGTTCCAGTTTTGACTTTACTTGCAAGTTTTATTTAATATTTTGTTCACATGACTATTTGAAACTTTTATTTTGAAGTTATCGTTAGTTTTTCTTTCCGTCCCTACTTATTTACAAACGCACCAATCCACACTTTGGAATATCTTCATTATATACTAAGCCTCTGGTACACAAAGGGGCAGTGTGGCTTGATACTGTACTGGGAACTCCTTCACTTCCCCATCTAGATAGTTAGGTACAGTACCCCTTTTTACAGCTGGGCAAACAGAGACTATCATAGCAACAAACCAGAGCACCTTAGTACAGTACTGGATGTGACTACTCCATCCACACAGCTGTTGCACACCAAATAAATCCTGTTTTGTCTCATGTAGGCCCAGATCTCAAATGCTTTTCCATATTTAGGGAGGAATTTGACTGTGTATGAATTTATTCTCATTTAGGAGCAGTTTCTGATTTTTTTAGGTAAATTACTGTAAAGGAAAAGGAGGTGATATAGGTGAACACTTTATTATTATTATTATTACGTTATTGTCTCCAGGAAGCCCAAAAGCTCGGTAAAGAAGACATAAGGAATCTATTGAAGCAGCGGAGACTTGTGTTGCTAGTAGACTTGGACCAGACATTGATCCATACGACAAATGATAATATTCCAGCAAATTTGAAGGTAAGTTTGGCTATGTCTGCTGTAGCCTTATAGAAATTAGCCATAGTAACACATAAGGTCTTTTCATGGTAGACAAACTGAAGCAGGTAGGTAGATATTGCATTATTTTACCTTAGTGTACTGTATTGTGATTCTTCTCTTCTCTCCAAGTATTATTGTTTATTTCTATGCTTTATTTCTTCCAGGATAGACAGTAGTGTAGTTATTTCCAAGTACAGTATTGTTTTTTATTTATTTATTTCCCCCAGGACGTTTACCACTTCCAAATCAACTATGGCGGCCCGTGGTATCATGCCAGACTGCGGCCACACACAAAGGTCTTTCTAGAGAAGGTATCCAAGTACTATGAGCTTCACATCAGTACTTTCGGCGTGAGGGAATATGCTCACCACATAGCCCACTTCCTGGATCCAGACCGATTGTTGTTTGGTCAGAGGATTCTCTCTAGAAATGAATGCCTCGATATGATGTCGAAAAAGGCCAACCTTGAGTAAGATATTTAGATTTTATTTAGATTTTTTTTGGGGGGGGGGGGTATTTTTTTATTTTTCGTATCATTGGAAGTAATTTTTTTGGTTCCTCGCCAGAAAACCAATACCTCTTTTTTATTATTGTTTGAATTTATTTCGGTATTTTCTTATTTTTCACATCACGTCATTCGAAAGTACAGTAATTTTCTTTTTTGTTCCTCACCAATAAACCAATTCTTCTTGATTCTCATTGTACTCATAGATAGTTAAATATCACAGTTCTTTTCCAGTGATGTTTCTTCTTTTTGTAACTGAATGTCCGATGAGGAGGTTAAAAGCCCCGCCCATCACGCCTCCATCATGGGAAAAGAGGCTAACAAGAGTAGTAGATGATATAACTCAAGAGGGATATAAGACGTGATATTAATTTAACCTTATTTTGTGGTGTTTGTGTTTTGGTTACAGTATTATATTGTATATGTTCACTGTATTTTACTTGTTCATAATATTGTTCATGTTTAAATTACAATATTGTTTATGTTCACTGTATTGTTCATGTTTAATTTACTGTATTCTTGTATCAGTGCTGTTGTATTCTTCATGTCTTAAACACATTATTGTTTTTTTGTATTAATTGGCAGTTCTCTCTTCCCGTGCGGAGACAATCTCGTCTGCATCATCGATGATCGGACTGATGTGTGGAACCTCTCCCCCAACGTCGTACAGGTCATTCCCTACCACTTCTTCAGACACACGGGAGACATCAACGCTCCTCAGGGTCTCCAGAAGAAGGAAAATGACGACCGAGAGGGCATAGACTTCAAGGATTTGAAAAAGTGCAATATTAAAACTGTTGGTAAGTAAGTGGGTGTGTGTGATGTGGTTTAAGTGGGTAATGTTTAATTGTGTGAGGTGATGGAAGTAATTACTGTAACTACTAACTAAATACACATGTTGGGGCTGTAAGAGTGAATGAATGACAGTACAGAGAGAGAGAGAAAGTGTGTGTACTCTCAGTTTTAGTCTCCTTCTTATAGTGGGAAAAAGCTCAAAGGACTTAGTTGATTGATTGTACATTACTGTATTAAGAATTCATCACATACACAATGAACTACACTATGAATATATTAATGGGTTATATAATATAGCATTTATTTTCACAGGAGTTCCAACTGAGAACACTTTAGTAACGGATGAAGACGATAAGAAAAGTTACAGTTCAGATTCGGACAGTGACAAGGACGGTAAGGAGTTGATACCTGGCAAAATGGGCGATGTGTTTCATGGCAATGGTTCGGAAACGGCTGTACCCGAGACACAAGCAGAAGATAGTGAGAAAGATACTAAAGCAGTGGTACTTGACACAAAGGCAGAGAGTGGTGAGAAAGATACTAAAGAGGTGATACTCGAGACAAAAGCAGAAGAGAGTGAGACAGATACAAAAGCAGTGGTACTTGACACAAAGGCAGAGAGTGGTGAGAAAGATACTAAAGAGGTGGTACTCGACACAAAAGCCGAGAGTGGTGAGACAGATACAAAAGATGCGGAACCTGAAATTAAACTAGACAGTGACGTAGACTCGAGTAAACAAAGTGACGATTCGGTAATGCATTGTGATACAGAATTGACAGAGGGAAACGATAAAAAACCTAGTGAGAATAGTGATAGTTGTACGAGCGAACCAAACCAAACAGAATGTGCATTAAAACCCGATTCGGTGGCAGATAGAGAATTAACGGCCGATGGGGTTGAGGGTGCCGAGAACACGAACACAGAATGCAACGAGGTGAGAGTTGAGGATGGTAATGCCTTCCCGGGTGATGTAGAAATGGCGTACTGTAAAACGAAAGAGGAGGATGAATTGGAAGTGAAATTATGCGACAGAAACGAGAACGATGTCACGTCGAGTAAAAAGACGATAAACGCAGATAATGTATTTGACGTTGAGGATACTGACGATTACTTGTTGTACCTTGAAGATATCCTGAAAAAAATCCACAAAAGATTTTTCAAGGAGTATGATAAGACTCAGAATCAAAATGCCGAAGAGCAGGCGTTACCCGACCTGAAAACAATCGTGCCGACAGTTCGCCGGGAAGTTTTGAAGGGCGTCAACATAGTCTTCTCGGGGGTTGTTCCACAGCAGATGAGGCTACAGGAGTCTAAGGCTTACATGATCGCCGTGAGCTACGGGGCGATGGTATCCGAGAGACTCATCGTGAAGGCTAAAGGAGCTCCCGAGAGCGACGACAGAAAGAACTACACGACGCACGTGGTCGCGGCGAACCTGCACACGGAGAAAGTGAACTACGCTCGAAAACACAAATCCATAAAGGTATAACGTGGTTGAATTTCTAGTAAGTTGGTTTATGCAGCAGCTTAACCATTTTTTAATTGAGGATTGTTACAGTGGCATGATTTTTTTTTTTAATAACCTCGTTGAAGCTTTGTACTATAGCTTTGATTAGAATGTGTTCACCTACTATAAATATTTCTCATTTATTTAGCTGGGACTCCATATCCTTGTCGTTCTCCTCACGTGAAGGACCTCTTATAGCCTCTATGTCTGTTACAGGGTTTCCTCTAATTAAAGCAAGTTGGGTCTTGAAAATATAAGCTGTGTGTAGAGATCTGTTGTGGGCATTGAAAGGTAATTACAGTTTGTCTAGCTTTGTGTCTTCTCAGATCTGTTTTCTGGGTTTGTCGTGCTTGCATGCTGTTTGTTGATTTGTTCATAGACAGTGTCACAATAGTTGATATATTACAGTACTATCGGCTAACTCATACGAGCCATATGTTAGTACTCATTATGCTGAAATATTACGTTCTCTCTCTCTCTGACACTTTGTACTGTTGGCATCTTTGTGTTTTTACTACTAACGCACAGCTTCAAAAAATATAAATAAATAAATAAATAAATAAAAATCCCACAGATATTCCATAAATGTTGTTCCCTGCTTCCACCTCTTCCTATCTTATCAAGGTACTCAACCAATCACATTACTTTTCACGTATGTGCTATGTAGTCACTGTTACATGTGAGTACTGCTCGTTATGTTACAGTACTCTTTAAATATTACGTTAGTAGCTTACAGTAATGTCGGTTTGATAGAGGTTTCACATCTAACGAACCGTCGATATAACGGACTTTCCTCTCCTAGTGGTCCATTAAATAGAGATTCCACTGTATAGCTCTTGAGAAATAGTCCTTATGGATATTCCTACATGGTCTATTTTGCAGTACAGTATTTTACTGTCATTTGTTCACTATGTGGTTTGGCACTTTCTGACACAGACACATCACCTTTCCTGCTCACAGTGTGCGGTATGTTGGTTTATATGAATGGTTTTAACTTCATAACTTTATATCTTATGTGGGTGATTTTTTCCCAATCCAACCCAACCTTACCTTACCTTACCTTACTTTACTTTACTTTACTTTACTTTACTTTACTTTACTTTACTTTACTTTACTTTACCTTATCTTATCTTACCCAACTTACCCTACCTAACTCAGTTTACCCAACCCTCTGGGAGAGCTTGGGGTGCCTCTTGTCTTTTCCTGGCGGTTCTTCAACCTAGTGCAAGACTTTAGTGAACGTCCCTCGAGAAGAAAGTTTCATTGGCATTTTAGTCAGTGATCAGTATGGGGGATACATCCTTTGCCTGTTGTGTGGTCGTCTTTGTTGTATAATTATTTCCATTCTGTCGATCTTACATCATTTGCATCTTTGATTTATACTGATCTACAGGTCGTCACCCCAAACTGGTTGTGGAAATGTGCAGAAAGATGGGAACTTGTAGAGGAGCGGCTCTTTCCTCTGAGCAAGGAGACAGAGAAGGAGATCCAGCGGCTTCCACCACACCACTGCTTCACCCCCGACCTCTCGTTACTAAGATATAACTCAGGTACAGGTGAGACACATATAAAACTCTTCAAGTCTTTTATTGATAAATGGTCTTATATTTAACTTGACTTTATTATTGGTAGATTAGTTTGGGAAATGTTAACAAAAGAAAATATTGGTGATTAATTAATTTTTCATGTATATTAACAATAACACAGTAAAGCATTCACCTGTTACCAATATTAACACCAAAAACAGATACAGTAGAGCTCAGTCAGTGGGTTAAATTCTTCATTGTGTGCTTCCCTTAAGTTGAATTTAGAAGTGAATCTATTCGACGTAGCAGATGGCCAGATATATAATTTTCTCACGTTATTGATTTGTTCAGTTTTATAGTAAGTTTGAATGAAGCTGCTGTACTGATTTCTTTATTTGCTACAGTCTAAATAAAGCCAATGAGGTGGTTTAAAGTTTACTCATTAAACAATAATTATCTGAGTACTATCCAGGAGTTGCAGTTTTCATTCTATAATTCATCAATCCCACCAAGTAGAGATAGATTTTTAAGTGACTGTACCCATAACTTGATCTCCTGTTGCAACTACTGTACTGTACTGCTTGATTTGACGTTCCATCTATCATTGCAGAGCAGACTGAGGCAGGTCCAAGCGGCAGAACCAGAACGGCAAGTGGAAGTCTTATGGAGGAATATATCACTCTCACGGATATGAGGATCATAGGCCACGACGATAAGAATAATATGTCGGAGGAGGTCCAAAACACCCTCAGTGACGATGGTAAGGTGTTTAGCTTATAGGTGTGTAACCCCTTCCCCTCTCACCTGTCCCCTCTTCTTTACAAATTGTATATACTGCACCTCTCTCTCCCTCCCTCCATCCCTCATAACTGTTCCTCTCTTATATCTCTTATCTTACTCTCTCTCTCACTACCTAAAATTTGATCCATACCATAAGATCAGAAAACAAGGAATATACCTGTAAAATGAGTTGACTTGCCCAAGACCTTGTACGTATTAACAGTAATTACCTCTCCTATATCTAGCAGAACAGATTATTTTCACTATGTACTCGACTGATTTACATTACTTGAGATGTGTTTGTTAAGATGTGATGGTAAATAATTCTCATCTGTTCCCTTGAAAGACGAATCTGACGATGATGAGGGAGATGCCTCGGACGGTGACACATCGACCACTAATGGAGAAAATGACGAGGAAGAGGATGAAGAAGAGGGCCCTCGCAGGAAGAGGTCCAAGAGCACGATAGAGCATGACGACTTGGCACGCAATGATGAAGAAGAGGAGATGGAGAATGAAGACGAACTCCCGAGTGTTATATTTAGACAAGGTGGGGGTCTGCCCAGTGACGACAGTGATGATGGAGAGAGTGAAGATGAAGGAAACTTGAGTCAGATGGGTGCTGACCTTGAGAGTCTGTTAGATTAGCTTGAAACAAACAGTACAAATAGGAGTTAATTATAAGGCTATTAAGTTCATTATCTGTACAGGAATACCTCGCTATTCGCAGCCCCGCTTATCCGTAATTGATATTTTAACGCCCCTATTCGATATTCGCAGAGCACACCCCGCTTATTCGCAAAGAAAAGTTACGACGCCCTACAGTAATATTTCAAACCATGCAGGCTGGCCACATGACCCGTGCGGTTTAGAGATTAGTGAAGTTCAATGGCACCGGTCACACAGAGCACGCGTGGGAGACGCTCACCCCACGCCTCTACCCTTACTTCCTAACCGCTGCGTGAAAAGCATGCCGGGCATTATAGAATTCTTCATATGGCAGTGGTAAATGCTCGTTTAAATGTTGACACTTGTTTACAAATGTACTCACACAGACACTCACTCAGTCACCGACGCACACACACCTTGTTCTTTTGTATTGTTTTCATGATATTGTAGTTATTTTATTGTATTATATGGAGTGTACTGTACCTGTATATCGAGAAAAATGTTGATATTAAATAAGAAATATGAAGAACGGGTGTGTGGATTTGGCGTGTCACCAAGTTGTACTCTCCCCCTACCAGGCCAAGCTGTGTTATTGTTATTTTTCAACTCTTATTTTTGGGTAGAATTACATAATGTTAATATATTTTTTCTCTGTTATATGCATTCACAATCCTTCGTACAGAATGTGCAAAAGTAAATTAAAATAAATGATATAAGGTCATAAACATTTCTTATGTGCGTTTGGATCGTGGGATGAGGAGGGATCTCAGCTGCTCCAGTCTCCTGTGTCCTGCATATAGTGATACTGTTGCTAACTGGCATTTTTTTTTTTTTTATTCATTCCTCACCTTTACTGCTACGACTGTACTGTATACAGAGCACGCGACCCTGGTACCTTATAGCCTCGGATAATTAAGAGTATATATCGTAAAATATGTGGTGAAATTTCCGGTTGGGAACGCATCCCTCCCCTTTGTTTACATTTTTTCTTATGGGGAAAATTGCATTGATATTCGCAAATTCATTATTCACAATGATGACTTTTTGGAACGCATCCTTTGCAATAACTGGGGTATTCCTGTATACCTCTTCCACTCTGGTGTGGGTTGGGTCAAGGGTTGGAAACCTTAGAGAAGTAAAGGAGACAAAGAATATTGTTTTAACCTGTTACTTTCTCTGGCTGTCTCCACCACTCCCCCCTTCTGTGAGGTCTCTGTGCCCCTTGATCCACCTAACACACAAGAAGGATAGGAAAGAAGATGACTGATAATGCCGATATGTTTTTGAGTGTTCAAAAAACAGTGATAACTGAAGTAAAAGTTCAGGGACATAATTTGTAATTCTGGTGAGCTTTTAATTATGATTCTTAGAGTTTCTTTTTGTAAATTGCGGATCTCGCTTATATAATTTTTGTGAATAAATTGCCATCACAGTGTTCCAGCATTCAGTCAGATGATGAATTTGTTTTTATTTGAAAATTATTATTATAATTATCATTATTATTATTATCTATTGTTAATGTTACATTCAGTCCTATTTTTTTTGCAGAAAACTTAAGGACTCCTCTACTGTCAGTGTTACAAATCTTTTAATATCAGAGGTACATTATTTTTACAGATATAAGGAATATACCATTATAGGTCTTACTTCATTTATTGATGGATTTTTATAACTTTTAATAAATGATGTATTTAATTTTTCATTTTAAAAAGAAACTATGAATGTAGCATAGCAAAGAAGGAAATGTTTTTATATGAATTATTATTTCACCTTTAAACCCAATAAATGAAACCAACGTCATCAACACCATCATTGTTTTTCGGCCATTTTCCACAGATGAGTCGTGGATTAGCCGTGATAACATAAATAATGATCGTTCTCCGTGCTGTGTGGCCGCCTGCAGTCTCTTGCGTCAGGTTCTTAATGCTAGGAAATGAATACAATAAGAGCTGATAGAAAGGTAATGAAGTTGATGTATTAAGAAATTAGAGAGGTAAAAGGGAATCTTTGAATGCTGTCCTGGAAGGTGTAGCTTAATTAAAACTTAGGAATATATGTGAAAGAATCTGGAGTATGTGTCTGTAGGTTTGAAGAAAATTGATATTTAGTGTAAACCAAGAAGAAATAAGTAGACAAGGGAGACAATTGAATGTGTAATCTGACCTCAGTTGTATGATGTACTTTGTGGCAATGTTGTGATCCAATCTTGGCACATTGGTAAACCTATTAAGTTGAAATTATACACTATAGGTATTTTTTTATATGATGGTGTATTATATTCAAACCACATGAAAAGGTAATACAGTATTCTCAAAAGCTTTCGTTATCCATATTTTACGTTATTACTTAGCCACCATCTACCTTGCCCTAAATATGGGGGCTTTTTTTTTTTTAAGAAATGCAGTTAAGGGCAGAGGAAACTTGTGCTGAATACATATGAAAAGAGCAGTACAATTTGATCCCAATGTGAAGTTACTGTAAATTGGGGCCATCAATTGGAAACAAGTAACTAAATATGTTAATTAAGTTCTGGATATTTAAGCTTCGACTCTTAGCAAGGAAGTGGGAAGTAACTGATATTTCTCAGGTTCTTTGTAATCTGGAAAGTTCAGTTAATAATTTGTTTATATCTTAATTTACTGCTTTGGCGGGTAAAGGAAGTAGATAACGTGTTAATCCCTCGATTGTTCCACATGAGTTTGTCATTTATTGTCTGGTCACTCGTCAAAGAAAACGCAATCTCGGAGGCATTGATGGAGACTAGTACGGAACTATATCAAAAGCCATTGCACTAAAATTTACTCTAAGATTTATTAACGTGGTGCTTATTAAAATAAAAGGTAATGATGATTGTTACGAAAACTGAGAAATTGACCAACCATCCGAATAGCTAGTTGGCTGTTAAGTGGTAAAACGATGAAAGAAATTCATCATGGCAAAGAAACAATTATAAAAAAATCCTATTAATGATGTGTTTACATTTACAGATATAAGAACAATATAATGAAACAACTGATTTAGATAAAAAGACAACAGTTCTCGGTACCTTTAATAATGCAACTACGTATTCTTAACACATTGTGCTGTATAAATACAAATAGAGAAATTTAATATTCAGTCTATACATTGTGTTACGGTGTTTATTCATATGTAAAATAATAAATAATCGTGGGTGGCAAATATTGAACAAGAGACGCAGCTGGTGACTCAGTTGTGGGGATCAGCTGTGAGCGAGGCGGAGTCTGCGCACTGCTGTTGTTGACAAACATCACAGTCACCGCGAGAACACCTGTACGAGTTGGTTTACTGTGTATCATGAGTGACTGAGGTAAATTAAGACAAGACAGTTAGTGAGGATTGTTATAGTGTAATGACGTGACCTTGACAGTGATTTTGGGTGAAGATATTGAGGGAAAACCGCGACACACTGTCACAAAATAGCGAGAAGTGTTCAGTTGTTTTTTTTGACGACCACCGCCCACCACTGCTGGCTACTGTCAGTTCTCTAACCACTAAGTGTCTAAACTTTGCAGGTGAGTGATGAAGTGCTCTTATTTAACCACTTAATAGATTGACCTTGGTTAATAACTTCCCGGAGAGCTTTAAAGGACTAACTGGGTTACCGGGATCAATGTAATGTGATCCATGTAACTGGATCACCGTCACCCTCCCGGTCAGGAGTTAGGACTCGGAGGGAGGAATGACTGGGGTAACTCCGAGACTCAATTACTCAACTCAACTACAGGAATTTAATAAAAGCCACAAATATAATTATTTTAATAAAATTGTAATATATACAACCAGTTATCCCAAGTCTTCCTTTATGTAAGTCCTGGGAGTGTGAGTTAACAGATTGGTGAAATACATTTACCTTTCCTGAGTCTATTGATGAATGGTTAAAGTATATGTTAGTCAATTGTATTTCTTTGTATTGATCTTATTATGTATAAAAAAGGAAAGTTGATAACCTGAAGAATAACCACCTAACCTAACTTTACCTAATTTGACCTGACCTAATATAACTTAACCTAATTTATCCATAGTTTAATGTAACTACTGTATACCTATCCTTACCATAAATTAAAGTACATTATTCTTTAACTCGATATTCCTGGAACATAACTTTATTTTAATGGATCACCTGAATAATCACTACCCCAGTTTATTTCTCCTAAAGATTAACCAACATTACTGTATTGGGTGTGATGAGGTTAGGTTAGGTTAGGTTTGCATTAGGGTGGTTAATCTTCAGGTGAAATAAGCTGGGGTGGTGATACTTCAGGTGATCGAATTAAATATCTCACGGTGATTCTCTCGGCTGCTTGTGATCACCGTTGCTAGAATTTTAGTCGAGATATAAATTAAGGAACTCTTTACAACCTTGACAAGTAGTTATTATTGATAGTTAAAGCATTAATTTTCGTTTTATTAGTTGCAAGATATATACAGGGTGTCTCAAATGTAACAAATTTTGCCTCCTAGATTTATGCGGTGATTGTGTGATGTCTCGCATTCAAAAGCAATATTGTTCTCGCTTGTTGATGTGTGGTATTGTGAGAGACATCTGTATCAACAAGTAAAGACAATATTGCTTTCGTAATAAAAGAATTCATGCTGTTACCACAAAGATATATGAAGTTGTTTGTATACATTATTTATTTAAGGTTTAAAGAGCTCTAATCATTGCTCTAATAATTATAAAAGCAAATTTTATTATTTAAAAAAAAAAATCTAATCTTTCCACCAATAGTAAGATTATCACAGCCATTCTCTCTGACTATGAAACTTTTATTTACATGATATTACTAAGATCAGAATGAGATGTGGTATAAGACTCTTAGCATGAAAGACACTGTACGGTACCTTCTAAATGTCATGGTAATTGTCTAGAACAGTTGCACGCATGATCAAGTAATTCTGTGTTTAATTGTCTGTAGCCGGTAGAACAAAATTGCCTCTTACTGTGCCTCAAGAATATTGCATCTCCAGTCACAGTGTAAGTTGGTTAATAATCGTTACAGTATAATAATTACAGTATGTTGGATTTGAAATACATTACAACTTGAGGAATTACTCCTGAGATTTGATTACAGTGTTTTTTTTGTAATGTGAATTAAGTTATGTGAATTTTGCAAGGACTTAGCATATGCTTTATGTGAAGTTTACATGAACATGGGACCTTACCTTACCCAATATCATACAGTACATGTTAAAGTACTGTATACATATACAGTATACATGCTCCCCTCCCATCCATGTGTATGTATGCGTGTTGCCCAAAGCTAAACAATCTATATTATGGTAAATATATACAGTACACTGAGTGGGATAATGACACTATTGGAACGACTTTCCATAATGTGTTTCTATTAAGCGGATGCAATATATAATGTGTGTGTGTGTGTGTGTGTTTGTGTGTGTGTGTGTGTGTGTGTGTGTGTGTGTTGTGGTATGTTGATAGAAAGATAGAATAGATATTTATTCAGTAAATATCGCCATAAATAATTTGTTGGGCCTACAAGTATATATTTGGAACGACCACTGTGAGACTCAAGTATCAAGGACGACCACTATAAGACTCGGTTATCAAGGACGACCACTATAAGACTCGGTTATCAAGGACGACCACTATAAGACTCGGCTATCAAGGACGACCACTATATGACTCAGTATCAAGGACGACCACTATTAGACTCAGTATCGAGGACGACCACTATAAGACTCAGTATCGAGGGCGACCACTATAAGACTCAGCTATTGAGGACGACCACTATAAGACTCAGTATCAAGGACGACCACTATAAGACTCGGCTATCAAGGACGACCACTATAAGACTCAGTATCAAGGACGACCACAAGACTCAGCTATCCAGGACGACCACTGACTCCAGTATCAAGGACGACCACTATAAGACTCAGTATCAAGGACGACCACTATAAGACTCCAGTATCAAGGACGACCACTATAAGACCAGTATCAGGACGGCACTATAAGACTCAGCTATCAGGACGACCACTATAAGACTCGGCTATCAGGGACGACCACTATAGACTCAGCTATCGAGGGGCACTATAGACTCAGCTATCGGGCGACCACTAGACTCAGCTATCAGGACGACCACTATAAGACTCAGCTATCAGGACGACCACTATAAGACTCAGTATCAGGACGACCACTATAAGACTCAGTATCGAGGACGCACTATAAGACTCAGTATCAGGACGACCACTATAAGACCCAGCTATCAAGGGCGACCACTATAAGACTCGCTATCAAGGACGACCACTATAAAGACCAGCATCAAGGACGACCACTATAAGACTCAGTATCGAGGGCGACCACTATAAGACTCAGCTATCGAGGGCGACCACCTGTGTGTGTGTTTGTTTGCTGGGTTCTGAGACTCGGGACGTAATCCAGGGGTCGGGTTACACGGCAGAGTTCACTGTTGGTCGTTAAAACCCGGATGTTTAGTTCTGGTTGTGTTTGTGTGTTTGGGGAGGCGTGTGTGTGTGTGTGCGCCAGTGATGGTGTATGTGTGTGTGATTGTGTATGTGTGTCTGTATGTGGGTTTGTTTGTTCGTCTGTCAGTGTGATTGAGTCTGCCTGTGTGTGTGTGTGTGTGTGTGTGTCGTGCCAGTGTGGTTGTCTGTGTCTGTTTATAAATATAGTTTCTTTGTATGTCATATATGTCTGTTTCTTTGTGTTGGCTTATGTGTGTGTGTGTGTGTGTGTGTTCTGTTCGTTCTTC